TGGAAACGATATCATGCGTGACTTCATATAATCTCATTTTGGCTTATTTCTGGTAGAGTACAAGGTGTTTGCCTTTAAGGGATGTCATTCAGAATTTCATATGTTATCAACAAATTTTTAATCTGTGATCCCATGCAGTGAGAACATGGAGCAAACTTATGACATGCCTAAGTTGTGAGCTTTTGACACTGAGGAGAGGCACAGGGAAGGAAGAAAGGAAGTAGGCTCTTTAAGTTACAAGAAACTTTGTTTCACTTCTTTTCATAAAAGTGGATCCAAACTCAAGTAGCTGATGGAGTTATAAGAAAATAGTATCCAGAGTTTTCATACAGCTACTAGGGTTTCCTAAGTACTATTCTTTAAACAGTTTATAAACTAACAGAAAATACGTGGTTCAAATATATAAGTAATTAGCTGACTTTGCAGACTGATATGGTGCCATTTAGTTATGGGTAAAACAAACTAGTTCTGGGGCTTTGCATGTGATCAGTTATAACATTTTAGGAAATTTGCTAGGTATCAGTCAAAACACTCCTGATTTTGATGAAAATGAGAAAGCCAAAGAGCAGGAAATGGGGAATCTCTGTAGAAGCTCTTGCAGATCTGGCACAACTGCGAGAGATCCCTGCTACTCCCAGGACCTCCCTCAGAACCAGCTGGGAGGCAGCCATTCATGCACTGAACTGTGCCTTACTCTCTTATAGTCAGTACCTACTAAGACAAGGAGAAAAGCAGCAGAGAAAAGGAAAAAGGGTGAACAGGGAAGTTGTGGCAGAGAGAAGCCAGCTTCAGACAGTCAAGTAGAGCAGGATGCTTGGGGCCATGTCTAGTCTAGTTTTAAATGTTTAAATGTAGATTCCACAGGCTTCCTAAGCAGCCGGTACCAGTGTTTAACCACCTTCACAATAATAAACTGTTTTTTCACATTCAGATGGAATTTGATCCATAGCTTCTTGGATACAACTGTGTGATGTGTATGGACATACATTATCACCTACAATGAGAAGTTCATTGGTGTGTTATTGAGAATTATTTTTAGCCAGCTGTTCTCTTGCATGGACATCCTAGATACATATTTTATTGTAATATAAGGAATCATAATAAACCTGACAATCTGGAACATATTGGGAGTAACTCAACACCAGCTTGTTTGATCCTTCTTGATGAAACTTGAGAAACAAGAGTCCAAATCAGTTTTTAGATAGCTATAGCTGTGGAACAATTGTGCAATAGAAAATTGATTTTCCAGATCAAATACAATTAAGATAATAAGGTAAAGCTAAGGAATTTACTCTGACCAAATACTATAGTATAGCTACATCTCTAAATATAGAAAACATATAGTTTGGGGAAAAATTATATTGCAGTGTTCAAGTATATGTTTAATATGTGAAAACCCCAATACGGACTTTTTAAGGTGACAGATTTAATGGCTTACTGTGAAATGGTAAATGGATAAAAATTATATTCAGATGCCTGAGATACGCAACCTCAATCTTTAGGCTGGAATCCAAGTAATTGTCCAGTTTGTCAGTTATTTATCATCTGTGAAACTGAGGTCAGTAGGCAAAATACTTGAAAATGTTGAAATGATTCCTCCTGAACCAGCTATAATATTTCTTACTGATATGTGGGTATTTTGAAGCTTAACTTTTGCAATATGCTTTGAACATTTAGAAACAAAAGCTGTAGATGAAAACAGTAGTCCAAAACTTTTGTTGACTTGATCTGAGATACAAGTTCCTTTTATTTGCATGAATATTCTGATGCTTTGCTTTTGAACATGATATGGGAATTCCAAAGCAAACACCTAAAAGAGGGGATTAGCTCTATCCAGAAGATAAGGATAGGGGGTTATGGGCAGGAGAACTACAGCTGCTATTCTGATGTTTGTACGCGATAGTACAGGAATCAAAGTCATGGCCTGTGATAAACATCATGAGCAGCTACACACACAAACAACTCTGTTAGTGCTCCATGAGGCTTTTCAGAAATGTCAACTGTGATTTTGTGCCTCAAGCAAGTGACCAAACGGATATACATTTTCTTTCCAGCTGGGAGCTGAGTTTTAAATTCTGTAGTTATATATTTTTCTCAATGAGACTGTTACCTGCAGAACAGTTTTCCTATGATACTCATGAATACACTCACCAGAAGCTCATTTCTGTGGAGCAGTCTCATCCTAGAAACAGATTTTTCCTCAGTGTAGAGTGATAAACCATCTCTGTATCTCCACTGCAGCCAGTTTTACCAATTATATAACTAAATTCTTTTAAAATTATTAATGCAGGTAGCATAAAAGTGCATTGTACATCTGTTAAAAAGTTTGTGGTATATTAAATTGAACCAAACATTGAATTTCCTGTCCATAGCTGCAAAATCAAGCAATTATGTCATGCTTTTATCTTGCATTAGCAGAAAATACTAAATTCACCTAGTGTAAAATACTGATGTCAGTCGTTGTGTTACAGGTGAAAAGTTTCACTTTAACGTAATATGTAACATAACTGTAGTATTTTAATACTCAAGTTTGTTAATTTCTATATATGGTCTTTATATGTTCCATGAAGAATGTCAGTCATTTTGAATATAATACCTCTTAAATAAGTAGTCCACTGACGAAAACAGCACTCAAATTCTGTATCTGAAATCAAATTACCCACATTCAGTGAAAACCTCTTGCTCTTGTAATACTCAGAAACATTTTTAATACATGGGAAGACTCTTCTTTAACTTTCTCCTTTATCTTAATGTATTTTGTTGCAAATAAGATTAAATTAGGAAGAAATAAATGAAAGGCCTTTAATTTAAATGCTAAGATAAACATGATCTACCATTGTTTATTGACTCCAGTAGGACTGCTAAACAGCATAGGGTACTACCCCCAGCTAGTGTCTACTGCCCTAATCAAATTCTTAAGAACTCTGACTTCAGTAGACATGGTAGCAATGCTGTCAGGACTGTAAATTGATGCTATGTCCTTAGACAAAAAAGAGTGGGGATCCTGGACAGTAACCAAAACCTCATAGTAACATGTTTTTTGGATTAGACAGAACACTGCATATACTGAGTTGAAGGTATACATCAAGAAGAAAAGGAAATTACTAAAAGAAAATGCAGAGTAACTTAGCTATTTTCTGAATGAATGAGGATATCATGTGGCAAATGAATGACATGGACACAGAAAATAAAAGTCATTGATTAATAATATTTGTGATAATGAAGAAAATACACACCTTCCATCATGAACTCAAAGGAAACAAGTGTGCAAGTTCAGACACAGAAATATCTCCTAGCATTTAATTTTTTTCATGAGTAATTCTAGAGAATTTTTAAAGAATATTTTAGAAATTCTTTATCAGTGAAAGATTGTTCACTGCATTAAAAAAAATTGTTAACATATTTGTCTCCTTTACTAAGCAAAAGTATGATATAATTTCTACCCATGGACACTTACAGCAAATCTATTACAATTCATTAGAAAGTGCATCATCAAATATTACAAGGCCTAGGGTTTTTAAAAAAAGACTAAAATTCAGAATTTAGTAGAAAACCTTCCTATGTTCTCACTTGAATCTTCAGACTATGATAAAGAATATCTATTCCATTCTTGCAATTGCAAGTATAACTTATCTATAGTGTAGTGCAGACTAATAGCTTTATTCATGGACAAGAACCTGATTGTATTAAGTAATACATAAATAGGAAACAAATTTGTTAGTAAAATTGGTTTTCCATCTAAGGAACAAAAAAAACCCACAAGTGATTCAAGAGGAATACAATGAGATTGCATCAATCAACATTCTGGAGAGTGGTTTTAGTACAATCTTAGGCTGTGCGTGTATAAATATCTACATGTAGATAGGACAGATCAAGACATATAAATCTCAGGGAATCAGAAATTGCTGTGGCAGGAGTGTGGAAGACAGATTAATCAGGCTAGTTTTAAGCTCAATAACAAAACTTTACTGCATAAATATTCATTAACAATATACATGGCTAATGGTTAGTTTTTAATAATTATTAATCACTATTAGTACATATGCAAGGCACTTAGTCATCCTAAATTAGCAGCTAATATACAATACCACAGAGCCGACCACATGTACGACCTGTGATTACAGTCCTGGAGTCTTAAGTCATCTGGGAGATCAGGTTCAAGAGCTCTTCAATGAAGGAAGCTAACATTGAAAGATGCCTTCCTTCCTCCTCCTCTAAGCCCAAATTCCAGATTTTTACCTTTTTTTTAAACACTGTAGTTTTTTGAGGGTGCTTAACCCTTGACCTCTGAACCCTAGAACATTGGGAGACTTTCATAGGATGCAACAGGTGCCTCTCATTGCTCACCAGTTGTGAGTTGTTTTCTTACCTGTTCCTTCATTTCTGTGTTATACTTAAAGCAGTCTTTTCTCAGCTCTTCAGGTTGCACCTCTTGCATGATCAGTAACTGACCATCAATGAGGTAATAGTTTCAGGACTTTTGTTTTCAGCCTGCATCCACATGACCTTTGCTGTCATCCCAGGCTAACATTCCACATCATAACAAAAGGCATCTGGCATGAACCTCCAACTGACCTGCAAGTTCTTGTAATAAATTCATAGTAAGTCTTGCACAGGCGCAGTGTGGATAAGGCTTCAGGTTTGCTTCTGGCACCAGCAAAACTAATTTTACTGAGCATGGATATATTTACAGGTTGTTTACCAGACATGCCTGACTAATTTGGTTTTGACAGAGTTCAAAGCAAGCTAATATTCATTATATCTGGCTTAGCATGCTTCTACTTTTATGAGTGCAATACGCTTCTGTGGTGGTCACATAGGAGAGTGTTTTGAATAATGAAAAATAATAGTGATAAAAATGGTACATATTGACTTAGTATTTCTTGTTTTCATAGGACTTATGAAAGGATGGAGGAAAATCAAAAGTGTCAAGACTGTCTATTGATACTGAAATAATTACAGTGACAAAAATAGCAGTATTGAAATAATTACAGTGACAATTCAGAGATAACTACTGCTTTTAATTTACATGTTGCATGACCCACTTTGAGCATTGACCAGAGAATAGTAGATGCCTTTTAAAGCCAGGAGTTGCTGATGGGTCCCTTGCTCTACAACCCTGCCATTCTGGACTACAGCAATCTTGTCAGCGTTTTGGATGGTGGAGAGGCGGTGAGCTATCACAATGCAGGTGCGACCTTCTCTGGCTTTATCCAGCGCTTCCTGGACAATCTGCACAATGAACAAACCACAAGGTGAACTATTACGGCAGCTGTAGTGAAATATACCTCAATTGCCATCTGTGAATTAAACTGTAATATGACAACGAGAGAAAGGCAATATCTGTAGCTTTAGCTTCCTGTTTTAGAATTGGCCTGTGTTGGCAAAGAGTCAAAACTGTCATAGTAGATGATGCCATGATAGCTAAGAAGAGATAGAAACAGCTCATTACTAGGTGCATGGCAGGAGAACAAGAGAAAATGGTTAAAAATTGTAACACGGGAGGTTCTGAAAAATATTCACAAGGATAATTAGGCATTGGAACAGAGACAAAACAGACTGTTGAATCTCCCTGTGTATTTACAAGGACCCTACTGGACACAGCACTAATCATTCTTGTTTGAATTCAGTATTGGCACTTGTTTGAAGAGGAGGTTTGGTTAGAGACCTCCAGAGGTCCCTTCATAACTGATTAACATATAGGAGTTAAGTCAGTAATCTTGAGTCAACTATTATCATACTAGTTCTCACGATTTCACAGAGAGTCTCATGAATCATGTTTTTATTAAAGCTAGCACTGGCAGAAAAATACTAATAAGAACCTCTGCTTTCTTTTCCTTATTCATATTTATTAATGCAAAATAAAATATGAAGTTAAATTTCTGTACCTAGCTGGCACATAATTAAGAAAACAAAAGAGCCTGGAATTGTTTAATGGCATTTCCCCCTCAAACCTGATGTCTTCATGCATAGGTTTGACCAAAACTTAGTCCACAGGGTTTGAGATTTTCATATAATAGTATTTTTTATAACATTTGCCTCATTAATAGTAAGTACTTTTGTAGAATCTGTTAATTTTCTACACCTAGCCTGTACTTCTGTTACACCAAGAATATGGCTTTAGGCTTAAAAAAAGAAAGAAATGTTCTAGCAGCTTTTTAGCCATGAACATATAGCAAGGACTTAGAGAGCAATGGGAGAAGCAAGAAAAACTATGAAAGCAGTTTCCTAGTTCTCTGGCAGCATCCTCAGTCTTTTCAGCTTCTGAAGTTTGAGACTTCTGATACAATTTTGATAGCACTTTTCAACTGAAGAATTCCAGGCAAAGAAATACTTTCTTCATTGCTACTTCAACCTGCTTACTGCCACACAGATGCAAAAAAATGCAGGTTATTTTTTGGCAAGAAAGAGTAAAACCTTTATATTTGTCTTTTTTTAGCATAACATGTAATTTATATAAACCACTATATTTCCAGGTTTGGGCTTTAATATGTGGGAGTGAAAACAATAATCATAATACAAAGAAAGTTTAGATTCTGGACTTCTGGTTCAAGTTACCTTTTCACTTTCTGTATCTAAGGCAGATGTAGCTTCATCCAGTAGCAGAATTTGGGGCTTACGTACAAGAGCTCGGGCTATAGCAATACGTTGTTTCTGGCCACCAGAAAGTTGGGTTCCTTTGTCTCCTACACGGGTATTGTATTTCTAGAAACAATATATTAAGTTCATACTGTGCATGCAAATCAATTCTTAAGCATATATTTAAGCACATGGACCCTGACATCTATGAAGTCAATATTCCATGCCAATAGCTCTCTGAAAACAGATGACCAGCACTGCTATCTGCCAGAGATATACAGTTCTTTCACTAGAAGACTTCTTTGCAGCATCACACATTTTATAAATTCAAAGTAACAACCCTGTAAAGTTGGAAGGCAACATAATTCTCTATCAGGAGATAAGAAAAACAAAGCTCATTGATAGTCTATGGCAATACTGGGGATCAAGTCCCAAGTTTAAACACTCCAAGCTAACTATGTATAAGATGTAGCAGTTTCAGGCCAAATTATATATGTAGACATAGATATTTATACTCTTTGTCTATATCTATTCTACAGTTTTGGACATTTAGTTATGCCAGTTAAGGAGGAACAGCCATGTCTCTAAACAAACGCATGTGTAGTTTGAGGTATTACATATTTTGTTGCAAAAAGCACCAAAGTTTCATGAGATATCATTATATAACAGAATATTTCTCTGCAAAGTCTTGGAAAGAGCAGATCTTGATAAACTATTACAAACTAAACATGATCTGAAAAAATTATGTTGCTTTGTGGTTTTTTTTTTAAAGAAGTGCAAAAAGCAGCCTAAGAACCTGAAATTAAGCTGAATATATATATAACGTACAACTAAGCTGGCAAATCCCTTACTTCAGAAGTTTTGGATACAAGTTGACAGGTTAGAAATTGACTTACCTGTAAACATGTCTTGCTGTTCACTGCCAAGTTTTTTTGTATGGCAGACCTTTCATCTGACACAAGATATTAATTCTTACATTATTATGTGGTGGTCAGATATATATGAGAAAAACTTTCCTAGTATTTTTTTTTAACTGTAGGAATACTAGAAATATAAATTCTGTCTATGGGTAACTGGAAGAAAAGTGTAAGAAAACTGTCAGTCTCACAGAGTCTTTTACATATGCTTGGGATAAATAGGAGCTTAAAAAGAAACCTTCAACTGTTAAAAGACCCATCCTACACTTCCAGCTCTCAATTAGTTGTAATTGTGGATTTTCTTCCCTGACATGTTAAATGTTCAGCTCTCCATCTAACAATGGAGTCTCCCAGCATAAAGATGAGAATGGCAAACACAGTTCAGAAAGGATAAGATTTAAAAATCATTTTCAGATCTATTTGCATCTAAGGGAATGATTATATTCCAGGGAATCATAAATGGACATATTTTTAACCTGCCACAGTAGATCACCTCCAGTTGTGAGTAGGAGAGAAAAGGAACAACTTACATATGGCAGAGAGTCAATGAAGGAATGAATATTGGCTTCTTTTGCTGCATTAACAATTTCTTCATGTGACACTTGCCGACTGTTGTCTCCATATGCAATGTTTTCACCAATAGTGCAGTCAAAAAGGATCGGTTCTTGTGAGACGATACCAATCTGAGCTCTCAGCCACTTGATATTTAGTGTCTTTGTATTTTTGCCATCAAAAAGCTGAAAACCCAAACATTTTGAACTTTAGTCATATGGCTATATGTGCATTTGAAATTTACTGTAAATTTATACACAGAAGTTATGCAATTGCAGCTCTTTCCTTAGAGATACGTAGTGCCTTGCCCTCCTTCTCTATGTTCCAAAATTTTCAAAGGGCTATCATGTAGAAGTGAGGATAGTCCCTTCTGCTGCTTCAGGCCTTTTTCTTGCTTCAGGATTTAATGACTATTTTGAAGACAGTGGAAGATAGGATATGCTGAGACAATGTCAGATAACTTTGTGTAAAGTTCTTTCATTTCTTTCTTCAGCGTGAGAACTTTCCTCCATCTCACATATATATTCCCACTGAAGGAACAGATTGGCACTAGTATTCCATTTAAATAAAGGAAGAGTTGGGTTATTCATTCACACACTTGTAAGCCAAACATCCAATCTTAAATTTAATCATGATGTAATGCCTGACAATGGACAAGTTTACTTCTGGATTCCTTACGATATCATTTGTAGCCAGTTTTCTTTATTGGCATCTCTGTCACACTTCTGAAAATTTGGCTACTGAGTTGCTATCATTGTCTATTAGATAAATGACAACAGATAATTTTTATGGATAGATCAGTTTCATAATTATACAAGTAATATCAACTCAGATACAAATATACCAGATCATCCAGAGGGCTGTTACACACCCACTAGAATCACCCAGTGCAGTGCTCAAGCTCTGTGACATGATCAGCTGGATAAATTGAAGAGCTGCCCACTTCACAGCATACCTACTGGATATGATCAGTCTACTAATTCTACAGTTTGTGCTAGAACAGCCAATTCACAGCCAATACAATTGTTTTCCAAAAGAAGGAGATCATAAGAACCTGATTCAAAATCCACTGAAATGAGTGGCAGCATCTCTACATATGCGAATGTAAAGGCAGAGGTGAAAGCCTGAAGGCTGAAATTGCTTTCAACTACTTTGGTATTTGCCACCTCTTTTCCTGAGAATTCCAATGGATTTTCAGGCTGCTAAGGCCTGCTCTCTGTTCTTAATTTGATGTGAAAAATCACTGATGAAAATAAAGAACTCAGTTCTATGCTGCTTCTTTCTACACATCAGTTTGCTACAGTGGACCAGTTTGGACATTTCCAAACTCAAAAAGATCTTGCCCATTGCATCGAGGCCTTATTTAAGTATTGCTTTACCTTTTGTGAGCATCTCTGCAAAGACAGCTTCTGAAATCCTTCTTATTCTCACCTCACCCAACCCAAAACGTATGGGTTCTTTTTCAAACAAAATGTCTGAGCACATTTATGATAAATAGAAAACAACAATAAACGATGTGGAAAAAAAAACACACTAAAGTTGCTGAATAAGTAGTGTGGGAAGACCTGGATGTTTTTTAAACCAAAATTACTAGAAGTATTCACAATATATAACTTGGCAAGTGGGCATACTCTGAAAGATGTTTCTGACAATTAAAAATTCAGATTTTTTTTTTTGGGCAATATTCACTATTTTAGGAAAGAAAAGATGGCAAATTTTATTACTTCATTATACAGATGGAGATACATATATTTAATAACTTCTAAAGTGCTCTTAACATAAAGACCTCAGGAAAACCACTCTGAATCCAAAGCCGTCATTAGACTCTGGATCAGGCATATTTTTACCATGCAGATCTTGTTTTATGAATTCATTATAATGTGAGAAACAGGGCCTTTTCCCATTATGTTATTCATCACATTTAAATAAAGAGCTCTGAGGAGCCACTGTTTGTCTTTAAGATGAAAAATAGGTTTAAAATAAAACTAGGAATATCTATTATACTTTATCACATCAAACCAAATAAGCACACCCTCACTTAACATGTTGACATGTTCTTACAAAAATACGTACCATTTCTCCACCAAGTGGATCATAAAATCTCTCGAGCAGCTGAATAACAGTGCTCTTTCCACACCCACTGCTACCAACAAGAGCCAGAGTTTGTCCCTTTTCTACTTTTAGATTTAAACCTTGAAGGATTTTGACTCCTGGTCGGTTTGGGTAGTTAAATGCCAAATCTTTGATCGTTATGCTTCCTCCAAATGTTTCCTACAATTGAAATAATGTCAGTGTTACATCTTTAAAATGATTTGACAGAGGATTCAAACAGAATTGTCAAAGTCTTTCCCTCACTCCCCCATGCTCACTGAAATCAACAGTTTTTCATTTGCTGGAACACTGACTTTAACCTGGTGATTTGAATCTTTGCAAATCTATAAAATCAAAGTACAGCACTCAACTACTTTGAAAATACTCATAAGTCTGCTGGCTGGATTCCACACAAGTTGTACCTTAACCAGATTTTCGACACAAATAGCATTTAGGCAGTGTAGGCAAAAGCTGGACTCACAATAGTGAGAACATAGTCCATGGTGTGTTTAGGCAAAGTGCTGAGAAAACATTGACATAAGGAAGTAAGCAGAAAGAGAAGATAAATCAGTTTGGAGTGAGAAGAATACTGTCCATATTGGCAACAAATAATATCGCCCATCACACATGGCTTACTTACAGGCTTCTCTCCTTCTTCGCTGTAACTATCTATTAAGGGTACTCGTTCAAACAGCAGAAACAAGTGGGTTGCTGATATCTTTGCTTTGGCATAGTCTGGAGCAAAAGAGCTGGTCTGTCCTAGTGCCATTGCACCAAATACAACAGCTGAAAACACTCTATAAAAAGAAATTGGGGTGGGGTGTGGAATCAATAAATAGACAATGAAGAAAAAGTCAATGGAAATGGGACTGTAGTCAATTTTTTCTTTTGCTCTGAAAAAAAAGGGGGTTACATTTAAAAAGAATAAAGTAGTAACCAACTATGACTGCTTTAATACTTGTTTAGCTTCAGAAATGTCTTTTTATTCTCTTTTACAGACATGAGATAAACAAGACTCCATTCCAAAATCAGTGTTTTCATTACTTATTAGGACTAATTTCTTTAATTATTAATACTGGTTAACTGCATTAAGTCTCAACTGGGGCTAGGAGAAAAGTGGTGGATGGATGGTAAAATCGCTACTCTAATCCTGTTCCAATATTGCTGTGGTTTCTTCTCTATGGTTCAATGACCTCTGGAAGTTAGTGATTAATTTTTAAGGCATCAATGAAAATAAGAAATCGAGCATGTAATAAGGTGACAGTAAAGATTTACTTTGCTGTGACAGCTTTGCTGGAAAGAAACTGAAGGGTTCACAACACAAAAAAGAAGATTGAAAACTGTATTATTGTTGTTTTATGGTGAATTTAGATGTATCTTTACAGGCTACATTAGAATGGTTTAAGAACCTGATGTCCTCAGCTATTCATTACTGCCATACCACATAAAATTACTCATCACTGAGAAGGGGAAATTGACTTATGATAACTCTTAGCCCGTGTTAAGGCAAAGTAAAACAAATTCATTTATATTATTTTTATGTTTTCTCTTTAAAGCTTTATAAACTAATCTGTATTATTCTGCATTTGAACAGCTTTGAAGGGCTCACACAGTATTAGGTCACACAAACTAAGGCACAGGAAGTACACTCACCAAACTGGCTAGAGATGCTCAGTTAGCTGTTGGGATGCAGACACTAAGCTGTGTTATCTACCTTTAATCAGGTTGCCAATCAGATTTTGTATTGATTGGCCTTTGTTAGGTATTCAAGTCACTGATATCCATACTGGTAGAATCTTGCTCTTTTCATACTTGTTTCCATGTGCCCGTATTGAGTTAGTGCCTTTTAAATTACAAATTATATTCTGAGTTTATGTACACTCTAGAATAATGGAACTTTGCTTATGATAGGGGCTCTTAGGTATTATGGCAAATGATCAGATAAACAGTGATTATAAATCCAAAGTATAAAAGAAGCTAAGTATAAGCTATAATTTCAAAATTATTCCTTAAATTTTTGTACAGTTTCTGCCCTTAAAAGCCTATATAAAGTACCCTCAGAGGCAAATAATTGTACTATTCCTTGTGTAACTTCAGATTGCAATGGATGCATTTTCTAAGAATACTGCAAATCAGAATCATTTTATTTGCAGTACCCATCTAAATTAAAAATAAAATGCTCCACCTGACTATGGGTTTGTGGAATACTCTACATACTGTTCTTACATTCATGGTTCATACTTCCATTTCCCAAACAAAGCTGGCTGATTTAAGTGAACAAGCTTCTTATCAAAAAGTCATCTAAAATAATTCAGTTATCTTTCGCTTCTAGTGAGCAGCATCTACCTTATGGAATCCTGTTACCCAATTATTTCATGTGTATTTTAGAGAACATTTCAAATTTCAATTAATAAACCTGACACAGAAATAAAAAAGATGCTGATGACCTAATCTTTAAAAAGGTTTTTAGAATATTATTATGCTTCAATAAACAGGTACAACTATGTTTTTTACAGAACATACAGAGGACCTCATACTACATGAGCAATATGATTGTGAGAATAAAAAAAGTGGCATAAGTAGGATACTGTTTCAAACTCTGGAAAACATAATGGTCCCAAATAAATACAGAAAAAGAAATCCAAAATTAAGTCTATCCAAATAGCTCAGATTCTGTAGTCACCTGAAGTATCTACTTTGTAATATGCTTTCATTATATTTAATTACAGAAGTAGAATTTGTCTGTTTTCTTACAGCTTACTCGATGGGTTAATATCTCCAGCAGTAAACAAAGACAGTTGTCTGGACTGAGAGAAAAAAACTGCAAAAGAGATACTTACAAAAACACACTTTTAAACTCCATGTGTCCATTTACCACTAGATAGGCACCAAAACGGAAACAGCCAGCATAGGTAAAGAACATCATCGCTTGTGAAAGGGCAAAACAAAATCCAAATATATGTGCCTTCTTCACAGAATTTCTGTAAGAAAGAATGCATATTTGCATAAAAATGTACAACCATACTGAAGTCCCGATTTGCAAAAAAAAACCCAATTAATTGACTTTAGGTCATACTGTTACAGGTGGGAACTGTACTCAAACAATACAATCCCTTGTCTCCTATTAGAGAGGAAGAGTGTTCAAGAGAAAGTTTTGTTTCCAGAATTTAATTCAATTTCAAGAACGGCTTGGAGTATGGTGCAGAAAAAAGATGACAACTTAACTGCTATGTGTAATTATTGTCTTACCATGTCCTAGTTTGAGTGTTAAAAAACTTTACAGTTCAGTCCATGATTACCACTTTGAAGATGTAAATAACACATGTGAAATGGTACTACTGCATCACATAAAAGGAATAAAACCCCAAAAGAGCAGAACTCTTAGCTCATCTGCAGCGTAAAGCCAAATTTTTGTGTCTTTTTTGCTTTACTTGCAATTTTATGTTGAACAAGTAACAAAGATATTAAGCAGTTCAATACTATATATTTGAAAATCTGTTTCTTTTCAATGTAATCAGTCAAAATTCCTCTCTCAGATAAGATTAAGCCTGCAAGTATGAGGCAGAAACTAGATTTTGGATGATAAAACTATGCCTATAACTAAAAGCAAGGCAGAGAGAAAATTTTCTGCATCTATGAATGAGACCAGAAAAAAAGAAGAAAATATTTTAATGATATTGATGCTATTCACAGGCCACAACTGTATGGTTCCTTCTGGAAAAAACCCAAACCAACATAAACAGAAGCCAGATTCACAAGTGAGGGTTTTGTTGACTAAGAGGTTGTTGTGACTTCTGACAGATTTGGGCATTAATCCAGAATAACAGAAGGCCTAAATTCAATTTTTATAATATAGAATACCCTTGCCTAATCAGTGGCTTAACATGCACTGAAATATTAACTGAAAAAAATCCATATCCTACTTCTTCCAGACAAATTGACCATAAGGCAGTAAATTCTTATTTATACTAGCACAACATTAAGATGAAAGTCTTAGAGCGATCCCATCAATGTCACCTTGAGAATGGTTACGCAGTGTTCTGCACATTGTGACATATGGACTCAAAACCCAGCAGCCTGAGAAAAAAGCTAAGTAATAAATTTTATGACCTGCACTGTGCTCTAACTACTCGGTTATTTTGGTGGATGTATTATCAGTACCCCTACTTGTCTCCCATTATATCTGTGTACATATGCCGCCATTCCCTTACTTTTCTCATGGATGTCTGGAAATGAAGCTTTGAATTCCAGAGGAATAAAATCTAATTGACAGTATGTTTTTAGTTTTTTACTGTAAGACTTTTTAAAATTTGATTTAGCCCAGGCAGATTTCTATTCCATTTTTTTTAGTCACAAATAAATGAGTAATTATTCCAATGTTTTCAATCCTATTAATATTTTGAAAAATGGCTTAATGAAATATTCAGCTTACATTTAAAAGTTTTAAATTAAATATACAAACCACTTCAGGTAGGAGCCGAGATTAGCTGACTTCCAAACCTCACCTAAAACTAACATTTTTCCAAGCCAAGTGACTTCACAATAGAAGATACTTGTATTATCACAGAAAATTAATTAAATCAAAGAACAAAAATGTTGGCTGTTGGTTGCATTTGTTAATAAAAAATATGCAAATATTTACATTAATTCTGAGTTATTATACATTAAATCACACACAGTAACAAATAAATCCATGTTTGTCCAAGTAAATGTTTATAATTTATTCTATTATTTAAGTACAGATTTTTTTTTAGCTCGGTTATTGTTATTATACCTGTATGGTACACGCAAATGTTCTCCGTACATCAACTCAAATTTTCTTTCTCGGGTCAAACTAACAACAGTTCTAATATTTTCTATGGCTTCTGTAGCAATCTGCAATAGGAACACAAATGTTTTAATCAAAAGTTAAGATTATGTTGCAATTCTTCATCCTAAACTAATAAAAAGATTCTGCTAGAATATAATTCTGGGTTTTTTTTGTGGTAATTGTTTTTAAAATAATTGACCTTTGATACCAAAAGTAAGTATTTCACACTTTGATTTTTATGACAGGGAGATTTTCTGATGATGTTCAGGATTTTCTGGGAAGAACACTTTAATATCCTCCAAATAAGTAGTGAAAAACCATTAGACAGCAGTTACATTTATGAAGAAGATATTCAAGAAGAAAAATGGCAATTTAGCATTCAACTTCCAGCCCTCCGAGTTTGGGCTATAATAAGAAAGTCTAAGTGACTTCTGTGTTTAGAGCTTAATTTAGATCTCTACAGTAAATATTTGATCTGATCCATAATACTTCTTCAAACTTGCAGATTCTTTAGACTTCAGTCATTTGCATACAAAGAATCAAGGTGGGGAGAGGCGTTTTTTTTTTTTTTTCCCAAGAAACTGACAATATTTTTTAACATCCTAAAGCCTATAAAAATTCAATCTATATTTCAATTTTAGAAAGCATAGAATGGATACACATCAATTTTACACAACACTGTTACTGCATTTGGTGTGTTACATAGCTCATTTTTTCCATGAAGCTCTTTAAGAACTAGTGTTTCAGAACACTGTGCTTCTTTGAAGCTAGTTCCTTGAACCCCCACTGTTTCGAGCTCATGCTTAAAATTCAGCAAAAGGCTTTTTTCTACACAAAGCTTTCTGAACTGAGCACTTACACAAAAAGCAGAAGAGAAGCTTCAGGGAGAAGCACAAGCACTTAATAAGTTCTTGTACTACAGTAGGCCTGTTAGTCTCACTCCAATGCCTGGCAAAATCATGGAGAAGGTTATTCTGGGAGTTACTGAAAACCCTTGAGAGACAATGCAGTTGTTGGTCACAGCCAGCATAGGTTTCTGAGGAGAAAGTCCTGTTTAAGTAATTTGACTCCCCTTTATGACTAAGTCACCTATGCAGTTTATCAAGGGAAGCCAGTGTATTTGTGGGGTGTTTTTGTTTCTTTTTTTTTAATTTTAGCAATGCTTTTGACACTGTCTCTTACACTATCCTTCTGGACAAGATTTCCAGCGTACAACTAGGCAAGTGTGTAATACGCTAGGTGAACAGTTGGCTTGGGCTCAAAGAGTTACAATAAATTGTACTTACATCAGGATGGTGGCCAGTCAATAATGGGTTCACCAGGGATAAATTTTAGGGCCAGTGCTCTTCAATGTTTTTATAAATTATCTGGATGCAGGAGTAGAGTGTATCCTAAGTCTGCTGATGATACTAAATTAGGAGGAGTTGTGGACTCCTTCAAGGTTTACAGGGGCCTTACAGGGAGATTTGAATAGACTGAAGAGCTGGACAGTTACCAACCATATGAAATTTAACAAGAGCAAGTGCCACATTCTGCACCTGAGACAGGATAATCCTAGTTACATATAAAATTAGGGGAAAGATAGAGCAGCCCCACAAAAAGATTTGGAGGTTTGGGTTGATGGCAAATTGAACAAGTTAACAGTATCCCCTTGCAATCAAAAGGGCCAATTGTGTCCTGGGGTGCATCAAGCATAGCACAGCTTTCTGGTCGAGGAAGGTGATTGTCCCACTCTACACTGCAATGGTGAGGCCCCATGTTGAGTACTGCGTGCAGTTTTGGACATCTAAATATGAGAAGGTCATTAAGCTAATAGTGTGTGTCCAGAGGAGAGTGACCAAGATGGTGAAAGGTTTTGAGGGCAGGACTTAATGGGCAGCAGCTGAGGTCACTTGTTTTGTTTAGCTTGGAGAAAAGAAGGCTGAGGGGTGACCTCATCACAGTACACAGCTTCCTTAGGGGGGGCAGCAGAGGGGAAGGTCTCCCAGAGAGCTCCAGAGAGGATCTCCTCTCTCTGGTGACCAGTGATAGGATATGAGGAAAGTGTCAGGGGCTGTTCATATTGGACATTAGGAAAATTTTCTTCACTGATAGGGTGGTTGGTCACTGGAGCAGGCTCCCCAGGGAAGCGGTCATGACGCCAAGCCTGTCAGGGTTCAACAAGCATCTCGATGACACTCTTATTAGTCATATGGTTTAGCTTTAGGTAGTCCTGTGAGCAGCAAGGAGTTGGACCTTCTAACATGAAATATTCTATGATTCTGATTCTATGAACAGAATGAAATTCTGTTCTGAAAACTGACCCTGTAAATTCACTTACAGGACATCAAAGTGATGGCAATTCACCATACAGTTCAAATGTCTACTTTTAAAACAGGGAAAAGAAAATATATTCTCCACACTACACTACTTAGTTTTCTAAGGTATCTAAACCACAGACCTGAAAACATTTTTCTTCATGAACTGTCACCAAGGATTTTTAAACTGTGGTACTCTTATCTTTGTTCTAAAATATAGGGATACAATTATCTTATAGCCTCAATAATGCTTGTGCCACTGTTTGAAAATTTGCACATAATTGACTAATTGATTGATTTGAATGTAATAACACAATGTTAATGATTACAAAGAAATTAAATAGTTTTTTTATTCTTAGTTATATTGTCTCACCAATACCCTAAGACGTAGTCATTTTTTTCATTAGTAGCATAGCTTCAGCAACCTTTCGCAGAAAGCAAATTTTCCAAAGAGAACACCATATTCACCAAAGAAAATTGCCTTTAAAAAGAATTGGCATTAAATAAAATGTCTGTAGTCTAGTGTAGTCTAGGTGAAATCACACATTTTTGTAACACTTGTGTTAATTCTTCACAATCTGCGACATTACAAACGGCTGTAGTCCCTATTCCAAGAATTATCAACCTTTTTTTCTGTTGTATCTTACAACAAAAAAAAATGAAATAAATGCTCAGTCGTTATAAAGAAGAAGCAGAAGAAATGTAGTCAGCTGAAAGGAAAAGAAATGCACCCTTTGGCTTGTATGAAAAAGCCCATGGAAAGATCATTATGCACAATTCCCTGTAGACTTGGAGGGACAAAGACATTTTTCAGCATCTTTATCTACAGACATAATAGAAGGAAACAAAACCCATTCAGTAGATAGGAGTTATGGGGCAGGACGTGAGGGAGGTGTCAAATCTAGATTAAGACATATGATTTAGGTGTCTAAGCTACCAGTGTACTCAATGGATACCCATTCAACAGAAGTAGGAAGCAATCCAGTTGCCTGTGCATTATGTGCCTACCAGTCTGTTTCTGCAGGATCGTTGACTGAAGAGGGAAGGACTCTAATTCAACTGCCCACATACCAGTAGCTTGTGCCACTGGAGATCCTCTAGGATACTCAAGACATTTGGGTAAGGCATGACAGATATGACATAAAACATAGAGTAAAACCATATCCTTTTGAAATGGCAGCTAGAGACTACCCAGAGACCATTGCATCCCCAATAACTATAAGAGGACATTAGACTGCTAGCAAATATGCAGACACAAACATTTAAACACTAAATCTGGAGGTTAATACAATTCCTTATGTGCATGGCTTTAGATAAACTACTTTCTTCTCAGCAACTTTAAAAAACCAGTATGACATATGAGGGGATTTTGGAAAATATCTGGGAAGTGATGAAATAGTTGTTCTGTCCCAGAAGGGTTTTTGAAATGAATTGACATTAAATGCCTTTATCTAATTTCTTAAACAAGAGTCTAGCCTTCTCGATTTTCAGTTCTTCCACTCGGGAAATAAAGGAATGGAAAACAGACCAAGAAACCAGTAGATATATATGTATTATCCCTGCAAACATTAATAAGATGAAAGAGAAGAGAAAAAAAGAGCAGTATAATATATGTAAGACAGATTACATGCCAAAAAGGGATGACAGAAAATAAGTAAGAGAATGTCAAAATGAAATTGTAAAATTAGGAAAATGGAGATGATCAGAACAGGAAGGAGAAAATAATATGCCAGAGGAGTGCATAGCACATTCTGGGGTTTACCCAGAATAAATAACATTCAATTATTATTGAAGAAGTGTTATGCTCTGTAGGTCTACAAGTGTAACTACATAGAGTTTAGCTGTCTCTGGAAGTTATATATTATTATACGTTCTTGTATTTCAAAGTAATACATCCATCAACTATGCTTTGGTAAATATGACGGTAGACATTACAGAAACAAACTTCTTTAGACCCACCTTTCCTGCAGCTTCCAGCTCTTCTTTATCTTTTTTAGTATGCCCAGCCAACATCTTTATTTCAATCATTCCTGCCAATGCAATGATTGGCACAACAGCTAAAAGTAGTAGGGTCAGCTGCCAGCCATAAACTAGTGATATAATAATTCCAGTCCCCAGGTTAGCTACATTTTGTGTAATTAATGCCAATCTGGCACCAGTTGCCTGGAGGAAGAAAAAAGACATTTCTTGCTAAAGTAACTGCATCTTAAATAAGGAAAGCATTTTCACCTATAATATTCCTGATTCTTAAGATATAATTTAGAAAGTCTTAGCTCAGTTTTGCTATTTTTCAAAATGGGAGTTTCTTAAATGATTGTGTAAAAAATCATCTAGATCACACTTAATTCTGCTCTCTCTACATTCTGATTACTTAAATTTGCACTGTAATTTCTAAATTCTGCTATTGAAGTTGAACAGGCTTTACCCATATCACATATTTACATTTACAGCTAAATATTAAGATCTGTCCCATTTTGTAGATTGTGCAGCTGGCTTTAGAAGTCATCACCCAATGAATAATAAATATAAATATTTAACTTCTATTATGGAAATAAGGCCAAAGATGTTACAGAACTCCTCAGTTCAGTGAAAAAGCACATAACTTCATGTAGCAGTAAAAATTTCCTTACACAAACACAAGTAAATCCATTAAGTATTCTTTAGATTAATACTAGAGACCCCTGAAGGTCCACAAATTACTTCTAAAGAACATCCAAAAAGTAACAAGAGGAAGTCTATTGCTACTATGCCCGTTTTTCTTTTTCATATAAGGAATCTGTACAATCAAAAAAATAGTAGGAGGTTATACACTGAACAAATTTAGATGTGCAAATTTAGGTCAATAAGATCTCTCTAAAGAGACTTTTATCTAAAGAGATTCCCATTGAATTTGTTTAATAATGAAGATCAAAATACAGCACAAAAGTAAACTTAAAAAAAAGGTTTACTTGGAAAATATTTTGTCAAACTCAAGACAGTTATCCAACCTTGGAAGAATCTTGGAGCAGATTCTCCTGGATGGCATGCTAAGGCACATGAAAAACAATGAGGTGCTTGGTGACAGCCAGCATGGCTTCACTAAGGGGAAATCCTGCCTGACCAATTTAGTGGCCTTCTGTGATGGGGCTATGGAACAGATGGACTGCGGTAGAGCAGTTGATGTCATCTACCTGGACTTGTGCAAAGCGTTCGACACTGTCCCACATGACATCCTTGTCTCTAAATTGGAGAGACATCAATTTGATGAATGGACCACTCGGTGGATAAAGAACTGGCTGGATGGCCGCACGCAAAGAGTTGTGGTCAATGGCTCAATGTCCAGCTGGAGACCAGTAACGAGTGGTGTCCCTCAGGGACTGGTGTTGGGACTGATCTTGTGCAACATCTTTGTCAGTGACGTGGACAGTCGAATTGAGTGTGCCCTCAGCAAGTTTGCTGATGACACCAAGCTGTGTGGTTCAGTTGATACGCTGGAGGGAAGGAATGCCATCCAGAGGGACCTTGACACACTTGTGTGTGGGCTGATGCCAACCTTATGAAGTTTAACCATGACAAGTGCAAGGTCCTACACCTGGGTTGCAGCAATCCCAAGCACAGCTACAGGTTGGGCAGAGAAGAGATTCAGAGGAGCCCTACAGAGAAGGACTTGAGGGTGCTGGTTGATGAGAAAATGAACATGAGCCGGCTTCAGTGTACGCCTGCAGCCCAGAAAGCCAACTGTATCCTGGGCTGCATCAAAAGCAGCGTGACCAGCAGGTCGAAGGAGATGATCCTGCCCCTCTACTCTGCTCTTGTGAGACCTCACTTGGAGTATTGTGTGCAGTTCTGTTGTCCTCAACATAAAAAGGACATGGATCTGTTGGAACAAGTCCAGAGGAGGGCCACGAGAATGACCAGGGGACTGGAGCACCTCCCGTATGAAGATAGGCTGAGAAAGTTGGGGCTGTTCAACATGGAGGGAAGGCTGCAGGGAGATCTCATAGCAACCTTCCCATATCTGAAGGGGGCCTATAAGGATGCTGGGGAGGGACTCTTCACTAGGGACTGTAGTGATAGGACAAGAGGTAATGGGTTCAAACTTAAGCAGGGGAAGTTTAGATTGGATATAAGGAGGAAGTTCTTTACTGTGAGGGTGGTGAGGCACTGGAATGGTTTGGACAAGGAAGCTGTGAATGGTTCATTCCTGGCGGTGTTCAAGGCCAGTTTGAACAGAGCCTTGGGTGGCATGGTTTAGTGTGAGGTGTCCCTGCCCATGGCAGGAGGGTTGGAACTAGATGATCTTAAGGACTTTTTCAACCCTAAGTATTCTATGATTCTAACCAGTCAAACCCAAGCTGCAACTTTACTGCATACTAGTCCAAATATGAAAATACAAAACAAAATTTTACTTACTCCTTTCACTTGTGAGGCATCATTAGCAAGTCTTGTAGTTAATGCTCCAGTATTATTTTTAGTATTATCAAACCAGCTCATGTCCTACAATCAGAAACATTTTTCTTAGGACCAGTTTTTGACATTTCACATAAACCACAAAGTAAAACTGAGGTCTAGCTAATATAACCGAGCTTATTGGCAGAAGAATATCTGGCTGTGCATCTGTTCTGAATATTTAATTACTCTAATCCCTTCGTTGCACAGTGAATATATTTAGAGAAAAGTATACACTTGTGGATGGCCTGATGTGTACACTGTCACTGCTGAGAAGGAAGGAGAGTAGCCAGGGGGATTCCCAGATCCAAAATTTACCCTCCCCCACTACTGCAGAAACTGCATCTGCTTGGAGAAGATGACTCTTCAGTCATACTCCTTCACAAGTGCAGAGCTGTTTGAGAGTGAATTAAGTGTATGGCATTCTCAGGGCAAAACCTCCCAGCTCACTGCTTGTTTGAAGAGGCTTATTTGGAAACTATGAGACAAACCAGTCCATCAAACTGGTCTATCTCATCATAGTTGACTGTTGGGGTCAGGTACATAGTTTATAATTTATTCACCATGTGATCAAATATCTGATTCAAGCTTTCAGGTGTAATATGCAGTGAATGAAAACCTGGTGATGCAATGCAGGCATTTGTGATCTCAAGCCTTAGCTGTAAGATTGCTCTTTCATTAGTTTTTCAGTGAGGCTGGTCTATAAATCAATTTTTCAGACTACAACAGCTTTTTGTCTGCATTGCAAATGGTCATGTTCAAATGAATCAAATTCTGTGTCTATGTGTAGCTTTATGTGCAAGACACAACCCCTCAGAAATACTATACTGTACATTTGAAAATCTAAAATATTGATCCTGAAATCATGCAAGATTAATGCCAATTTAGATAATTAAATTAGTTACTTAATACTGCTATGAAATATTTCTAATTCTCTGAAAGTGGCTTTGTATGAATACACGACAACTGTAGATTTAGGAACTCTTTGAAGGAGACCTTCAAGAAATAAATAAAACCATATTTGTACATATTGCGTTTTAAATCAGACATTTAAACTAAGAGTTACAATGTAAGCTGCACTGCTATTTCATTTCTTTAGGGAAGAAAGGGCACCAAGAAAGCAAAGCAGGCAAATGAACAACACATAATGGGTTACTGCTGGTGCACAATAACCTATCAGGCCATAGTAACTTGGCTGTAAATCTAAGTCCTTGCAAGGAGTACATAAAATGCTCTTGTACTTGCATTGATTTAAGACTCTCCTCGTAAGGGTACTTTGCTTAACCACATGTAACAAACCAAATTGGTTTCTAGACTGATTTAGAGAATATTATCTGTAGGAAAGTAATAGCATGATAGAATTAAGTAGAATACTGTTATTTTATGATATCTATACAACTAATTAGTTTGAACACCCTAGAAATAAAAATATTTATTTTCTTTACCTGCCTAAGCATTGCTTTAAATGCCATGAATCGAAGCCTCATTGTAAGAATTTCTCCAGCTTTGCCGAATGTGAAACCCTATTTGAGGAAAGATACAATGCTTAGCATACTATTATATTGTTTGTGCTTATTCAATAAATATTTTAGATATATTGTCTCTACATCATCAAAGTACAAAATACTGCAGTCCTGACTGCACTAAGCAAATATAAAAACAGGCTTAATATTCTCAATTCTCATAGGTTCACAGTACAACATTCAAATAATATTTATCCAAAAAAATATGCAGAATATAGTGTTATTTCCCAGCACTGCTTCATCACCATACTCCAAGGAAAAGATCAGTAATCACCCCTTTGACTTTATTTTCATATGAGCTGATCGAAGTCAGATTTAAACAAGTGGCTTTTGGGCTGTTCGTTTTAGGTTAAAGATACCGTAAGGCAATCTGGGTTCATGGAAGTCAAATGCAAATTTCCCATTGACTCCAACAGTAAGCTTTCTTCCCCATGATCCTAACACAACCTGACATAGCAATCATCAGTAATACATCATGTTTTACAATGACTTGTAGCCACATATATAAATTAATTAAAAAGATCAAAAAGGAAACATGCAGGTTAAAATTTTGGGAAGATACACTCTTCCTACATTTTACTATGACATCAGGGTTTATAATTAGCTTTGTTTAGCTCACTATCACCTTTAGGTGATTACAAATACTAATTGTTTGGAATCTATTTTTGTGAAGTTGAATACTGTTAAAATACAAACCACAGATAGAACTGTACTATGTTATACTAGGAAAAATTATCATAGAATCACAGAATCATAGAATAGTTAGGGTTGGAAAGGACCTTAAGATCATCAAGTTCCAACCCCCCTGCCATGGGCAGGGACACCTCGTTCTAAACCATATTACCCAAGGCCTCGTCCAACCTAGCCAGGGATGAAGCATTCACAACCTCCCTGGACAACCTATTCCAGTGCCTCACCACCCTAACAGGAAAGAATTTCCTCCTTATATCCAATCTAAACTTCCCCTGTTTAAGTTTTAACCCATTACCCCTTGTCCTACCACTCATGGCATATTCCAATTAGCAAATACTTCTCAGTTAACTTTGATCATCATCTATTCTGTGTCAGTAAATTTGCACAGGTATGTAACTTAGAAAAAAATTACAGAAGAACATCAGAGAATGGGCACTATATAAAGAAATCATAAGAATTTTTCAATTTTTTTCCATTCTCACTAAATGAGAAGGACAAAGGAAGGACCTTGACATGCTTGTGAGGTGGCCTGATGCCAACCTCATGAAGTTTAACCATGACAAGTGCAAGGTCCTACACCTGGGTTGCAGCAATCCCAGGCACAGCTACAGGTTGGGCAGAGAAGAGATTCAGAGGAGCCCTGCGGAAAAGGACGTTGGGTATTGGTCAATGAGAAACTGAACATGAGCCGGCTTCAGTGTGCGCTCGCAGCCCAGAAAGCCAACCGCATCCTGGGCTGCATCAAAAGGAGCATGACCAGCAGGTCAAAGAAGGTGATCCTGCCCTTCTACTCTGCTCTTGTGAGACCTCAACTTGGAGTATTGTGTGTAGTTCTGGTGTCCTCAACATAAGAAGGACATGGAACTGTTGGAACAAGTCCAGAGGAGAGCGACGAGGATGATCAGGGCACTGGAGCACCTCCCATATGAAGATAGGCTGAGAAAGCTGGGGCTTCTCTTGTTCTCTGGACAAGAGAAGGCTGCAGGGAGATCTCATAGCAGCCTTCCAGTATCTGAAGGGGGCCTATAAGGATGCTGGGGAGGGGCTCTTCACTAGGGACTGTAGTGATAGGACAAGGGGTAATGGGTTCAAACTTAAGCAGGGGAAGTTTAGACTGGATATAAGGAAGAAGTTCTTTACTGTGGGGGTGGTGAGGAACTGGAATGGTTTGCCCAGGGAAGTTGTGAATGCTCCATTCCAGTTCAAGGCCTGGTTGGACAAAGCCTTGGGTGGCATGGTTTAGTGTGAGGTGTCCCTGCCCATGCAGGGGGGTTGGAACTAGATGATCTTAAGATCCTTTCCAACCCTAACTATTCTATGATTCTACAATTTGTGATGTTTCATCTCAATAAACTTACCACTCAAATTTAAAGTATTATATGAACATTTATAAATTAATCAAACCTATCATAGCCATCTACAAGTCAGTCTTGTATACTCAAGGGCTTCTTGAATGCATGTGCAAAAAGACAATTCCATAAATAAACATGGAGTTTTTTGCAAGAGATTATTTATGCTGCTATCCCAATTGCGCTTCATTATTTTGCTGTTTATGCTCATTCAATGGATAAAACTATACAAATGCTCAGAAATTATAAACCAGACTATAGATGAAAATAATATAATGCCAAAGTTTGCACTTGTATGATTATTACTTTACTACGGCAGTCTTGGAACAGTTAAATATATCTAAGTATTAGGGAATTTTATTTAAGAAATGGAGATGGCTATAGAAATCAGTGAGAGCATGGTATAGGTATTACTGCTGAACCGTTCGTATCTAAGCAGGAAGAGCTGAATATCACCATGATGGGGTTTACTTGATGAACTAGGCTAGGGAATCTTCGGGCTCACTCCCATAAGATAAGACTTGAATGGGGAAGGGGTGAGGGGAGTAAAAATTTGAGAGCTTAATGCAGGAGACTGGAACACTTGAAATTATAACAGATTCAAATAGGCCTGAGAGTGAGAAAGGAGTGGTATAGTGTAAAAGCTTGAGAGGTTGGTAGTTAGGTGGCAACGTAAAAAGAATGAGAGAATCGGAAGTTTCATGCCAAAATGCGTCTGACTTGTGAAGAAGAGGGAAAGTTCTGAAGTTAAGAGGTCAGAATGGTTGGAAGGTCTCTACCATATGAAAAGCTCCAGGTCAAAAAAGATATAGCTCAGCACAAGGCACATCTAGAACCATAAATGTGGGTTCTGTTTTGAATTGGAGAAACTGTATTAAAAAGTCACAAATTTTTAGTATATTTGAGATCTGGTTTCTAAAACATGACAAACAATCATAATAAAGTTAAAATAATAAAACATACCTGGAAAAAGAAAGTAAAAAAGGAAACGATCCCAAGTACTAAAAATAGCACTGAATACAAGTTGCTCTTTTCTCTTAAAATGTTCTTGTCAGTTTCTGAAAAGATCTATAAAATAATAGTTAAAACAACTTTTTTAAAATCAACTAATAATCTAAAATACTTCCATCTTTCTCAGTAACTATGGTAGTCATTCACATTAATATAAAATTTGAGCATGTGTTACATATAGGTATAACAAGTGAATTTTAGACTGTGGCAAGATTTTTACAATTTTGTAAATGTCACATAATTCTTCAGATTTTTGGAAGATTGCTTCATCCATTCCTCAGCTTCATTATGCAGTGATTGTTTAAGACCTGCTTTTATTTGAAATAAATGCCAGATTTTGCATATTTTATTCAAACTTACCCCTATAATTTCTGAAAATATGATTGAAAATGCAGGTTGTAAAACTCCATTGATAATTGCACATAAAGTTCCAGCTACAAAGTATGGCCATTCAGTTTTGTTCAACTTCATAATTTTCAGAAATGGAGCTGGAACTAATTCTTCATCCTAAAAAATGGGAATTCTGTTAGGACAAACATGTATCTATTTGGAGAAATACAGAGAAAAAAGAAGATTAGTATAAATTTTCTATTCCCAGAATCTTCTCAGAGGAAGTTAAAATGTATTTTTAATAACAAGAATAATTAAATTATTGTATATTTATTATTTTAATACAAGCAAGGAAGAGCTGTTAGAATATCTCCATAACTCTTGCCATCATGTTTTAGTTTACCTATATAATTTTCATTGATTGAGACTACTGGTATTGGTCACTGGTTACTGAACTATTCATTCTGGGCATATTGCTCTGTGTAATCCATAACTAGAGTACTTCAAGTAATTGTTCATTAAGCAATTTATAGCAGCAAAGTATTTGTTGCAAACATGAATGCAGTCGTATTTGTTCTACATTTTTTTTGTAATGTTTGTTGTAAGAGTTGTATGTCGCACCAAATGTCCTGTCTCTGATCCAAAAATGAATATTTAGACTATGTTAGTATGGTATGCAAATACCTAGTATAGTGAAAGGTTTCCCTGCCCATGGCAGGGGGATTGGAACTAGATGATCTTAAGGTCCTATCTAACCATAACCATTCTATGAGTCTATGATGCTATGATTCTATGTAAGTATATTTCTTTTATAGCAAATTGATTTTCAAGAATAAGCTCATCCTTCTTACATATTTTTAAGTCCCCATTTTATTTTTATAATCATACATGGTAATAATAACAAAACAAGATATGAACAGTATCAGTCAAAAGCTATTTGAGTTAGAAATTTCTCATTATTTTTTACCCCTATCAAATGTGTCCTTCATCTTGTACCTTTCTAGAGGAGGAGATTGAATTTAACTTTAATATACTTTGTTGAAAGAAATCAAGGTTCATTAACAGCTCTGCAAAGATACTTACAGGTGAACTCTTTTTCTCATCGGTATCCTCATTTTCTGCTCCGGGCTTTTTTGTATTTCTCCGAGTAGAATGTCTTCTCAATCCTCTTGTTAAGGATTCTTCAAATTCTGGTTCAGATTCACTTTTTTTGACACTAAGTGCATTCTCATATTTTTCTGATGATGGAACTTCAGCTTCTATTGACTAAAAGAGGGAAGAACATGATGCTAAGATTAATTATGCATATATTACTTCGAACTTTCAAAATTACCAGGTAATCAACGTAAAAATAACCGTCATTATTTCAGTGGAAAGATATATGGGGAAAACTGTATCTACTGCTATAAAACAGGTATGAAAATCTGTATTATATTTAAATATATCTCTATCTTCAGAGTTTGATTCACACATAAGAATATTCCATCTCTCAAGAAAAGGCTTGTAGTATGTGTGGGGCAGAGGAGTGAAAGTAACGCTCTTTCTTCATGAATTAACTCCTAACAGAGTTTTAAATTGAGTGTAAATCATTTGCACTCATCTTGGGATCTTTTTGAATTATTTCTCAGTGGGTACACTGTTTATTCATGAAGTGACAAAAAGTTACTTCTTTTCGTACAGAACACTTAATTCTTGACTTTGAATGTAATAAGGAAGTTCTGGGTGGAACAAGTAAAAAAGAGGTTTTGACTGAAAAATCACAACAGTCTGGTAAAGAGCCTTATTTTTGGTCATAGTTTGCCAATCTCTTTGACAGAATAAATAAATATTTATGCAGCACTGAGGTATTTAATAGTAACTGGATTCAAAGTTGCCTTCAACTTGTATTTTTTTTTCAGAAAACTTATTTTTTACTGCTTTTTGCACTACTAATAAAAATAACTTATTTTGCTTTCTCTCTTGTTTTTGTTATTTTCTCTTTTATTAAGCTCAGTTAAGCTCAGTTATAACCTAACTATAGCAAAGGACATAGGAAAGTATCAAAATATTCTGTTATTCACTTAATAACTAAAACATTTCTGTTATTTACATTCATTTCCAACCTGGCTACATAACTTTCAAAGCGTACATATTTCTGCATTCAGCAAAGTTGGAATCTTTTTCTCCTATTCCTTCATTATTTTATTTTTGTTTCAGAAAGAAATTCAGTATGAAGGATTATAACCAAACATCTTAAAATGCATGCTCTATTCCTCCAATATCAGCTACTATTTTACCTTTTATCATAGGCTAACAAAAAGTAATGGAATAGCAAACTACTGGAGTCAGCTGCTCTACATTAACTGCATAAAAGGGAAATACAAAATAATCCATTAGCTTAAATCCCTAGATGATTAAAAATTTATTGTGCTGGGTTTAAATAGGTCCGGTATCAAAACTAGTGGTCTTCTCTTTCTAGTAATTGCTCTCCTTTCAAAGTACAAATTTTTTGCTGTTAACACAATATGCTGCAGAATTCCTCATACTTCTGATAGCATGCATTAACCACGGGCATGGAATACAAAAAACAAAATGAGGCAACAGCTAGAAAGAAAAGTACCTGCATGTTAACGAGTTTGTAGTAGATTCCTTTTCTCTCAAGCAATTTAAAATGATTCCCTTGCTCTGTGATAACTCCACCTTCAAAGACAGCTATAAGATCTGCATTTCGGACTGTTGACAGTCGATGAGCTACTACAACCGTGGTGCGCCCTTCCCTTGCCTAGAAATAACAATATTTAGTATGAGCATTTCTAAATATATCAAAAAATGTTCATTTTCATATTAGAGTTGAATAAGACCCAAGGGAAACAATAAAATGATTCACATAAAAAATATAACTTTCAAAAAGAAATTTAAAAACCAGATTTCAGTAGGTATCTTAAAACAGAAATGTAATCTTTAGCTTGGAGATTAAAGACAGTCTTGCACTGTGGCACATAACACTACCAATTTTCAATCACAAATATCCAAACAAAATTCCTAGTATTTCAAATTTTAGAATGGTACAATGTTACAAACATCAAAATTTTTAAAATGCTAAATGTTCTTCTATTTAAGCCCACAGCTGTTCAATTAAACCTTAAAATCTGTGAAGGAGTTTATACTCAGAAGCATTAGAAAATATTTCAGACCGACATTTAAAAAATGTCAGTGTTTTAAGCTCTAAGTCACTGACAACTCAAGCAGCTTTACTGAAAATAAAATTCTCTACAATTCCATGTGAAATTTCAATTACCTATCTTTGGATATTTATAAGCCTATCACACATAATGCATCAAATGTCACAGCTTGCCACTTTAATTACTGGGCTGTATTAAAATGATCAAGCAACTTTTAGCTTAAATAATCAAAGTAATGACCCAAGACAGTGGAATTTTGTTGAAACCTGGATGGAGTTCCTCCACAGTGACATCCCTCAAGCGTCCATACCGGGACCAATGATGTTTAATATCTTCTTATTGACATAGATAAATGGGATTGAGTACACACTGAGCAAGTTTGTGGATGACACCAAGATGAGTGGTGCAGTTGGTTTGCTTGAGGGAAGGGATGTCACCCAGAGAGACCTTGGCAAACTTGAGGAGTGGGCCCATGTGAACCTCACAAAGTTTAAGAAGGTCAAGTGCAAGGCCCTGCACCTGGGTCAGGGCAATCCTCAATATCAGTACAGGGTGGGGGATGAAGGGATTGAGAGCAGCCCTGCAGAGAAGAGTTTGGGGATACTGGTGGATGAAAAGCTGGATGTGAGATGACAATGTGTGCTAGCAGCCCAGAAGGCCAGCTCTATACTGGGCTGCATCAAAAGAAGTGTGGCAAGCAGGTTGAGGGAGGTGATTTTGCCCCTCTGCTCTTATGAGACCCATCCTGTATTGTGTTCAGCTCCAGAGTCACCTGTACATGAAAGACAGGGACCTCTTAGAGCAGGTCCAGAGGAGGGCCACAGAAAGATCAGAGGACTGAAAGACTTCTTACATGAAGATAGGCTGAGAGAGTTAGGGTTGTGCAGCATGGAGAAGAGAAGGCTCCAGGGAGACCTTACTGTGGCCTTTTGCTATATAAAGGGGACTTATAGCATATGTGGAGAAAGACTATTTACCAGGTACTGTAGTAAGAGGACAAGGGACAATGGTTTTGAACTGAAAGGTAGACTGGATATAAGGAAGAAAGTTTTTATAGTGAGGGTGATAAGACACTGGAACAGGCTGCTCAGAGAAGTCGTGTATTCTGCATCATTGGAATTGTTCAAAATCAGGCTGGACGGGCTTTGAGCAACCTGGTCTAGTGAAAGATGTCCCTGCCCATGGCAGTAGGGTTCAATTAGATGATCTTTTCAGGTGCCTTCCAACCCAAACCATTCTGTGATTGTAGGAGTCCCTAGGTCTTCTGCAAAGGTTTGTGAGGAACCAAATTTAGAAGATAATGTGACAAAGAAAAATAACTTCTCTACTAAGTGTACTTATAGTAATAATTCTCCTCAAACTGTCTTTATCCAACATCAGTGGGAAGCAGAATATGATTGAGCAACTTCAGAATGCCATTTGGGGGTATAGCCCCAGTATGAATATAGAGACTCCTGAGTTGTATCAGGGATCAGCTGTGCCTTAGTGAGACAGCTCTACATTAGGAACAAAACAAGAAGTATTTAAGTGAAGCAAATTCTCCCCTGGAGCATGTCCTGCCAAGTCACTGCTACAATCACTTGCGACATGATGGTAGCACTTACCACGTCTGTCAGTCTTCAACAGAAGTTAAGTAAGCAGGTGATTAACAACAATATGCATGTGACTAAGATAAGCACAGGAGACAGCATTTACACCAAGAAAATGTTGAATTAAAGTTAAAAACACAGAAAATTCAATTCCATCTTCTTACTCAAAAGAAAAGATTCCTCTCTTGTAATACCTGCAGGACCTACAAAATTCTCTGTATAATGAATATTTGCCAAATCCAAATTTACCTTTTGTGTTTTAAGAGTCTGTTTCTTGCAGCTTTTTCAACAAATGTTTTGGAGAAAAAAAAGGTTAATATTAAGCTTCTCCTTATCTGCTTCATTTTAGAAGCCTACTGACCTTGTCCAGTGCTGCCTGCACAACTGCTTCACTCTCAGTATCCAAAGCTGATGTTGCCTCATCAAGCAGAAGAATTTTAGGATTGCGAACCAGAGCTCGGGCAATTGCTATTCTTTGCTTCTGGCCTCCGCTCAGCTGTGCCCCTCTTTCTCCAACGAGGGTTTCAAACTTCTACAAGACAATCACACACATTTCCAAAACACTGAGTGGCACAGTCCTTTCAACAGAGAAAGACAGTGTAAAGAAAAGCGACATCAACAGCAGGATCCCCAGCAGTGTCTCCTTCCGCTAAACCACTACAGGATACACAGCTACTTGGATATACCTGCCTAATCTTTTGTGTCCCTGGAACTCTAATAGTTCTTCAAATGCTCACCAAGTCATAACCTAAGGATATAAAATGAACATTATTCTCAAAAGTTATGAGGAAGCTCTGGATAGCTCTGCATATTCAGAGCTCCACGGATAGCTTCTGCTGTTTATGAGAATTCCTTCTAAGGAACTGCTTGGCACAAGAACATTTAGGAGAAATTACTTCAGCAGGACAGCTGCTTTGCTTACACTGGGTAGCTTCATGATGAAGTCATAAGCATTTGCTTCCTTGGTAGCTTTTTCAATCTCTTCCATGGTGATATCCTCACGGCCATAACGAATATTTTCTGCAATAGTAGTAGCAAATAGCACGGGTTCCTGATTCACCACACCGATAATCTCCCGCAGGTATCTCACATTTAAGCACCTAATATCCTGCCCATCAATGGTAACCTAAACAAAATGAAGCAGACAAAAATCTTTTACTGAGTGTTTTGGTCAAGGATCTTCTCTCCCCAAGCTGGCACACGCTTTTAGGAGAGACTTCACTGTGTCACTGGAACAAGGGCAGTGAGGAGTAGTGAGAGCCAGACTTCCAACAGCTGTGATAGACAGTGTCATCTCCCTGGAGGTATCTTACCCTGCCTTCCTTGGGATCGTAAAATCTTTGGATGAGCTGAACAGTTGTACTTTTCCCACAGCCACTGCCACCAACCAGGGCCACTGTCTGGCCAGAGCTAATCTTGAGATTCAAGCCCTTCAGTATCTGCATATGTAAGAAAGGTGACCAAAAACCATAACAGTATGTAAAAATGTCAGTGTAAATTTAAAGAAACTTTAAAGACTACAGTGAAATAGCATTCATATTTATAGCAGAATCGCATACAAAAACCCCATTCATAAATATGGACATTTAAAGTTTCAATAACTAATGAGTTCAGCTTAATTTTCTTCATATTTACCTCACAATTGATCTGATTTCAATGTACTATACAACACATTTCATCGTTATCCATATCATAGACCCATTCATATGGCAAAATAATAATGATTACTACCCATAACCAAAATATAATATAAGGATGCTGGAGAGGGACTCTTCACTAGGGACTGTAGTGATAGGACAAGAGGTAATGGGTTCAAACTTAAACAGGGGTAGTTTAGATCGGATATAAGGAGGAAACTCTATCCTGTCAGGGTGGTGAGGCACTGGAATGGGTTGCCCAGGGAGGCTGTGACTGCTCCATCCCTGGCAGTGCTCAAGGCCAGGCTGGACGAAGCGTTGAGTGAGATGGTTTAGCGTGAGGTGTCCCTGCCCATGGCAGGAGGGTTGGAACTAGATGGTCTTAAGGTCCTTTCCAGCCCTAACTATTCTATGATTTTATGTTTCTAAGAGGCACAGATAAATACTAACATTTAGTATGTCTTATTTTGCTGTAAATTTTTTCTTTACTATAATTTATGAAATTAGTATTACTATAAGTTATGAAATTATTACTAAATGTTTTGTGTAGCCTTAACTTCCTATAATTATTATCTTTGAATCCATGGGGGAGAGATCTCTATTCATATAATACCTGTATAAACTTATAAAATAATCCACTGAGATCAATAGTTATCTTTTCATTTATATTTGTATATGAAGAAAAATAAGCACATTGACTTAATTCACTTTCTTGATAGAAGGAAACCCCAAAATATGTAACATATTTATGAGTGAGATTGGCTTAAAAAGAAAGCTCTGTGTCTTTCTGCCTGTCAAAAATAAGGAAGATACCTTTATCCAGGTAAGTGATTTTCCTTCAATGCAGGGAAGAAAATAGTTACATAGTACAAAGACACTCTTCATGAAAATATTTTCATAAATCATTCAAATGTCTTCTACCTCCACTATATTAAGCCTCTAGATTTATGACAGTGCTTTAAAAAGCAAACTTTGTCTAGAAAAACAAATACAGATTCTGATCTCTATATTTAACAAGCCCTTGGTGGATCTGCTTTCATTATCTGATAGATTCTTAGCAGAGCTGTATTGCAGGTCCCTTTGAAATCCACTATGTCATCCCTATTATTACAGTACACACCCACTTGGGTTAGATGCATAAATTTTTATTCTGATAGCAATAAATCTTTAAGTTTATTGCATAGCCACACTGACTACAGCTTTAGGCAGAAAATTACTCAGAAAACTTGACATGTTTAGATAAAGTGTAAATAACTCTAGCTAAAATCCCTGTGATGGCAGAGTTGTTTTATATAAGCTAGTGAATCAAATTGGAATAGTTGTATTTCTGACAAAATGTTACTTATGTTGCTTTTTTTTTTCTAATAAATGATCCACGTTTAACTGTAATGTGTATAAAGTTTCATTTACAGTACCTCAACATCTGGCCTGGATGGATAATTGAAGTAAACATTTTGGAATTCCAAGTTCCCTTGAATCTGGTCTGGTTTGTGACCTGCCTCTGAATAGCTGTCAATTTGAGGTTCCTGTGCAAAATAAAACACAAATTAAAATAAAACCAAACAAACAAAAAATCCAACCAAAGCTTTTTCCTGAGGATTTCTTTCATAAAGCAGTCCTAGAGTGCACTGTTATTCTGCAGAGCTATTAAGTGCAATTTTACAGCCATTAAGATCAGAGTTCTGAAACAGGTAAATTGCATGATGTTTTGCTGCCTCATTACTACATTCACGAGCTTATGCAAGAACACTGTCATAACTTCTCCGTTTAAGCTTTTGTGTGATTTAGTATTTATTGTCCTTAAGACTGTACCACAGCTTGCCATAATTTCAGATTTATTTCACGGCCTGACGGTTAACCTGAACAGGCCATTCTAATGAGCATTCATACACCGTTCATTTATACCTTTGCCCTTTTTGCTGAAACAATATGCGTAAGAAAGAACCAATTCACTGACCATTAAGCAGAAAGAGAGTTCTTAATTATGACTGCTTTTCTTTGCATCCAGGGTGGGCTTACAAGCTGAAGCATGTCTTAACAGTAACCCAAAATATGCAATTACATTTCATAGAGCTTCATTAGTTAGTAAAATCACAGCTTCCCTGACTTCAGACTCCCTTGGCAACTGAAGTACACATCCAGGTTACCAGGCTGTGTTTTATTGATCTGCCAATGCTCACACTACTGGTCGTGACAATGATACTTTGAAACCTATGCTCACATACCTCCGCCATTTGTAATTACATCTCTATATTGCATCATAGATGTGCCTTTCATGATAAAACATTAGAGGATGCCTCCAACATTAAATGATTCAGAGATCTACTTTTACCTTTGAAGTAACGACTGATAAGTCTAGAAGACAAAGAGGAACTGACTAATACAGTCTATCTGCTTATATGTTTATAATTCTGTTTATTTTACACATTGTTATTTTTCTAATACTGCCTGTACTTTAAAAAGAATAGTATCTCAGTTTTGAAATGAGAGTAAGGGCAAAGATACTCACATTGTCTATGATATTAAAGATTGCATAAGCAGCTCCTCTTGCACTAGCAAATGCCTCTATGCTTGGAGCAGTCTGTCCAATGCTGAAAGCTCCGATCAATACAGAGAAAAAGACCTGAAATAAATGTTTATGGTGGCATATTTAAATACTTATTCAAGCACAGAATTACATTTATTTATTTACATTAGATATCTTTGGGTCAGGAGGCTCCATGCATGTTAAGGGAAGTTTAAGGAATGAAGAATTCAAGGAAAAAAATTGAAGTGTCTCTCTTGAACAAAGAATAACTCTAAGAAAAAGACTTTTTAAGATTCAGCTGAGAACTGAGTTCATGGACAATGTGAATGTTGCAAACATATTAATAAAAGTGAAAAAGCGTCTGAGATTTGTAAGTTCTATGGCAAAAAATGTATAATTACACTTGATGTCTCAGGATTTATTGTACTAGTTAATTCTTTGGCAAAAAGATGTTCCAAAGCCCAGAAAGTATATTGTGTATCTTCCAATGAAACAAAGACAAGATGCAAAGCACTATCATTCTGCTTTCAAAGTGACAGTGAAATAAAGTATGCAAATCCGGTTTCTTAATCACAAAGTAATAAAGGGTCCCTCTCCTGGAATGAAAGAGAATGAGTACAAACAAACAAGAAGAAAAATTAAACAAAGCAGAATAAAAAAAAAAGTTATTTTCAGTGAAGCGTAGTTTATTACTTTCAGCTAGTATCAAAACAAAATAATAAAACCACAGTGCTTGGAGATCATAATAACAGCCATAGTATGTCAGAGCAAAGGTCCATCACACCCATCATCTTTTCTCCAACAGTGGCCATTCACAGATGTGAACCTTAATAAGGTTACACCCTCCCGTTCTTGTTCTAAAAGCACCATTCCAATGAATTACAACATAGGCAACAGAAATTGTAAATAATTAGAACTGAAAAAAATGAAAATAATTAGAACTGAAAAAATCACATACAAGGGCATGAACCTCAGTGAGATGTTCCATGTGCTAGCCTGTCTTTAAAAAAAAAAAATAGGCAGGTTCGAAAGAGCCAGTAATACATACCAGAGACATTTTTCACAAACTTCAGTGACCCATAAACAAAACAGGTACTTTTAAAAATACTTACAGATACATACACATATATGAGGTCTACTGGCTGAGTTTCATCATTATTAACAAAGTCATTGTTGTTACCATATTTGTTAGATAACTCATACAAAATTGGAATTATTGCTACATGAAGAGAAGAATTTTATTTTCTTTAGTGTTCCTCACTATTACTGTGAATTTACTCATTAATACTTACCGTAAGAACTTTGCCAATAGTGTAATCATCAGTTAAGACCAAGGTAGTTCCATACCAGAAGGCCAGAGCATATGATGCATATATCAGTAAGAAAGCAGCACCCATAGAAATATTAGCTGTAATAGCCTTTTTTATTCCAATCCGTTTAGCATCTTCTAAATTTTTATGGTATCTGGAAGAAAGATAGAAGTTCAAAATCGACTCAGACTTATACCATGGCACACATCACCAAAACCTCTGTAGATCAATTAGAAAAAGAACACTCACAAAGTACACCAAGATGTGCAAAATAAGTACAAAGGCAGTCAGGCACAGGGACTTTAAGGTAACTCACAAAAAGGCCAACACAGTCAACCTGGTATACAGAAAAGAAAGGGCATCGCAGTTCAGCAACTGGTATTCAGGTTCCTTAAATAAACTGCAGGTCACTGAACTTTGATCACGAACCATTTGTGACAGGTTTTGAGATTATAATTGTTAGCTTCAGATAAAAGGTTAAAATATATCATAGGAATGATTTTTTATAGCATAGTGGAAACAGAGACATTGCTTATTAGTACCTTCACAACAATTACTGAGTAATCATATTACCAAGGATACCATCATCTCCTCTCATGGCAGGGCCTTTTTTTTTTTTTGTCTAAAGCTGACACAATGTGATGTTTAAAGTAGTCTGCACATTTCTAGAGTAGAGACAATATATCAACTGCTTTTGACATTTTCTAGAAAAATAACTGATCGTCTTTCAGCATGTAGTGAAACTTATAATAGGCTGTAACAGAAAATTTCCCATTACTTAAAACCACAGGAAGCTAAAGGCTTCCCCATTTTGAAAGATTTTCAACAGCAAAGATACAAGAAAATTTCAAGCCATCTGAAGCAAATACTTTAAAATCAGCTGATTAAAGCAAATATTGCTGTTACCTTTTAATTTCTTTTTCCTGTCCTCCAAAAGCTATTACAGTACGGATTGCTGCCAGAACTTCCTCTGCAACAGCACCTGCTTTTGCATATGCAGCTTGTTCTTTGTCAGTGAAAGCAGAGAGAACCTAATACAAGATCAAACATTTTGACTTAAGAAAAACAGAATGAGCTCAAGCACTTCATAATGGCTTTTATCACCGTTACTTTCTTCCAATGTGAAGCCTTTTGATTTTATATGTGTAAGTGCAGAATATTCAATATCAAATAATTCAACATTACTTATTCTCAACACTAAGAAATGAATTTTTTCCACTTTGCTTTTGCCCAGTGCAGGAGATTAGATAACTACTCCTACTGAGTGTGGTTCTCCCCAGTTAGGTCTCATCTCTGGCTACCTTAGCCTGAGGGCTCTATAGTTTACACTAGTTGGCCACTGCCCATGAAGACTCTTAGCCAGTAGACATACGTAGCACATGCTTGCTTCTCTACTCTTACCTTTTCTACAATATATTCACTCAAGACAGAGAATGCTTACATGATCTTCAAAATATAAGGGAAATAAAATACTATAAAAATCTGAAAGCTTCCAAACTACAAATGCAAGTCACTCCAAACTCATGGTAATTTAGTACTTCTCTCACCTAAGTCTAAACTTTCTTACCAAAGCTGTTATAAATCTGAAAACAAACTCTGTCTGAGACCGAGGCTTGGTCTAATTTATTAACTTATTCGTGCAATTATTCCTTCCAACAGAACAAGTACTCGTGTATGAAGTTTAACAGTTACAGATATGGATTCTACCTGTATATCTTGCTTCATTTTCTATATAAAAAATACACTATAAAGGCAGAAACAGCTTCAAATCAAACAACTCTGTCCAGTCTACAGGAGTTATAATATTCAAACAACATGAGGGTACTTATGTAGAGTGCATCTAAGATCTTATGTACACAGAAGTTGTCTATAAAGCTATAACTGTTCTAAGCAATAAATTTTAACAGCAAGAACTACAGATATGTAGATTTTTTTCACTAGCTTTCTTCAATATAAAACCTAACACTGAATGTATGTTAACCTACCTTTGCCCAGAGGGCTGCTGAGAGTCCCAGGACAGGACTGACTGCTAGTATTACAAGGGTTAATTTCCATCCTCTTATGAGACCAACAATAAATCCTGTTATAAATGTTGTTAGAGCTTGAACAAGCATTCCAATTTTGTCACCTATTCCGTCATTAATCTTGGAGACATCACTGTAAAACAAATCACATCCAAAATATGTAGGCTGGGCCTCAGTCTTCCTCAGAGGGAACTTATCAAAATACTTTTCTGTATCATTGCGACAGTCCAGTATCAGAAGTATTAGAAGTTCAGTCTCTAAGACTCTCCATGAGAAAACTTGTAATTTGACAATAAAATAATGAAATTTAGTTTCACAATTAAATAATTCAGTTTAAAAATCATCATTAAAAAAAATGTAATTCATTCATGCTTAATAAGAGAAAATAACTTTGGGAAAGGTACAGTATACTTACTCCAGAAGACGAGTGTTAAGTTCTCCCACATCATTTATATCAAACCATCCAATTTCCTGTCTCATAATTGCATGAAAAAATTTTTGTCTTATTTTTTTTATTTGCCGGCCTGCTGCTAAGGTCCAAAATGAAGTTTGGATATAAGCAGCAAGAAGAACACCAGCTGCTATTCCAGAATAGTAATATGCATATCTGAAAGAAAAAAAATAAAACAAAACAAAACGAAACCCAAAAAATAAGGTCAAGATTCTTTGAAATTAGTTTTAATTACCTCACTAGTCTGTATTTAGCTTGATGCTTACTACTTCTCTTTTAGACATTAATTAGAGTTTATACGTTTATACTAGAGTTTACACGTCTCTCTAAAACTTGTCAAATTTTCTATGGGTAGTATTTAATATCAATTTTCAGATATGTAATAAATAAAATGAAGCTACTGTTAGAAATTACTTTTTTTTTATAGTATATATTTTCTCATAAGATTATTTCAGAACTACGTTTCAGATACAATACCCTTTTCGCTTAAATGGTCTTTTTCAAAAACTCCATAACATTTTTGTTTCAGCACATAAAGACATACTTAATACAATATACCCATGTTACAAACACATTTATATCAGAAAACATGCCTGTCTATATAAATATATAGATGCATGGATGTTGTAAACATTTCCTGATTTGAGAATACAGCATCACTATACATACATCTATTGCAAGCAAATGCCATTAGAACAATTTTTATTTATTTATTTATTTATTTTATTCATAGCTGGTATTTGACTTTTAAATTAATTCCGCTCTGTGCTATGAGCAGGGTGTCAAGTCAAACCCAAGGAGTGTGTAAACCCCTATATTTCTCAAACTGCAACTAAATTTGAGCCACAGTTTTAAACTGTTCAGAATCAAAACAGGCTTGACTTCATTCAGAATTGACATCAGAATCAGTTACAGGTGAACTTAAACTAGAACTATACCAGAAGAATGTAACTGATGTAAAACATGACCAAAATCAATGGCTACAGAATCAGTATGCTTAGAACTGCAGCCCATGAAACTTGGCAGGAATCTGTGTGCAAATGCTCTGCACACACACACACACAAAAAGGCTTTATATAGTAAACTTTTCAAATTTTAATGCAGCCTTTTTTGTGGCTAAGATATCACACAGTTTAGTCAGGGACTTTGCAACTATACTCATTATGAAATGAACTACATCTAAACAGTTTTATAAAAATGGGTTAATGTCTAACTGAATGCTGGTTAGTTAAATATTGACCTTGATCATCTTGAGCAACATTAAAGCTCTACACAGAAACTATCAAACTAAACCCAAGAACAGTGCTGCAAAATTCAGCAGTAATTACTTTAGGCAATTACTTTATAACGTTACATCACTTAAATAATTGCTTTATGCTTGGACTTTGCTTCATGACAAATTGTATCAAAAGGGATTGATAACTTCACCAGCTTCCATGCTGATGAAATACATTCTGTAAATTCACGGCTGAAACTGAGCAGAGAGTAAATGCTCACTGCATTGTAAAACCATGATTCTTTTTCTCTTGAGAAATAGTTGGGTTTTAGGAAAACTGTTGTTTGAATAACAAGCACAACAAAATTTACATGTATAGTTCGATACTTGAACACACATGTGAGAGCTTCGCCCTTGTAAAGTTTTTATTACTATTTGACCTGCTGGAAGGCATTGTTAGAGAAACAACGAGTGGGTACAAACAGCTGCTTCTTCAAACCAGTGAACATCCTAAGTCAAGGTTCTATGTAGAAACTTTAGAAAAGAGAACTTATTCCTGTGCTCCATTCCTTATTCAACAATTTGTTTCTAAAGAGAAACTCGGCCTACTTTTTATTCATACCTGTACTTTCAGATTTAATGTCTAAAAGATAAGGTGGCATGTATGAAGTTTGTGGTAGGTTGACCTTGGTTGGATGCCATCTGCCCACCAAAGCCACTCTGTAACTCCCCTTCCTCAGCTGGACAGGCAAGAGAAAAATATAATAAAAGAAGCTTGTGGGTTGAGATAAGGACAGGGAGAGACCATTCACCAATTATGTCATTGGCAAAGCAGACTTGACTTGCAGAAAAAATGAATTTAATTTATTACCAATCAAACTCGAGTAGAATAATGAGAAAAAAACCCAAATACCTCCCACAGGAGACAGCTCTTCATGAACTTCTCCAACGTGAGTCCTTCCCACAGGCTACAGTTCTTCACGAACTGCTCCAGTGTGGGTCCTCTACATGGGTGCAGTCCTTCAGGAACTGACTACTCTACAATATCAATTTTTCATCAGCTCAAGGAATTGATGGATAATAATCAATATAATTTTTAGCATAACAATTACTTTTTATAAAATCACAGGGAAATAAAGGAAGAAGAGAATACAAACACATTGGGACCCAAAGCGCCCCTGAAAAAGGGGTGGTATGGCTGAAAGCAACAGATTACAGGAAAGTTGCTGGGAATGGCTGGGAATATTCAAGAATCAACCATTACTTTCATGCTAAAGCATTCAAAACATCTGTGGGAGAAGAATGGCTTGACTAGAAACATGCCTACATTAAAAAAAGAAGAAATACCAATTTCAAATTACCTGGTCATATCTTCTTCCAGCTTGTTAAGAGCATCTAAAGAGAAATTCATCATGGTGTTGTTTCCTTAGAAAGGAAGAAAAACATAACTACTTCTAATTTAGCAAGTTTTAACAGATTTGCTTTCCTGCATGCTGTTCAGCAAATTTTAGTTGTTACATCTCCTTTTGAATCAAGATGATTGAAAATAAAAAAATGAAAATGAATGAACCTTACTAATATAAGTTTTGCCATATCTCCACTGACTATTAAGCTACATCAGTGTAACTTGAGATTAAAAGTTAGCCTCAGGAAGCCTCAGTCTGGGTTGGTTTGGTGTTTTTTTTTTTAAATATAGGGCATTTGTATAATGCAAAAACTCATTAAAAACACCTAGACAATGACATTAAATTAGTACCTGCAAATAGCTTAACCCATTATGAAAACAGTGGCTCTAATGTTGGTGTTGGCCCTAAAATTATAATGCCCGCCCCGAGAACTTAGTGACAAAAGTTTTGAGAAGACCACAGCTGCAGCATTTTGCATTTGCACCATTAAAAATCTGATCAATTTATTGTACTTGGGAAGGAGAAAATAATGAATTCTTTGTTCTGATAAAGGCAGTATGCCCAGGTTTCTCACAGCAGCTTAAGAACAGCAAAAATGGATGTAGGGTAGAAGATAGTCACATCCTTTATCTTTTTCTGTATCACCATAGGCTTTTATTAAAATGTTTAATAAAATGTTATTGGGTAATATTTCAGGCAACAAAGCTGTTTACTAGTTTAACATCTAATGTGTGAGTTCAGAGAACAATGTAATTTGGTTTAACTGTTTGTTGATAACAAAGTGACAGTATCACTCTTCCCTTTTGTATTCCACAGTACATGCCGCCCCTACTTTGTGTTTGATTTGCTACTCATGATTCAGCAAATAAGGCTATTCAACAAACTGATCCAAGCTAAAAATTAGTACTTTTATTTTTGGTAGAAAATTTTCTATTAGACCTACTTACTGATCCGATTCACCTTGAGAACTATAATTGTCAGATTCCATACAAGGGAATCAACAGGAACTCATGCTGAAGAGTTGGAAAACCAGCCTCTTTCTATTTATCACAGCCACAGTTAAATGATTTGTTGAATGTACACTGTAGTGGATCATTTGAAAAAAATTAAAAGTAAAACCTACTAATGCATGAACTAAAAATACAGAGAAAAAAGAAAATCCATAGTGGTATCTCTATTACAACAAACACAAGAGTTACTAATTTACATTAGAGAGCAGTAGCAAGCTGGGGTTTCTGACATCAGTATGTCCTGTCAAAAGGCTTGAATCTCCCTAGCTCTTTCCCAGATATGAGTTATTGTTCTCTTCATAGCAGATATATTCTTACCTGGAAAATCTGAGTCTCCAGAAGCAACAAAGCTATCAGTCATATCACCAAAAATTACCATCGCAACAGGGAGACTGGTTCCATGGGCTATTGCCAAGAGAGTGCCTAGTATCATTAGTAATTTATCTGACCAACTGGAGTATCTAAACTGTGAGTGAGAAGAGAAATTAATTCTAATCAGGGCTATCAGAATGCCAACACGATGTTATGTCTACAAAGTCAAGAAAAAGCTATCAGTTGTACACCTAGTGTTACAAAACTACAACTTTGTCTTAATAGGAATTAAACTTACAAAAAAATATTTATAGGTACAGGAATAAATCTGTCTAATGTGAACACTTTTATACTATAAACTATCAAATCCAGAGGAGTATACTATTTCAAAGCATCAGTATCTGCACCTAGGTAAGAAAGGCTATATGAAAGTAAGGCATAAGAAATTTGCCCTTTTAAAGTTTGCCATTTACAATTTAATTTATAAGAAATTTTAATGTCATTGTGACAATTAAGGCAATAATTACTTTTACTGTAAATTCATTATTATGCAGTCAGAAATACTATGCCTAATGTACCAGACATATTATCAAAACATACTGGAATCATAAATACCTCTTGCCATTGAATTTAAAGTTTCAGCACATCCGTTACAAAATCACTGACTTTAATTTTTAGTGTTAAATACTAAGCTTACTGCTGTAAATTATAGGGGTATGATATAATTGTTCAAGTGCAAGCTGGTATAGCAAAGCAGAGAAATTGTGCACTGGCCAGCATCATGGACCATAGTTTCATTTCTGTTATTTGACATGTCATTGCTGTGCATTATGCACACTAAACCTACAAAATACAAAACATTTCAGTATTACTAAAAGGGGACCTAAGATTTACTTTGATTAAATATTAACAAATTGCCTTTTCAAAAATATACTGAAAATAAAAAATATCTGGAATTGGAAGTACTTTTTAGTACACATTTTTTTTATTTTAAGTGACCTCAGTGCCATGGAGTTGCCCTTTGCTGCTGACTCAGGTGACTGAATACTGATTAATTGGTTTAATTAGTGTGATTAGTACCCAATTCAGCTGATTTAGAGGACAAAACCACATAATATTAGGTATATGGACACCCTTTGAATTGTGTTGGAATTAATGCCTGAACATGGAAATCCCTACCTTTCACAAAAAACTAGTATGGGTGTGTTTAGCATGATAACTTAGTAAGGGAAGACTCCTAAGAATCCGTATCAGTAATAAGACAGCTTCTTTAATCAGAGAATCATAGAACTATAGAATCACAGAATCGTTTGGGTTAGAAGAGACCTCAAAGATCATCTAGTTCCAACCCTGCTGCCATAGGCAGGAACACCTTCTACTTGACCAGGTTGCTCAAAGAGTCATCCAATCAGGTCTGGAACACTTCCAGGGATGGGGCAGCCACATCTTCTCTGGGCAACCTGTACCAGTGCCTCAGCACTCTCACAGTAAAGAATTTCTTCATTTTACCTAACCTAAATCTCCCCTCTTTCAGTTTAAAGCCATTCCCCCTTGTCCTATCAATACATGCCACTGTAAACAGTCCCTCTCCAGATTTCTTGTAGGCGTCCTTTAGGCACTGGAAGGCTGCTCTAAGGTCTCCACAGAGTCTTCTCTTCTCCAGGCTGAACAACCCCAACTCTCTCAGCCTGTCTTTCATTGAGAGATGCTCCATTCCTCTGATCATCTTCATGGCCCTTCTCTGGACTCACTCCAACAGCACCACCTCCCTCTTGTGTTGGAAGACCTAGAGCTGGATGCAGTATTCCAGGTGGGTTCTCACAAGAATGGAGAGGGAGAATCACCTCCTTAGCCTGCTGAAAACTACATCCAGAAAAAGAACTGCTTGATTGCTATACTATATGCAATACTCTGTACTATCAAAGTATTTGATAGAGACCATATATGCACTACTACAATATAATTTTAACCACTTTGTTTACACATTGAAATGTATGTGCATGTACACATATATAGAGAGAATGAATCTTACCAGTGCAAATGGGCTGACCACCTTAGCCTTTTCTGCTTTCTTCTTCTTTCTTAAAAGGTATGATAGTTTTAGTGCATTTAAAAAGCAACATTTTACAGAAATACTAATTCTCTATATTAATAAAGTTCAATTAAAATATAACTATGAAATAATTTTACAGAAAACATTTGCATATAAAATGTGAAGCTCTTCCCAGTTCACTGCTCTCAAAGATGAAACAACACCCTTGGGCTGGTGATTCCACAACCTGATCAGGAAAATTGCAAACTGAAGCAGTAGATAGCTTTCAAATTGGAAAAGAGGAAGATAACTTATAAAATCATAGTGGATGGGGAATACATAAAATGTTCAAGGTATGTAAAATATCGATTCCAAGCCATATTAAAAATTTCAAGATAACTTTTAGCTGATGATGTAACTGTATTCAAAGTGTCAACTGCAACATAATTTGTGTCATATTTTAAAACTATTTTTCAATAAACTCTAGTCAATGCTGTGGATACTTAGTCCTTAAAAGAAAATTATAAAGATCCTCCTTCAGCAATGAATGTATCAATGCTACTCTCAGATTGTTACAAAGCTTTCTGTTATCAGAGTTTCCTGATAAAATAAACTAAACTAAAATTAAATTAAATATGAAACAAAATTTAAAATAATATAACCTATCTTATAAGCTTCAATACAGAAAACGTTTTCGATGTTTAAGAATACTTACTGTTTGTCCTCAGATTCATGACCCTGGCTAGAAACAGTGACATCATAACTATTTCCACGTATAGTACGCTTCTTCTTGTATTCATCTTCAGAATACATTTTAAATTTATTTACGATAGCTCCCTGTAAAATAGTATTTCACTGAGAAATATATAACTGTTAAGCTAAGGACAGTAATCTCAATGACTATTTGTTTGAAAGAAAAATATAGATACTTATTAAATTCAATAAAGTTATTAATGTCATACACTGCAAGTGAATTCTCTGAATGGGAAAGTACAAACATGTTGAAACAGGCCCAGATGTTTGGAGTTTGCCTACAAACATCTACATTTTGTAGTTGTATCTATTTGATCACTGTGTGTCCTTCATTTGATTTCATTTGAATTATATAAGCATTATATTTTCTGCAATTCTGCACAGATATACAAGATAAATGGTAAAGTAGATGTTTATGTAAAAGAAAGTGCAGTTATTTGGAATTTTCTGAAATCTAGTTAGGAGTTAATTTTATAAAATATCTCTGCTCTAAAAAAAAATAATAAAATACTGACATACCGTGAAGGTTGCTCTTGGATTGCGTCTAGTCCTCTGAAAAAGTATTCAAACATCAGCAGAATTAATATGGTTAAAGACATGCGGCATGACTGGACCTTGCTCTTCTCATATAAAAAAAAAAGATGATCGATAGCTGTCTCCTGTTTTTTTCCCCACTCCCGTTGCCTTGCCTTCTTTGGAAAGTAAGTGTGTGCACTTTGGACTCTGCTAAATATTTTCTAAAGGGAATATTTAGCAAACAAAGTCCTTAAATTCAAGCTTATTTCATTGTCTCCTGGGAAAATAAGCCTGAATAGTCTATTCTTCCCCCAGAAAAAGTTCCTTTAATCTACTGTTGGCTTAATTATGCCCCTCAAAACTTCCAGTAATTTCTATTTACTTATTAGAGATGATGCTGAATGCTCCAAGTAACTGTTACACTTAAGGATTAATCCATAGTGAGAATGAAACCAAGTAATACAAAAGGAGTATTTTACTCTTTTGCTTCTTTTCCCCTCTTATAATTCTAATCCAGAAAAACACGAGGCATCTAGCCTGAAAGAAAACAGAGTTTTACTATAATGAATATTGTTTCTCATTTGAGTAACTGAGGAACAGCAAGATGAGTTTCAGACTCAGCTTAGAAATTATTTGGAAATAGCTATCGTTAGCAGAAGTCTGCTCAGTCAGTATCCTTCTGTTTTTTTAATGTATGTTCAGATTATAAACGGTTTCAAGTGGACCATTTATTTTATTGTGTAATGTATTGTTTTTAATCAGTATCTGCAGGCAGTACCTTATTTTCAGTGAAAATAACAACTATTTAAAACATTTAAAAGAATTACTTGAACTTCTTAACTGTTACTTCAATGTATATAGTAAACTAGATATGTTTTATTGCCTTTAAAGATGGAGAGTTGGATTTTCCAATAAGCTTGAGGTAGGCAAAATGGTGGAGGGTCCCAGCAATCCTGTAATGATTCCTCAACAACTTTTAGCCCTAGCATAAGTTAGAAAAACTGTAAACAAGCTCTGATTTACCAAAAAATGGGGAATTTATGTTTCATTTTCATAGAATCATAGAGTGGTTTGGGTTGGAAAGGACCGTAAAGATTATCTAGTTCCACCCCCCCTCCCCGCAGCATGGGCAGGGACACCTTCCACTGGACCAGGTGCCTCTTTCCTGTTAATCAGTGCTGGAAAAGAATACTACTTTGTATACTACTACTAAAATATTACTTTGTACTACTTCATACAACTTTGCCAACTCGGCCACCCTTCTATCAATGAGAACTTCCCTGTACAAAGAGAATTATCATGTAGTCAGAAACTGATGATTTTGTGTTCCTTGAACTATGCTGTATAGCTCAGCCACAAGACACCCTGTAGAGGAACTGCTACATCTTATTTGTCCTGGACCAAGCATAAGGCCAAATTAAGTTATTGTAAACATCAAGCTCCTATTTATATTTAAAAAGAAAGTGTACTCTGAATATAAGATTTTAATGATTTTACAAAGCTCCACTTTTATTACCTGGTGATTGCATTTGTAGTTAATTGTTTATTAGCTATTAACTGTTTTATACTAATAGTTTATTGTAGTAAGAGGTAATACCACAAACTAAACTAATGTCACTAGCTTCCTATTAGGAATTTACAAACTCAGTCTTGCTTCTGAAAGCTTGAAAATTTTTTGGCTTATACTTAACAACAGAAAATCCAGACAAATCTACAGCTCAGTTTGAGAGATGTTTCCTATATATGGAAAACACTTTTCTTGGTGTTTATTTAGCACTGATGTTATTAAATATGATTCAATGATACATTCATATGTGTGAAGATACTATTTTTCATAATCATTTCTTGCAGCATAGTTGCATTTAAAACTGGATTCTTAGCTACAATTATAACTTATACTAAGTTACATTTACACTGTTATAAATGAATTTAACTGAAGTGGTATTTACATTTGTCTTAGATTTACTAAAATTTCTTAAACTATTTAAAGCAGGATTAAAAAATTCTATCTTTTTAGAGTATGAGCAGATGTTTTAGCCCTCAGAATATCTAGAAAAATGCATGCCTTTTGGATCTGGAAAAACAAGATATGTTAATTTAAAGGAACATGGTATAGAACATTGGAGACTTAAAAGTGTTCATTACTTCAGTTTACTGTATTTAATTTGCTGTACAAAAAATTATGGAAAACCAACAATAAAATTGATTTTTTGTGCAGGTGGGAAACATTTTTCTTGATTGAAGTTGAGTACAGCATATATTATTAGAGACACAGCCAGTTCTTTTTCCTGATGTTTTTTCTAGCCAACAATCTGTTTGGTAACATTGTTAACAGTATGAGTAACCAAGGAACTCATACAATTACTTAACTTTCACCTTTCCCTCGCTAAATCACTTGGGTTGGACAGCTTTTTCTCATGCACAAAGAGCCTTTGTAAGCTGAACATACACAACTTAGCAGTATTCACCAGTTACTGATTAGTCACCACACAAAAAAGATAACTTGAATTAACAAAATACTACACAGATCGTTAGTAGGCTCAGTGCCCTGAATAAGAAACAGGAAAAGTCTTCGCTGGCTAAGGCTTTCTCAGCAAGGTGGGGTAGGGCTGGTTTTTACTGCCCCCGAATGGGTCCTCAGTGTGACTCAACTGACACCCTGCAAATTCCTGCTTTTCCCTTAGTATTTTATTCCTCCTTTCCTCTTGAATCCTTGAACTGTTACCTAGCTGCCTCTCAAGAGTCTTACCTCTGTCTGCAGTTTTACCTCTTCTAACTTGCAAAAGTCCACTCTATCAATTTTTCACAGTTCTCAGAATCACAAGTCTGAAAGAGGGTTGTGCAGCTGTATCTTAGATCACAGACAGCTGAACTCCTGAGGAAGAGAGGAAGTTTACAACCTCAAGTCATTATCTATAAAATACGTAACAGTATTAGTATTATATCCTATACAAAAACAGCACAGCAAATACAAAGAACTTCCACTGCAGTACTTTTGAAATTTGTGTTACTATAGTGAAACTAAAAATAATTATTAATTCACTTAATTTCATAGGAGATTGATTATGGCACTATGACCATGTTCTGCATGTTAGTCTTTGAGCAAAGTCAAATTGCTTTGTTCCTTTCTGATGTTTGCTGTAAAACAGGTGTTTGTAGAGTGTAAGGAAAAGTGATTCTACAGGCAACTGTATTCAGTGCAGATACATACTTGTTCACAAATTCCAAACCTTTTAAATAGCCATACCCATAGACAGAGTAATGCTTCCTCTTACCAACCACTTCTTCCAGAAACACTGCTGTATGCCACAGCTCTGTTTTACATGCCACAATGCTAACACATCCCTGACAAAAATCCAGGTGGATCCACCAGGAAGATTCCAGTTCCGATATCAAGATGTGCCCATATGTGATCATTTTATAAGAAATGGTTCTAAAGAGACAGAATGAAATAACCCCCTCCCCATGCAGGACTTCAGTGATTAGAACATTAGATTTCTGTATGTTGTGGCCAGCTATGGTTACTGAAGAGGCAATTATTTTTGGTTATCCTATTGACCCAGATTAGATGCTCTACTGTCTTGTTAACTTATCTGTATCTTTTCTTAACTCCCAATTTCTCCCATTCCATAAGGGATCATTAATCTTAATTCCACAAATTAATTTCCTGAAGTCCTATCCAATGGCTAATCATATGTCCTTATATTTCCTAACATTTCCAGGTACAAGGCTTCTGCTTTGCTTGCAAAGGTGCTATCAACAGCTGAAACTGGTGGCAAAAAAGATGGGAATAGAGATCAGGTACAAGTAAGTACATTTATGCTGATCCCAAGCAATATATATTTATCTACATTTAGCTCACTCACTAGAACTGCTAGTCTCCCTGTGAACTGGTTGCCATTGGAAATGAGACCAAGCCTCATTTCCATTTTCTGCTTCCAGTTCCTAGGTACAAGATAAGTTTTAAAAAAGTGTTAATCAGCTACTGATGATATACAATATCTAATGCTTTTTAAGAATAAAGGAATTTTCCTTCTGTTAGAATAATTTGATTTCTTTCAGGGAAAAAACCAACCAACCAAACCATGGAATGTGGCTTATACTTTACATACAGAAAAAGTTTTCTTCATAGTCAGAAATGCCCAAGACTTATAATTTGGCCTGGTCTCCAGTTCACAACAATGATAAATCTGTTCTCACACTACCAAACAGATCAAATCCCTTACAAACCACAGGCTCTCAAGTCATTAGTGAGCAATTCAAGGTGCCTCGTCATTGGCTAAACAGTTGCATAGCATTTAGTTGTCAGCTTTTCACTGCTGATGTTTTAGTTTCTACATTTCATACTTTTCAAAGGATAGAACAGCTGTCTTCCCAAGTCAGTAAAACATTCTATTTCATTGACAACTCTGCTATGTAAGAATCTGAGTGCCAACCTAGAAAAACTCCTAAAAAACATTCCTTAACTGTCTTTTTCACAGCAACTACTTCATATATGCATCTACCACAGGGTACAGTATTATAGTGCTTGATAAAATTTAAGTAATATCTATACTACAATAACATTATAATTTTACTTAAACCTCTATCAGTATTCTAAATTAAAATTTCTCACCTATTCAAAATACCATTTTCCCGTGTTATTTATTTTCAGTCAAAACTTACTCCAGTTCTGACAAGTTGACACATCACTAAATCATTAAAATGTTTTCTGATTCTAATAAGCATTATTGCTCTACTTCCAAATATAATCCATATCAAGGGCAAAATAACCTGTTCCCATACATCTCCCACTGAAAATGGAATATATTAGACTTCTGTCTTGCAAATCCAAATTTCACCTTTATTCTCATTTATTTCATATTCATTTTTACACATCAACTTTGTATAAAAGTAACATACCATATTAAACAGCAACATGATCAATGAAATTTAAGAAGTGCTAAGTGCCCAAACTCACACACTAGTATTGGTAAACAGAGACCTTCTTTCCCAATAAACAGCAGGAAGAACCAATACAAAGTATTTAACTAATCAGCAAGCCTCAGGGGTCTTCCCCAATGCTTTCTCCCCTTCCCTGAATGGAACGTGAAATCACAACATGATGTCTTGTCTACTTTCTAGACAGAATGGGAGATGAAGGCTGTAGGTCAGTGTTCCAGCACCATCAGAGATAACTGAAGGAATGAAGCGATCTCTGTTTATATTCCAATTTCCTCACCTTTTGCACACTAGACTTCCTCCTTTCTGATGCAATGTTGTGTCACTACTGCCTCCCAGTTTACATTCTGCTTGCACACAATGACACACAACCCAGTTTGAGGGTCACAACACTAAAGGTAATTCCTTTATTTTTATAGTCAGCAGCAAATAATAAATGATTAACAGCCCACACTGACTGAATAAAGTGTTTGGAGCATCCCTGTTTTCCACGTCACCATTCACTAAGGTAGCAGTTAATACTATGGAGCAGAACTGAATTTAGAAAATGGATCTGTTTTAAACTACTTCTGGTGATTATCTATGGGACCTGGGGGCACGCAAACAAAGCCTTTTATCTAACCAGTAAAGGAAATGATCTTGTAGTGATTCCATGTCTTGGGCCATTTGCAGAATTTGCAGAAGGCATTGTATCGTTTTCCATGCTGTCTGGGGACAGATGTATTTCTAGGATATCCCATGTGCTAAAGAAAATAGATGATTTTTCAGTGATCGTGCATGGCTGTCAACCAGTTCATGAAGAGGTACACTGACTTGGCACTTATAAGCAGGTGTGACCAAAACAAGGCCATCATATAACCAAAACTGATTCCATGGTATAGTGCACATGAAGGAGGAGAACACATCTTTGTTATTGATGGAACACTTTGGCAACACATTATCAAAGAAAGAGGCCTATTACTCTATATGACAAGAACAGGAAGAATTTCTCACACACCAACTGGATAGTCCAAATCTAATGTGTATGTAAAATCATGCTTACAGGAACAAAAATTATTTGAAATGTGGTACTTTATCTTCTCATAAATATATCTGTGACAAATATTCTTTTGGAATACTGGTGCAGTAGGTCACTTCACAGGGTAGAATTACTACCTACTTTCCTGATTTATCTCCACCTGTATTCATATTTCAAGTAGACTGAATTATTTAAGAGTGACAGGTCTCTCAGGAAAAGTATATGTACATGCTTCTGTAAGGCCTAAAAATGAAGATAAGTCTATAGCATCATGAGCGCATGGATGGTCTTTTCATATACTGGGAGTTAGACTGGGTCATCACATTTGATTTCTTACAGAGTTCACCTTGTCACAGTTAATCTGGCACCTGCACCGACAATTTCCCCTCGGTTCACAAGGGGGAAAAGACAGGCAGGCAATAAAATGCTTACACTAAGATTTCATAGTAAGATGTTCCCATAAACATTTTAACCCCAAGTATGGGTAGAAGTTACTTTATGTGCCACCACTATGGTAGTGATCAAAACATCCTTTGTGCTACCACATTATTAATAGTGATGACTGTTCTGATAATGGGGAACTGAGTAAACGAATCTCGCATTCAGGATCACATGAGTGCAGATAAGGACTTGATTGTCATGCCATATCAGGTGACTCATACATTAGTGTTAAACCATGACAGGAACCGGAGAAAAGCAATAATGACATTGTTCACCTATGAAAGCTCCCTTTCTTCTTCACATATATTTATGTAAATATATGGAAAAATAGAGTAATGAACAACAGAAAACAGAAATATATGTGTGTATCTATCTATCTATCTATATCTTCTATACCAGCAAATTATGGGTAGAAATAACACCAAACGTTACCGAAACCTCTGTTGTGCATAAACTTTGACATAGATGATAATAAAGTCAGACTTTTGTCTCCCTTTTGATCTGGGTGTATAATCACAGAATCGTTAGGGTTGGAAGCGACCTCCAGAGATCAGATAGTCCAACCTCCCTCCAAGGCAGGACTGCCAAGATTAGGTTACATAGGAACACACCCAGGAGGGTTTTGAAAGTCTCCAGAAAGGGAAACTCCACAACCTCCTTAAGCTTACCTATGATGATGTTATGGAGACAGCCTTGCAGAAGTCAAGGTAGATGTCCTGGCTTCAGCAGTAGCAGTCATTTTTCTCAGTCTTAGCTGGTGCAGTGCTGTGGTTTTGACTTTCAGCCTGGGAACACTGCTGATAACACCGATGTTTTTAGTTGTTGCTAAGTAATGTTAACTCTGACCAATAACTTTCTGAGTCTCTTGCTCTGCCAGGGAGGAGGGGAAGCTGGGAGGAATCAGAGACAGGACATGTGACCCAGACTAGCCAAAGAAGTATTCCATAACACACCACATCATGTCCAGTATACAAACTGGGGGCAGTTACTTGGAAGGGCTAGACCGCTGCTCAGGTCGGTCTGGGTATTGTTTGGCAGGTGGTGAGCAGTTGTATTCTCTTCCCTTGTTATTTCCCTTATCATTATTATTATTGGTGACAGCAGTAGTGGTTGTGTGTTACACCATAGTTACTGGACTGTTCTTACCTCAACCCGTGGGAGTTACATTCTTTTGATTCTCCTCCCCATCCCGCCGGGAGTGGGGGGAGGAAGCTGGGGTGGGAATGACTGAGCAGATGCGTGATTCTGGGTTGCCAGCTGGGCTTAAACCATGACAGTAGATACCATCCACCACCCTCCCCTCGTCAACCCATCCTGCCATGTCATCAGAGAAGGCTATCAGATTAGTCAAGCAAGATCTACCCTTGATGAATCCATTCTGCCTACTCCTGGTGACCTTCTCTTCTACATACTAGTTTAATGCTGTTTCTGCACACTCAGAGAGCCCTTTTTCTTCAGTAATAGTCACTCGGCAAGTATGTACAATGAATATGTCAACATTTCTCTATCCAAAATAAAAGAGGGATATATGGGAAACTCAATCCACAACTATACTGAAAATTCATGTTAATGTGAGAACAAAATAGGCTTTTACTGACCCAGTTATACAGTTTCAACCAAAACCATGGTAAAACTAGAACTCACAGCACTGGCTACTCCTGCTTGCTTGTGCTGCTCCTAAAACTTGGGATATTACAACACTGTCAACTGACCTGACTGCATAGGAAGCAAGCTGCATAGGAAGCAAGAGTAATTGCTTAAATTGATTCAGAGAAAACTCCAGGAACAAGGAGGCCACTGAATTCAGAAACTTGTAAAATGGGGCTGCCAGGCCTTAAAGATTTACTTTCTTGAACTAGTAAAGAATGCACAGCCTCTAAAAACACTGCCTCAGAGTGGAGTATGATCATCATCTACAGGAAGAATCACCTGGAAGAAATTCAGCAGGTAGATGTCTCAGAACAGTTATCCCAGGGCTGAAAGGAGATTTGGCTAGCAAGGTTATTCATCTAGAACACTATGATACTGTAAAAATCATATGAATCCTGGAAAAATTGTTGGGATTGGCATCTGGGGAAGTATCCGAGTTCATAGAACTCAGTAGTTATTCAAGTAGGCGTGATACAAGGCTTAATTGAGCAAGAATAATTCTAGGACTTGTGAATCAAGCAGAAATACAATGTGAGAAGCTGCCAATTCAGCCTCAACAAATAGGCAATGTAACGACGGTAAGAAGGAAAGCACAGAAATCTCACTCTGATGGATCTGATAAAAGGTCTGCACATACTATAGTTTTCAGAAATATGGTCATAAATGACCCACAGTCTCCATTTAAAAATACAGATCAAAAGGAACAGAAAAGGGAAAACAGTCCTTGGTGTGAGTTTAGCTCTGTAAAAAAAAGATGGTAACAATAACTGCAAAGGACCCTTGGAGAACATTATAAAAACTTCCTTTAGCGAACACCAGTGGGACTACAGGAAAGCTTTTTTTTTTTTTTTTTAATGCTAAAATTTGAGAAAAAGAGGTAAAGATATGAGAAAATTGAATAGAATCTACAAATTCCTTATCAGCTTGTTTTCTCAAGATAACGAAAAAAGATGAGGAGGAGGAATGAAAACCACTGAACATAACAGTTCCCTCTCAGTGAAGCCCTCAAGTATTATCTCTTTCTCTAAATAACGAGCCACTAATAAGACTAGGGATACTCTGCTGTCTACCTGTCCCTGGCCTAGTGGTAAAATTACAATACAAACAATGCAAATGGCCATTAACTGTTAATTGATACTGTACCATTAATACAAACTCTTCAATGAATTTGTTCCAGCTGGAACTCAAGAAAGTAGAAAAATGGTAAAACTTGTATTATATGCATGAAAGGATGATCATGCACCTATATTAAGATCTCTGCCTGCATTTAAATAGCTGCCAAGTTCAAGAGTTCCTTCTGAGTATAGGAATGGGAGGATCTCTCCTATAAACAGCAGGGAAATATTGGCACAGCTTTGCTGAAACAAAATATATTAGCTGCAGATTCTGCTACGGATGTTTGAGGAATTGGTGCTGACCAGTGGGAGGTTAGGGTGGAGTGATTCCTGCAAGTCACTGATGTTTTGTTATTAAGAATCCGGAGGAAATAAAAACAGTGGATATTCGGGTAACAGAATTTCCTCAAGTTTTGTGTGTCTGTAAGTTAAAATGTGAAAAAATAGAAGTTGTGTATTAATTGAAGGTCTGGATCCTCCTTCCCAAAACACAGTCTTCAATGCATGCAAGCAGGATTCCAACCCACCATCAACAAGCTTGCTGGAAAGCAAGGCTCTAGTACAGAGACCTATAATTTTAACTTCCCATTTTGTCAAAGGTTAAAAGCAAAGGAAAAAGCCTAAAAGTGTATTTTTAACACATAAATAAGGTAGCTACCTCTCAGGTTGTTTGTGGTAGAAACATGCCTGAAATTCTTGTAGCACTAAACAGAACTGCTCAGTGATTTTTTGTTATTGACTTAGCCAACATTTGCTTGGCACTAGCAGAGCAAAGCTGGTAAAAACAAACTTTTACCTATGAGGGAAAGCAATATTGTTTTATCCATGTACCTCAAGACTTTTAGATCAAATGTATCAAATGTGGATGAAATTACCATCAAAACATGTTAGGCTGGTAAAGCACGAGAATGAATTGAAAAGTCCAGGAATATACCTCAGAAGTAACCAGCATTACTTGAAACACAGGCTTTAAAACTAATCATGACAAAACTCAGTTGGTACAACCTGAAATGAAATATTCAGAAGTAGTTTTGGGTCAGGAAGGGCAGGAATAGTTTAAAGTCGGGAAGGGAGGGTGACGCTGAGATCACCAAAGGGTAGAACTGACTATTAGGGTCCTTGCTCCCACAATATACAATAATTGTATTAGATTCACTTTTGCAGTTGCTTACATTGCTGTAATAATATCCTTACTTTTACAGAAATTGGTAAACCACTAACCAAATTAGTGAAGAAATCTCACAAACAAGAAAGGAAAGAACAGAAAGAAGCAAAAATGCACTAGTTCAAACCCTGGCCATCAGATGCTCAGATTCTTGTAAGCTGTTTCATATTCATCTGGCCACTATGAACCTAGACTTTGGGACTGTGCTATTTCAAGAACCCAGAAATAAGATGCAAGTTATAGCCTTTGCACTGAGAGTCTTAAGATTAGTGGGAAAGAACTCTATTCCATATTAAAAACCTGGTCTGTCATTGGCATAATCAATGCACTTTGGGAATACATCCCTAGAAGCTGCTTTGCAGTAGTACATATTATAAGTACTCCACTAAAGTACATAATCAGTGGAAAAGTACAAACTGGATATGTATCAAATCCTAGGTTAGCTGGAGGCACATTGGAATTTTATAAACTAAAAGGCTTCTGTAGAAGATGACAAGATTTTATCACCAGCTCTATATGGCTTTTAACCACAGGAATATGACATAAGTGTCCTTCTTATCACCAACTCTATATGGCTTTTAACCACGGGAATGTAACATAAGCACCCTTTACCTGTTTATCTGTCTCTCGCCAGATAAAAGCTCCGTTCCTGACTTCGTGCCACAGGTGGTGGTTCAGATGACTTCAGTTTTTATCAAAAGGATGGAAAATCCTCAATTAGATATGCTGCAACCGCCATGAAAAACAAAAAGAACTGTTCATCTTCACTCTGCACAAAAGCAGAGCTACATGGTCTTCCAACAATGTTAAAAGAGGAACCTGAAGGAAATGATCTGGCTTTGTACATAGTTTCAGACCGGATATATCAAGCTTTAACTAATTGGTTACCAACATGGAATAAAGACAATCTACAAACACAGAATGGAAATTTGGTAGCCTTTCAATCATGGAAAGGAAATCCTGAACACAGTTTAAAAAAAGCAGAAAGGAAAAAAGTATGAAGGTCATGTAAAAGCATACCAAGAGTAAAAATACAGAAGGAGCAGCATTGGAATAGTCAAACAGATGCCCTTGGCAAGGAGGCTGTGGTGACCCCCGGAGAATTAACATTTGAAAGAAGCACCCATTTTGAAAACAAAACAAAGAAATCTGAACAAAGCAAGGTATCAAAGACCTAGCCACTTTACAACATGTAGATGAGGAAATTGAGGGGTGATTACTATAGATGCTAGTAGACAGGTGAAGCATAAAAAGCATAGTGTGGCCAGATAAAAAGCACTTCTAGATGTAGAGCACCATATAATCTTCAAGTATATTTGTTTCCACAGGTGCACTAACAAGATCATGTACAGGTTGCTTGAACACAAAAGGTAGTATTAGAAGATAGCTTGTTGGCCAAAGGTGAAAACAGATGGATAGATAATTGCTTAACTTGTGCTGTGGCAAATACTCCCAGTAAGAGAAAAATAACACTAAAACATTAGAGAATTCATAAACCACAGACTAGGATAGAAATGGACTACACTAGACCATGTGTAGTCCCACTTACCATGCAAAGTGGGATTAAGTATTTGCTAATACTAGATCCACTGACAAAATGTGTTGAGGTAGTTCCAGTAAAGAAAGCTACAGCCAAGTCTCCCAGAGTGCAGACATTGAATATTGTATTTTCCAGACGAGAACTAAACTGAGAAATTAACTTGGAGCAAGGAATATATTTTCCAGGGCAAATCATCAAGGGATTATCTGAAGGCTGGGGAAGCAAAGTTCAAGGTAAATTGAATGAACCAATGAGACTATAAAAAATGCACTAGCCAAAATGGTGATAAACTACTCACAAGACTGGTATATCACATCATCTTGTCATTTTAATGACCTGAGAGCCACAACAGCTTCTCACAAGTTCATGTGATTTAGAGCTATGCCTGGGAGACAAAAAAAAAAAAAGACTGCCTAATCTTTTAACTGAAGTATAGATACAGATCCTATCTAAACACTGGAAAGAGATTAATGCTGTTATAGCAAGTTAGATGGGAAGGAATGCTCAACGCATGGATAAACAAACAAGAACAAACCTCTACTCTGCAGAATGACAAGGAGGATGGAAAGTAATGTTCCACATTTTCCACACAGTTTACAGTCTAAACTGTAAATGGGATGGACTAACTCCAATTATAAATAAAGCAGGACCTTATGCCTATCAAGTAAAACTCCAGAACAGAAAAATGCCTAAGTAGTTCCAGTTTCAATTTTGATTATGGGAAGAGAAATAAGTTAACAAAAAGCAAGAATGTTATAGGTTTTGCTATTAAAAATTAACAGTAAGTAAGGTGCATGGGAAATCTCACCAGCAGAAAGGCTATTAAAAGAAGCAGCATATATTAATTGTTTGGCTTTGTCAGATTGCAGGTTGAATGTTTTTAATTTTGCTAATAACCGTATATTAACAATTACATTAGATTCAAAATCATGAATTTTTTTTGGGCTACAAGGGAATAGCAAGCATTCTGCTTTTTGTTGATAATAGACTCTACCTCTATTGTCAATGGAACATTCTTTTGTAACAAAGATCATGAAAACACTGGATACATGTCTGCACTACTTTAATTATGGGAGACAATTGTGAAAGCTAAACCACAGCATCTATGTTCCATGATGCCAGAAATAATCTTACAATTTTAATTCATCTCTGATTTTAAGGGAATGTCTTATGTGGGCTTGAAGCAGTAATTTAACTTGGATACTTTATTGCTACTTACTTGGCTAAAAATCAAAATAAACTACAACGCTTGTGATGCAAGCTGAACAATCACACCAACTGAAATACATACGGAAAACACCAGGGACGGTTAAACCACGTGTGAAAGCCAGAAGTGAAGCAGAACCTGAAACAAACGAACAACAACAACAAAAAGTCAAACATTTAGTTCACAGTTTTGTTGTTGCTGTTGTTTAATTTGTTTAATTTTTTTGTGAGATAACTCACAATTTTGGGAATACAAATTAATTGAGTGCATATTACACTGAACAAAGCATTTACTTTGACTTTTCCAAGGCAGAACTGATATACCCCTTTTATTAAAGGGACATTTGTAACATTGAGCCAGAAATGGAGCCCATATTACTGAGTACAACAGACCAAGAGGGTTTAAGGATCCATTATAGAGGGAGCAGAAGTTACAACTGGGATTTTGCACACCACTGATGTAGAAACTTTGATTGGTAAATTATCAAAATTGGGGCATATTATATGCAATATTCAAACCTCAAGAAGTAAATATATATATATAAATTCATCTTTTAATGTTACTTACCTGAGATTTAACAATGTCATATGGGAATAAAAATGTGGATAGAAGTAGCAAAAATTTTAGTACTGGAAAAAAGAAAAAAGTAGTGGAAAAGTACTGGAACTAGAAAGTTGTATTAATATTGATAAACTACTAATAGCAGAGTGGATTCTGTGAGCAATAATCACCAAAACCCAAGTTATGGGACAGTCAGTTCATAGGATGGCTAAAGTTTCAACCACTGAAATAGGACAGAGCTGTGTTTTTAAGAGAAGTTAAGTCCAAGGTAGCATGCAGGAGGCATACGGATGACTGTAAAACGGTACATACATAACCTGCATTGCTATTACCTGAAGAGATCTACCAGTCACTGCACAGAAGCTAAGGCTCATTACTGATGGTTTGCTAACTAGCAATACTGATGGTATTAACAAACTTGGAGGTTAACAGCTACTGGGGCCTGTTCCATAGGAATGCAGTCTGAAAAAGCCACCACTGTGGAAACAGAATATTATTCCTACAATAGCAGAAACTACTTGTATATGGAGCCAATTAGCAGTTAACGGTTCTAGAATCTATGACACTGATATGGACACATGTTGTTGTTTCTCTGCATCTATTTCAGTAGGAACTGACAGAAAATTGCACCTTCCCTAGAGAAACAAATGTGCAGCATTTCTCATGTATCTAATCTAGGGTAAGTATTCGCAATGTTCATCCGTATCACCAGAATTATAATACCTAGAACACCACTAGCTTGGGGCTAATTTGGAATATTTGTAATAAAACATTAAGGACTCACAGCAAGTAGAGGAAGTAGCTAAAGACAAATTAATGAATGGACAGTAGTGAAGGACATACTTCTTTAAAGGATCAACAGCCACTAAGATCAGGAACAGATGCAGAAACCCTGATTCTACCATGGCATTTTCAGAGGACAGTCAAGTACTGGTACAAGAATCATGCGTTATTTTAACCATAAATTCTTACCTGTGTATTAATTAGTTGTCTTTTAGTTGCAGCGTGCAGTATGTCTGATAGTGTGTGACAGAAGATCCTGGGTCTATCTGGAGGTATACAACTGCAAAAGACCTACATGGATTTTCCAAGAATTCTACCTTTTTGCTCTGAGGCAGTACTTAGCCTTGAGACAGCAGAGCTCAAGGTTCAAAATCAAGGCATAGAGAACTGAGTTTCCGTCCTATCATTGATATGCATATGCATATTCAGTTGTAAAAAGGGATCTACTGTTCCTGGACATACAAGAAGATTTTAATTGCATATCTGTGAAAAAAACAGATCTTAACTTATTCTTTTATTATCAATTACAGGCAAAGAAACTTGGGACTGTTCAGCCTGCAGAAGGCCAAGTGGAGACCTCATAGCAGCCTTTCAGTATCTGAAGGGGGCCTACAAGGATGCCAGGGTGGGACTCTTTTATCAGGGACAAGGGGTACTGGGTTTAAATTTCAACAGAGGAAGTTCAGGTTAGATATAAGAAAGAAGTTCTCTTCTGTGAGGGTGCTGAAGCACTGGAACAGGCTGCCTAAAGAAGTGGTAAATGCTCCATCCCTGGCAGCATTCAAGGCCAGGTTGGACAGAGGTTTGGGTGACATGGGCTAGGGTGAGGTGTCCCTGCCCATGGCAGGGGTTTGGAGCTAGATGATCTTAAGGTCCTTTCCAACCCAAACGATTCTATGATTCTATGATTACCTGATCAAATGAGGCCACCAAGTGGCAATGTAAATATTTAAAGTCACAAAGGAAAAGTGTAATACCTTTTAATAGAAATATAGAACCACTGAGGTTGGAAAAGACCTTTAAGATCATCAAGTCCAACCGTTACCCCAGGACTGCCAAGTCCACCATTAAGCCATGTCACTGAGGGCCTCATCTACATGTTAATAGCATAACAACTTTACAATATATAAAGAGAATAATCAAGAGATATGAACACAGATTAAATTTTGTGTACCCTGGCATAAAGCAGTAATCTCACTTATGGTTCAGAAGCATAACTTGCAAAAGCTGTTCTTCCAGTGCTGAAGCCACAATGCCTTTAAATATTGCTTTCCTACTCATTTGAGGCAAACAAACTGACTTGCAACAATTTTTAAAACTCCTAGATTGAAATTCATAACCTTCTTGTCCTAAATCACAAACATACTTCATATTTCAGTGTCTATTTTTTCTTGGCCAATTCTACTACAATGACATCATTTTGTAGAACTCAGGTCTTGCTCTTATGCTCCTTCTGTTCGTGACTGTCACACAAGTATGCTCTAAAAAGGCATACGGTAGTCTGCCTTCCTCGATTCCTTTCACTCCTTACACAGAATGAAGTATCAGCAGGATGTCAAAAAAGAAGGTGGGCAAAATTCCATCTTCTAACCCTCCCCCCCCAGTCTTTATTTTAAATCATCCTGTACAGAATTTTTTAAGATATAAGGGTAAGTAATAATGCCGAAGTGCAAGATTCACAAATAATCTGACAAATCTACCATTTCTGAGAATTCATACAGAAAAGGGTGATTTGCAGAAGTGTAACTAGAGCTCCAAATGGTACCTACCAGCCTTCAGTACTAAGATATTGGTAAGTCAAATACAGATAGTAGAGGTTGCTGCCCAAAAAAAAAAAAAAAAAAAAAGGCACAACAAGCAAAGAAAGCCAAAACCTGTTCAAAACAGCAAGCATATATGCCTCCTGCATATACACATAGCTAAGCAACCGACTGAAATCCATGAGCAGTGTGGAGCAAACTCCACACTATTTATATATTCAAAACTATTCTAAAATGCAACAGTAAAATATATCACATCTCACACTAAATGTGTCATAATCAGTTTGTGTTTTGCTCCTAAGTGAGGAAGTCTTACATGGTATCTTGATATCAAGTTCATTTCCTCCTACTGCAAATCACAGCACAGTGTCAACTTGTTGTGGGTTAACCCTGGCCAGCAGCTAAGCCCCACACAGCCACTCACTCACTTCTGCCCAGTACGATGGGATAGTGAACTGAAAGTACAAAAGCAAGGAAAATTGTGGTTGACTTAGTGACAGTTTTGTAAGTGAAGCAAAGCAGTGCATGCAAGCAAAGCAGAATAATGAATATAGTCATTACTTCACATTGACAGGCAGATATTTAGCCGCTTCCAGGAAAGCAGGGCTTCATCATTCCTTAACAGTTACTTGGGAAGACATGCCATAACCTCAAATGTCCCTGCTTCCTCCTTCTCTCCCTGAGCTTTTACCACTAAGCACGTCATACAGTGTGGAATATCCCTTTGGTCAGTTTGGGTCAGCTGTCCTGGCTGTGTCCCCTCTCAGCTTGTTGTGCACTCCCACCAGCTGGCTGGACAGCATAAGAAACAGGGAAAGCCTTGATACTGTATAAACAATGTTCAGCAACAACTGAAATATTGGTGTGTTACCAGCACTGTTTTGGTATGAAATCCTCAACACAGCACCATATTGGCTGCTATAAAGAAAATAAACTCCATCCCTGGCAGACTCAGTACAGAAGTTGTATAGTAAGTTTGTTCAAGTGAAAGCTTGTAAATATTTAAATAGTTCAGAAGTTTCAAAGTTGCAAACTTTGTTGAGACACTAACTCACTACAAATGAAATAAAAATTCTGACTTTTAGATTTTATTTTCCAACCTGCTTATGCCTTCAGAACACAATTCAAGCTAATGAATTCTGACAAATTTGAAGGAAGAGCAAGTCACATCTTTTTAAATTAAGAATATCTTTAATGGAGTTTTGCCACTTCAGTTATGCAAACAATCTATTTAGAAGTCATCTTCTTACTGACTGAAAGCCAGTAAATCTGGAGAAACATTTCTGAGTCTTTTGTTCTTTGAGATGTAGTGAATTTCATACAGGCATTTAGCCAATTAATACTGCTCATTGCTTCCTACCAGTCATAGCTGCTGTATTTATTCATAGTCACAATTAAAATCCCTACTTCAATAATACTGTTTTGAATACTGAATATTTGAAGTAAGTAATATATTCCAGCTTGACATGCTCAAAATCAAACAGGACTAAGTTCCCAGTAAGTTTGGGTTTGATTGGGTTTGGTTGTTTGGTTTTTTTTTTTTTAATACTTTTTTAGAGTCACTCATTACAGATGTCCTTGCTTTACAAAGACTGACTTCTAAGTGAAGCCATATGGAATTATATCATAGAATGGTTTGGGTTAGAAGGGACCTTAAAAATCATATACTTCCAACCTCCTGCTATTGGCAGGGATACCTTTCACTAGACCAGGCTGCTCAAAGCCTCATCCAACCTGGCGCCTTGAACACTCCCAGGGATGCAGCATCCACAACTTCTCTAGGCAACCTGTGTCAGTGCCTCAGCACCCTCACAGTAAAGAATTTTTTCATAATATCAAATCTAAATCTAGTATCTTTCAGGTTAAAGCCATTCTCACTGGGAACAGATGGAAACTAGAAGAGCTGGAACTAGATGATCTTTAAGGTCCCTTCCAACCCAAATCATTCGATGATTCTATGATGATTTTTCTACCTGCTCAAAGCAGGGCCAACTTTGAAGTTAGAAAAGGGCATTTTGATTCTTCATCCAGGTAACTTTTGAGTATCTCCAGGACAAACATTGTACAGTTGCTCTGAGCAACCCATTTCAGTGTCTGAACATCTTTGTTATCAAGTATTTTCTTAATATCTATCCCTTGCTGCAGCTGATCACAGCTGCCCCTTAACTATTTCCTATGCCCTCCTCAGAAGAGCCTGACTGATCCCTCTATCCTCCTATCATGAAGACAGCAAAATTTTTCCCTTAGCCTATTTAATGGGTTAAAACTTAAACAGGGGAAGTTTAGATTGGATATAAGGAGGAAATTCTTTCCTGTTAGGGTGGTGAGGCACTGGAATAGGTTGCCCAGGGAGGTTGTGAATGCTCCATCCCTGGCAGTGGTCAAGGCCAGTTTGGACGAGGCCTTGGGTGATAGGGTTTAGAGCGAGGTGTCCCTGCCCATGGCAGGGGGGTTGGACCTTGATGATCTTAAGGTCCTTTCCAACCCTAACTGTTCTATGATTCTATGATTCTATTTCCTTACAGAGACATTAAAAATGCAAGAGTTACTACCGTAAATTTCCTGATAAACTTACTGAGCTTTCTTAAGTCTAAGGCAGCTGATGATATTCATTATTTTTTTTTAAGTCTTCTGAATATTTTTACAGTTCCTGCTTTGATAAGACAGCAGTGGGAGATAAATTACGTTTGAAAGAAAGCAATGCTCTTTGAGAAGATTCCTTTACTTGAGGATTAAAACCTACCGATACTGAAACCGAAAGTGTGGTCCAATGTATAAGCGTTATTTCATCTTAAATTCAAGTATAAAAAGAAAAAAATTGAAGTTCCTGGAAATAAGGCAGAAGAACAGAGAAGATATTTTTGCTTTTGATATATTTAAAAGAGTTATCCTGTTGTTTGGTTTTGTTTGTTTGTGCTTTGTAAAGTATTGGTAATTATCCAGTACATGTATCACAAGTTCAACAACAGACCTTGCAGTTGACATCTCTCATCTGCAGTAGAGATGAAGTCTACTTCAGCCTCATCTTGAACTTGAAAGATGACTCAAGCTGCACAAATCTCTTAAAAGGAGCTACAAAGATTCTGAGAAGCAGAAAACAACCTGAAAGCAGGCTTCATTTCTGAGAGTCAACAAGTAACACATTGAATATTTTCCTTTGATTGTCTGAAAGAAAAAAAGAACAACAGTTTTTTGCAATATTGTTCTAGTGGAGCTATTTCACCCCAAAATAAATTATTAGTCTTGCTTTCAAGGAAAAGAAAGCATATTCTCCTTCAGGCTTACCTGTTCCTCTACTTCTTTTATGCTGTTTCTGGCAAGGGGAGGAAGAAAGGCAGGAAACAGAATGATGAACTACCTCACAGTGAATTTGAATTATAATGCATTTGGGAAAAAAAAATAAATCCACCCAAGCAAAGATAAAACTTCAGCTTAGCAAAGACAGAAAAGTTTACTTACCATTTGATATAAACTTCAATGAAGATCAAGACTAGTTCAAACTTCTTCAGCTATATGCTGGGGTGAAAATGCAGGATACCAAGGAATATATGACAATCTCGGAAGGTTTGGAAAGTGGTAACAACACTTGAAACAATTTATCAAATAACTTCCGAATAAAAACAAAAAAAAAGGCATTTTAAGCTGCTAGATATGAAAACATGGTCAATTATATGGAAGTTTACTTTTTAACATTCTTCCATTAAAACTATTCCTCTTCAGATAACAACTCCAGTCAATAACTGGACACATTTCTGTGACAGAATTTCTATGAAATAACATCATATCTAGATGTGACATTTTCCAAGAAAACCACAGTCCAGTTGGGATTTGCATGTCTGTAATTAGAAGTTTTTATTTCATTAACAGGAATGGGTAGTTTAGACTTTAACAGACACATTTAGGAACACCATGTGTAACTCAGTAGAATAAAGATTTGCACTAGAATTTATGTCACTATTCATCCTTGTTGCACACAAATAGTTATTGTTTTAAGCAGAAAGGGCACTTCCTCTCATAAAGGAAAACAAACTAGTCCATACAGCTTTACATCTCCCTGACTTTCCAGCCAAATCCACTCTTCCACACCCTACAAAACAATTAATTTACTACTAGTTTTTCTTTGGAAGTGCTGTATCATCCCATCTTGCAGTGACCTAACTTCAATTAGAAGATCTTAAGGTCCTTTCCAATCCTAACTTTTCTGTGATTCTATGATTTCATTCCATGTGTCTCTTGTACAACTTGACACCAAGGTAAAGCTCTAAACGCAGAGCTCTTCTAAGCATGCTCAGATGTAACACCTTTGCTTGGAGCAGAGCCAGATACCTGTACCTCGGCTGCAGAGTACATTACCATTTAATTCACATATTCCCACAAGTATGGCCTCTAAAGGAAGGTAACACATGCCATAAAGCTGTAGTGTTCTACGGTTCACAGCAGTGTTAACTCGAGGTCACCACAGCCTACAACCAGAGAAGTTCTCTCATCCTGGATGACAAGTCGCTCAGAGGAAATTACTAACAACTAAAAGGAGCCTAACATTTCTCAGACGCTTACAGGGCTACAGGACTCACTCGGGGTCCTGAACCCCTCAGGCATGTACCGAGCGAGGGGACCTTCACTAAGATGAATGAGAGGAAAGGGACGTTAGGCAGAAGGGAAGCGGGGGGTGGGGGGGAAGGAGGGAAAACACCTCAAGCAGTCTCCCACAGACGCACACCAAACCCCGCCACCGCCCCAAGCACCGGTCCCTTTCTCACCGCCCACCATCTTCCGTGAAGGGGCGCGTGCCCCGTTCAAGCCGGGGCCGCTGGTGCGCGGCGCCGCGCCCTTCCCGCGCGCCGATTGGCTGGTGGCGCCGGCGCTCTGCGGCGCTGTGATCCCGAGGCGCCGTGGCTGCCCGGCTGCCGGGAGCGGGGCGGGGGGGACCCCGGCGCCTCCTCGCCCGACCTGCCGCCTGCCTCGGGGCGCTCCTCCCGCGCGGGCCGGGCGGCGGGAGGAGGAGGAGCAGCAGCGGGGAAAACACGGGGGCCTTCTCCTCCTCCTCCGCGTGTGGCGGCGGGTTCAGCATCTTCGAGGCTGAGAGGCCGGGAACAAAGGCTCGGCGCCAGCCCCGGCAACTCCACCTGCCCCCAGCGGAGATGGCGTCCCTCGGCTTAGGGGGGCTTAACGTCTCCACTCGTAGGAAGAACGTGCCGGCTCGCAACGCCGCGGTGGAAAGGCGGAATTTGATCACGGTCTGCAGGTGAGCCGGCCCGGCCCTGCCCTTCCCCGCCCCACCCGAGGGGAGCTTTCTTACCCCTCCCACCATCCTGACCGCTGGTAGGGGACTGTTTCGCCCCTGCTAGCGGCGGCCGTCCCGGGGCGGGAGCTGGGGGCAGCCCCGCCGCAGCCCGCCCTGGCGGGATGCTGGCCTGAGGGGCACACAGCGGCGGGGGAGGGCATCCACATCCATCCTGCCTTCTCATCGTGCCGCCTCCATCCTGACTCAGCGCCCTCGGGAGCCTTGGCGTGTCGGGTGGCCGAGGGGCCGGGACACACCTGGCAGCGCCGTCGGGCACACTGGCCTGTTAAATGGTCTTTTTTTTCGGGGGGGGGGGGAGAGGTTTGTTTTCGGCACCTTGACTGTGTTCCTGGACCAAAGGTGGGTGCTGAAGCAGTACTGAACTGGAAGAAGTTCTTTACTGTGAGGGCAGCTGAGGCACTGGAACGGGCTACCCGAGGAAGTTATCAATGCCCCATCCCTGGCAGTGTTCAGTGCCAGGCTGAATGGGGCTTTGAGCAACCTGGTCTAGTGGAAGATGTCCCTGCCCATGTCAGGGAGTTGGAACTAGATTTTCAAGGTCCCTTGCAGCCCAAACCATTCTGTGATTCTGTGAACTGGGGTTTTCGGCTTTGCGCAAATAGATTGGTGTAGCGTCGATGTCTCTTAAACTGACACGCTATGGCCGCTTTTAAAATACAGACTTTATATGTATTGGACGTGAAGTGAAACCTAAAGCAGCTTTTTCAAGCTGCTGTTGAGTGGCTAACGGTGTGTTCTTGTTAACGCGCTGGTGTCGCAGGAGCAGTCCTGAGGTGGCTGCTGCCTTCAGGGGATATTTTTATCTCCAAAATCTAGATCAGGAAATCTGCAGTACGGGCTAGATCTAGTGTATGCAAATATTTTTTGTAGCATCTTAGTGCTGAGCTTACACAAGCTTGATAACGCTTCCCGTGCAAGCGTTTCCACTGCTGTCATTGTTGAATTCATGCAGCGTTTCCAAGTGTGCAGTACTGACCCATTACATCATGGCAAACTTTTAAATACATGGATATACTGGGAGCAGGGACCCCCTCAGTTCACTTGTTTCAATTGCTAAATTTTTAGGTTATCAAACTAATTGGAATATTATCTGGAGAAGGTCTTCAACAGACTCATATGAGCTATAATATTTTAATTCTCAGAAATTTTAATTATCTACCACTTAATGCTGCAGTAGTATTTAACAAACAGTTTAGGACTTCAAAATCTTCCCTTTTATAATTTTTTTCTCTTTCATTGTATGTTATTAATCGGTTTTCAGAGGCTAACTGTATCATCTGACTACTGAAAGGAATTTGCTTCGATATTCCTGCAAGTCCTAGCATCTGGGTTTCAGAGTATCATCAATACTATACTGCCTTTTTCCCAGGCTATTTATGCTGACCTCTGCTCTTGCTTGTGAAAAAGATATACAACAAAAACATAGAAAAAGCAGATCAAATAGAAGTTTTCAGTTTCATTATTGCTACAGAGATATAGACGTAGCCAGTCTGCAGGCTTGGGAAAACAGTGGTGTTATCGAGTAATGACATGAGTATAAGGGCTATAAACAGTTTTTTTAAAGGAGTATATTGTATTCTGTGGAGCTTGCTGTTCTTCTCTTCCTCCCCCTTTGAGAGAAACTCTTCTGTACTCCATGCTGTTACATTTTATTTTTCAGTTTATTTCATGTCCTTGTCCTGCGCTTGAAATGATGTTGTAACATGTTTAAAGAGATTTAGGGATCTGAGGAAATTAGTCAAATACATGTGAAACAAAGAGCTATTGAAGAAATTACTTGAAATTTGTGTATTTTAATTATTTTCAGTAAAACAATGTAATTTTGCTGTATCTTTACAAAACATGAATTTACATTTGTAAATACACCTTAAAATTTGGAAAGGACGATGAGGAAAAAAGATTTGTGTTATTATGATATGCATATATTTATATACTTTTGTATTCTTTGGCCAGTGTAAATGTTTTAAATATTTCTGTGCTTTACCATAGTTATTACATATTCTCTATTATTTAAAAGTGTTATTTATTAGGAATAGCCAAATCAGTGTCAAAGCCAGTAAGATAATAGTCCTTTCCAATCAAAATCCTATGAGAATATGAAATATTTCTGGTAAAAATACCTTCAATTAATTGATTCAATTATATTTGGATTATATGGCTTGCTATGCAGTGAAGGTGAGAGATCACAAGAAAGATACTCCACTGAATTGCCATCTGTTAACAGTCTGTGATAATTTAATGAAGTATTTTTGTTAAAGCTTCAATTAGCAGATTTTTACTTAAAATGGGCTTTGGGTTTTTAGTCTTTTCTTATACTGATGACATCTAACTCCTTGTGTGGAGTGGGTAGTTTCTTACATTTACAGCTTTAATGAAAAAATCTTTTCCTTCCAAAGTGTTGAGTGGCGCTGTAGTAATAGAAAATAATGTAGTTAATTATGTTTCATAAACCAAATGTACATGAAAATACATGGTTGTGTTTGTGTAACTGCACAGCCATGATTTAAATTGCAGCAGTTTTTAGGATTTGAATAAGTAATACCTGATCTAAGCTCTGTCTCTCTCCATACCCTTTTCCCTGAAGTCTGATGCCTTCCATTTTTAGTAAGTGCTCTTGGATGTTGAGGTTGTTCTATGTTCATCTTGGTCTAATCTAGTCTTCTCTAAGATTCGTACATCCATGTAGAGATAGAACCACCAAAAAAAGTAGAGACAGGCCTTGGAAGTGAGGGTCATAGCTTAAACACAGGTTGTTAACACAGAATTAAACAATTGTCAGGAAATGTATTTTTAAAATAGTGATTTTGCTAATATGCAGAAGAGGAACACTGATATTGACCCTTAGCTGAACTGTCTGTTTTCATGTCCAAGCCATGTTCTCTAGCATAAGGGATATTAGTTTATAATCTTGGGGTTTATTCTATATTAATAGCTTACAATCTTTAAAATGGCATTTTTATGACATTTCCTAATTGAAAGCTAAATACATGCAGCAGAATCCTTCCCTTCATTTGAAAACATAAGAGGAGCAGAATCTGACAATGAAAAATGACAAATTAATGTACCAGTCAATTTTTCTGCCCATTTGCTATCTGATTAGAGGCTTGTTACTGTTTTGGAAATAAGCCTGGAGACCTGGGATGTATCGACAAAAGGTTTGGTTTTGGTCTGGAGTTACTAAGAAAACCTGGGAGATCTTCTTGTGCATCTTGCAAAACAGTGAAGAACCCATCCCAAAAAAGATTCCTACAAATCTTTCTTATTTGAGAACATTTCCCTTTTACACAACTCGGAAGGTCTCTTTAAGGTTGGAGGATGCTACTGTTCCTACATCTTTTTTTGGCTCAGGCAAGACTAAATTAGTGACAGAGAATATAGAAACGAATCTATCTATGTAAGAATCTGAAAACATCCGAGTTCACAAAGGTAATTTAGAAACATTGATATTGGAATTTGTCCAGTGACAGTTACCATGTGAAAAAAAACCCCAACCCAAACCAACTCTACTGTTACAGTGACACAACAGAAATGATTGGATAAAAGACATTTTTTAAAAGAGTCTTATAGTAATGGGTATTGGAGCTACATCACTCCTCTGGTCCCACAGTCTACCAAAAAGTTCATCTTAGAAAATGTCATTAGTTTTCAAGCCGCTTTACTGTCTTGTGCCCTTTTGTTATAATTTGTGTTAATCTCTGAAGTGTAAGTAGACTGTCGCTCTAGAGTGTGGTGATGCTGTAGCAGCAGACCAGTAGAAAGTGAAGTTGGGAACAACAAAGGGAAAGAAGAAAGCTGCTCTACCCACATGGACTCTGTGTGCTTTAGACCTGACCTTTTGTTTCTTGACTTTCAGTCCCCAAGTGGTTCCACATAGGAATCGGGAGCATAGGCTTTCTTTTCTGGGAGGCCATACACTGGAAACAACATGCGAGGCATCTGCCATGACTGATTGAAATTGCTCACTTGATTCTTACAGGGTAACCTTTTTTCGAAGGCATCAATCAGTTCTACATACCTTAAATCTTTTTTCCAGTCCGCGTGGTAAGCATGGTGAAGTGTGAATATCTAACATGCAAAATGTGCTTCTGACTTTAAATTTAAGATAGGAAGAAGGAAGTAAAAAAAAGCAACAATAAATCCACAGAAGTATTTGCATAAGATGCTTTTTGTATCTTCCCAAAATATTTCTGGCCAATCATATTTTGCCTAGTAGCACTGTTATTTTCCTAGTCTGTGGAAATAAGGTGTACATACTTGCCCTCTCTGTCTAGAAATTCTAAAAGCCAGTTTCAGCCAAGCTTGACATAGGTTTTTGGTGACAGTGTGGAGTGATGGCAATTAATAGTCTGTGGGGTGCATGGTGGCAGTAATATGAGCACTTAGAAAGACCATAATGATGCCTTGGATGACATCGTTTAGTATGAGGTGTCCCTGCCTATGGCAGGGGGGTTGGAATTAGATGATCTTGAGGTCCTTTCTAACTGTTTCTAACTATTCTATGAGCTGTTAGACTATCTTTTCTAATCAGACCCGAGCTATTTAAAAATTGTTGTATCCTTAAAACTAGATATACTTGTTCATTTGAATTTTGGGATGCTTTAAAATAAATAAAAAATTGCTTATCTTGATTTTTAGAAGTGTATCGGTGAGTTGCTCTTAAGTGTTTTTTCTTTAATATATCTCCATATATGTGAATATATATCCCATACAATATTAATTGGTGAACTTTTAAGTAGGACACTGAATAGAGTTCATAGGCATAGCTACATATTATGCAGTACTTTGTTTTGCAGTTTATGGGTGATAGTGTCATGATCATGTCTCTAATTTTAACATTATGTTATTATATATAGTCCAGTACATTATACTGCTAACTCACCTCTCTCTTGTGTAGGTATCTGTGAATGAGTGGTATGCTGTACCTTCTCTTTTACAGACCAGCACAGAGTGGGAGAAGACTTCTTGCCCCAGTTAATACTTAGTCATGGCATTACTATATTCATTTATTTTTTAAAATTGAAATAATAAATAATTTCACAGCTCTGGTATAGCTTTGAAGAAAAAAGCATTACTGCCATTAGGATAGTCAGTAGCAATGATGCTGACTAGGTAGAAATTTACTGGTGGGCATCCATGTCTCTCACTCAAAATTGCTTAAAAACGTGGAGGAGTTAAAAACTGAGTCATGACTTGGCACTGCAGAAGAAGCTTCCTCCCCCACCCTTCTCACTCCTGATTCCTGTCCTGCCAAAACCAGTATAACAATAGAAGCCTGCAGGGAAGGTAGGATGGGAAGTCTTTATTCAGAAGTTTACTTAGTATGACATAATTGAGTTGAAACTCTTGAAATATATGTCAATTCAATTTGAGCATAATTTCATTTAGTAAATGAGCATCAGGAGGCTGTGCTGACTCCACTCAGGATGCAGTGCAGTTACTTTTATAGTACAGAGTGTTTGAAAATAGTATTGCTGGTTAAGGAGTCTTATTCCTGCCCTTGCCTATATAGTATGCTGCTTCTGCAGATGTGCTGTAGAACTGCGTTGAGATGCTGTGAAGCATTATTATTATGAATGTTTCCATGTTTAAGTCATTTTATCCCTCCTTTGAAATACTGGAAATCTAGATCAGTTCATATTGGGCCCCATAAAAAGTAGAACTGGCACCACTGAGGGAGCAGTGTGCTCGGATATGAGATCTGAGAGGCTGAGTGGGAACTTCCTAAGCTGCTACTGTTGAAGTTTGGGTGTTGTGAAAACTACCACCTCAGGCTCTAGTGTGGCTCCGTTAATACATACAGGGATTGTAGCAGAAAACTGCAATAAACGCCTCAAAGTAAGTGTTACTTTCAAAGTTGAAGACATGCGAAAGATGCCTTGAACCTAAAAACTGAAGAACAAGGAACTGAGGAAAGGAAAAATGGATTATGATTAAAATGGCAAAGGCAAGAGAAAAATGGATTTTTGTCTTATTTCTTGAAGTTTAAACTAGCTGCTCCTGAATAAAAATGAACTCGTGTAAGTGCAGGTGTAACTAAACACAACTAGCTGGCTAGTTGAATAGTTACACCTTGCCTGATTTTTACTGTGGCTTGATTCAGCCTTTCCAATTTGAAATGTTAGATCATTTAAGTTGATAACTTTTCTGGCATAATAATGAAGTAATATGGTGCTGAATGGGGATTACCCCCATTCACAGGGAAATCAGCCTGAGTTAATGCACAGAGTTAACAGTGCATAACATTTAATTGGTTTATAATATGTTTGGATTATTCTTGCTACGCTGTGTTCTCATAATAAGATGAAGTTTATACTTCTGATTCCTGGACATGGAATTTGGGAATAAAAGGAGTGTTGACAAAATATCGAGCAAAAATCATGATGGTTTGGGATTATAATGAGAAATTGATGTTCGGTACTTTTTGAGTACTGGTTTTCTACAGCTTTGTTACACTAGTTCAGAGAAGAGGAAAATAATTAGCCAATTTCTATGTAGGAAGTGTGGTGATTTTTGTTTTATTTTTAAGGCTTCATGCTTAAGACCAACAATGATTATTCTATTTCCAGGCAATTTCTCAATGTGGTATGTATTTACATTGCTCTGACTGAACTTGAAATCATCAAGGTAGTTTTCTGGTTCTTTGATCATTTGGTTTATACAAACTACTGTTCTGCTTTGGAGGCCCAATAGCTATCCATATAATTTATGATTGTCCTGTACGTTTCCTCTAGGTTTTCAGTCAAGACTCTGATTGACCGTTCCTGTTTTGAGACTATCGATGATACTTCCCCTGAATTTAATAATTTTGCAGCCATTCTGGAACAGATTCTAAGTCATCGACTGAAAGGTATGTTAATTAACTTCCATATTGGTGATACAAGAATTTGTTGATACGAAACCACTGCACATCTGTAGAAACTCCTTGATGCTAAATGAAAATGTTTCTTTTCTTTTTCCATTTTTCTGTCCCTTTGTTGTTTTGGGGGGTTTGGGTTTGTTGGGTTTTTGGTTGCTTGTTTGGTTGGTTTTTGCTGGTTTTCTGTTCCTTTGCTGTTGCCTTCCTGATCGTTTGCATTACTATGGAAAAGTAAAGGAGACAGGTTTTGTGAAACATGTTTCCAGTGTTCTTTTTGGAAGCCTTCTCAGCTGGTAATTAAGTAAGTGAATGTTGCCATGGTGCTGAGTGCTGTCTGCTTTTTTGCTTTATGATAAGGCTGTGTCCTAGGAGTCTGAGTCTGAAAGACAACTGTAGTGTATTCTGCTTTAACAGAAGCCATAGGGAGTGTATCTGTGATGATGCGCCTTTTTCATTCTACCATTCCTGCTTTTGTTGCCTTCTTTTCCAGATACTGTGTTTAAGTCCTTTAATTTCTGTCCCTCATCCCCCTAGTGAAACTGGTTTTTTGCTACTGGAGTGTAATGGATCTGGATTAAATTGCTTTTGAGAAAGGTCAGTTGTTGATTTTCCTCTTGGAGTCAGATGTTGTTCTAATTCAAGAATATGTCTGTTTACGTTTTCTGATTGTTCTAGAGGAAGCTGCTTTGCTAAAAGAACAGAACGTGCCTTAACAGTAAGTCGTTAGAAAAGGACTTGGGAAGCTTCTCCTCATTCTCAGTTCTGTGCACAGTTTCTGAAATTATTTAAGGATTATGAAGGACATCATAATCATCTAAATATAGATGTGTAATATGACAATCCACGTCTTTTCATTCTTTTTAATATTCACAACTAAGCTTTGCGAACAATATTGTGTGTAGGCTGACATGAGTAGCACAATTACTACCTGCTGTCATTCTGTCAGAGAAGGAAAAAAAATCACACTGTGGGGTAGAAACATAGTGTTTGTCACATTGTGACAAAGATTATTGAAGTAATTATGGGTACTTAGCAACTTGACACTGCATGGAAATTACTCTGTTTTCTACTTCTCCCCCAGCTTCTCTGATGTTTGAGCAAAAATCATGAATTCTCCCCTCCTCGCCCCCCAACATTCTCTTGCCTCGCAGCCTATTATTCGGGACAGGCAGTACAGAGAAGAAGCCTTGACAAGTTGGCAAATGGGTTACAAGCAAATGGAATTTACAAGTTAAAAATTACTGCAAGTAAGAAACAGAGAAAATAAAAAAGCTGAATTCTTGTTTCAGTCTTCCCCTTGTAATTACTGGTATGAATTTCTAAGTTTGCAGAGTTAAATAAAAATAGGGAGAAAGGCAGCAACTTGTGCGTTGGATTTTTGAACAGGGACTATTTTGGTAATAAACTAGATATTGTGAGTAATTGTTTTACTCTTTTAAAAGTTGAAAGGGAAATCGAGAAAAAAAAAATGTACCATGGCAACTCAAATTTTAAGAGGGTATATATTATACAAAACCGGGCTTGAAAGAAATTGTGGTTTACTGGTGGAAATTACTAATATATCCTGAGTGCATACTTTATGTCAGTAGGAACACACTAAAAGCAGACTGGTGAGGGTGGCAGGTTGTATAAAATATAAAGTAGGCAGAGCATACATGATCTACTTTTCTGTAGTAAGATAAATGGTTTCATTGTATCAAAGTTGTCAGTGTAGATAAACAGATGATCCAGATTTGAGAGTCTGAGTATATAGACCTTTACTTTCTTAAGGCCAAGGCAAATAATAATAATTCTTAATCTTTAATTTCCTTTGGAAGTATTGAATGAGGAAGGAAAAATAAAATAAAGAAGTGTTTAATTTGCATTGTAAAGGACTAAGTTTACTTTTATTAGAAAACTTTTACTGGCATCTCTTTCCTGACATTAAATATAAAATGTTTGTAAGGAGCATAGCATAGTCTTGATGGAGTATAGTGATTGTTGCTGCTTATTGGTTTCATGTTCAGATAGGATTCCGACAAACGAAATGGAAGGAAGAAGGTTAGCCATTTTAAGGGGAAAAGTGTTCAACTACAGGGATTAAGATTTTTTGCTTCTCCTGAAGCTATTGTGATTAGAATTCTGAAATAGTAGTTTTTCAAACCTCATCCTCATGGCTATACTGCTAAAAATGCCAGTTGAGCAATATGAACACCATTTTTAGGTGGAGTTTTGATAGGTAACTGATCTGATATTGACAATTCAAAATAGCAAAAGGGTCAGGAACAACATTCATGGTGGTTTGGGTGGTTTTGTTGGCTTGTTTTTTCTTTCAAGAATAACTGAAGTACTGGAAAGTACCTTAGAAAGTCATCCAGTTCTACTTCTTGCTTAAAGTAGGGCTGTCTCGGATTGCTCACAGCATCTTCCAGTTGTGTTGAAAATCTCCATGACATTTCTTAAACTCAGTGCACTTTGCTACAGAACTGTATTCCTCTTTCCCCTCCCACTGTGGTTATGTTTTCCTAATGCTGGCTATGGTCTTCACCAAATCCTGTGATGAGCCAGACCAGGAAGTCTGACAGCTTCCAGAGTGGGCTCGCAGTGTACCTATAGAATCCCTTCTTGTTGTCTTCCACATCCCTAGCCAAGTTTAATTAGATTTCCTGACCTGGTCACTAGCTTCCCGGACAACATCCCTGTATTCTTCTCAGGTTTCTTCTTTGCTTTCACCTTTTATAAGCCTCTTTTTTTTGTCTGCTGAGTTTCCTCAGCAGCTCCCTATCTGTCCAAGGAGGTCTTCTGGCCCTCCTGCCGCAATTACTTCTAGTTGGGATGCAACACTCCTGTGCTTGTAGCAGGTGATCCTTGAATATCAGCCAAGAGTCTTGCCCCCCCTCCCCCGCCCTCTAGGGCTATATCGCATGGAACCTTACTAAGCAGGTTCCTGAAGAGGCCAAATATTATATGATCATACTGGACAGGACAATCAAAGATCTTGAAAATATAGGAGAGAAGGAGTAACAGAAAAAAGATGAGTGACTAATTACTTTTTTATGCCTTTTGAGGAGTAATAATTTGCATGGGTTTATAGTGCAGCAGAGAGTGAGTGGTATGCTGAGTGAATACAAAGTATTTGAAGTTCTCTGGACCAAATAAGACCTATAATCCTGAAAGGGATTTTGCAAATTTCTATATAAATACATGTGAGTTCGATAGTGTCTAAAGCAAGCTGGGTGATTTCAGGAGCCGTGTTTTTCCCCAGATAGTTTTTTGGAATTTGTTCCTTTCTTAACTGTTCTGTACTGTGGAGATGAAGCTGTATCTTGTAGTTGTCTTCATGTTCTTTTGTTTTCACTGCTGGCCACAGATGTTTCAGATAAACTTCCTGTAAATGGCCTTTTTATCAGATCACCTATATAATTAGTGCAGAAATGGTAGGGACATCAGTAGGGGCGCTCAGCAACAGTACTCAGGATTTGATCACAGGTATATATATCCTAGCTAATATAAACCTGACATCATTTCAAAGTGATGTATTTATTGTCTTTACTGTATCACAATTTTTTCATGACTTTCAGCCTTTTTCTATCACTTTAAGTTAGTATTGAAGAACATTAACTATTGTAAATATTTATGGGCATCACCTATAACATTTCTGAAAACTGTTGTCATGCATTTGTTGCCTTACTATGTTTTCACTGTAATATCCCTTACAACATAATGTGTTCATATCTAAACTGCTAGCCAGTATGCATGATTAGAAATAGTTTTGGTGTATAAATGAAATTCTGCCACTGACAATGTATATAGCTCATCTTGCTTGTGACTTCTGTAATTTTTGCAGGTTATGGTTTCCTTGAATGTACTTGCCAACTATACATGTTTGGATTTATGACCATAATGACACAAACAAGTATGCTGTGCTGTGTATTTTAACACTCACAAATTTCTGTGCCTGTTTTCCTGAACATATTTTTAAGAGGTATTATGAATACCTCAAAAACTTCTGCTAGGATAGCCCATAAAAGCTGCTTGTCTCTATCTGATCTATGTTATTCTTAATTTTTAGTAACTGTGGAATTTGTTTGCTTGTTTTTCCTTTTAGAAAAATTACTATAGATAGTAAGCTTCTACAGTGGTAGTGATGCTTAAATAGAAAGATAAATTATTGTCCTTTCTGCATTCTATACAATGTTCTCGTTTCATGCATCATCAGGAGTCTGCTGGTAGTAACAGTAAATGGCTGTATTAGTGATGTCATTGGTAAATGTCTAGTTTTTGCACTTCATAGTAAGCTGAATTATTAAATAATTCATTTCTCAAGCAGAGAAAGACTTTTCTTGTATCTGCAGTGCACTATTTATCCCTTCCCATATGGTTTTTAGTTTATTTATTTTCAGGAGGGATGGGGGGGGGAAAAGGCAGTTACTACTGCCTACTATTTCATGGAGTCTTTTTAAGCAATTTTAATAATTCAGGTGTAAACAGTGCCTGAAGGGAAGTGCCAAAGGGAAAGGGTATGAATTATGTCTGCTTGTAGATTTAGGCCACAGGTGAAGAAGCAAGTTCTTTGTGTAAGGTGCAGCTTGTAATGCTGCTCATCCTGAGAGAAACAAATCTGTTGGATAAAATAGCTAAGGTAATGGTGATACAACGGGGGTAAAAAAGGTAAGGCTAAGGGTATAAGAGCTGAAGGCGCTATGGTCATGAAAAAGACAAAGTCTAAGCATATAGCTGTGATGGCACTTTATTTGGTTCTATCAGTAGAATAGCTTTTGTTACCAGATTTAATAATTATATACATGTATTACTCGGTTTTGGCTAAAAAGAAATAGTAGGGCTCTTACATAATTTGTGGTTTAGCTCATTCTCTTCTGTATGGAGAAGAATCTTAAATGCATTTATAATGGTCTTGGAGGACTGGGTTTATGAACTACTGTAAATTTTTAATGACCCACTCTGTAAAAGAAAATAATAGGTATCACAGAAATTCCTCAAAGGAGTAGCAGGCCAGTTTATTACCATCGAGTTGTATTGAAACTTTTTTTTTTTTTTTTGTGGAATAGAAGAATTTTCTGTGAACTAAATAATACAGGGAAGCCTGGAGAAAACCTGTGTCTACCTTATAGCATCCTACTCATTACTACTTTGCAACTGTAGAACTTTGTAGGTGTGAAATTGGACTGTGAGTAGGAATCAAACTGTTCAATGTCATATATGTAAAGAGCTTCTTCGGTGTGAGAAAGGTCCACAACAACTGGCATTGTGGATGTTTGGTAGTCAGACTGGAGCAGAAATGACCTGATACAAGTAGGTATGTAGCAGTATTCAAAAATGTGGTGAAAGAAAGAATTTTCACAATATTGTTTCTATTTGCTTTGCAGTTCTGCAAACAAGAATTGAATTAATTTGAACAATGTTTAATATTAGACATGCAGCTTCCATGTTTACGTGGCAATTTTGTTTGGCTGATAAAACCAGTAACATCTTTACTGTTAGAATAGCTGTCAGCTTGTGTGTCTTTTGATGACATATAAACTTCATGGTAAAGACCACATACTCTGTTCTTTGGGCCTCTCAGGAAACTTATTCCCGTTAAAATTTATATATGAATTTGGAATCACAGAACAGCCCAGGTTGTAAGTCATGTCAAGAGATCATCTGGTTTAACCATTTGTGGGGAAAGGAGCCTGAGATGATCTGGCACCCTGTCCAGTTGCATCTTGAAAATCTCCAGTGATGGTGACTACTACATTCCTGGGAAGATTGTTCCAGGGAAAAATTGTTCGTACTGTAAAAAATTTTCTTATGTTGAGCTGAAACCTCTCCCGGTGCAAATTCTACCTACCCATCACCCTTTGTTTTCTCCATGTGGCTCCTTGTAAAGAAACAGCCTTCATCCTCTTTGTAGCAGCCCTTCAAGTACTGGAATACTGTGTTGAGTTCCCCTCTAAGCCTTCTGTTCCCTAGGGAGAAAAGACCTAGCACCTTCAGTCTTTCCTCTTGGGGCAGGTTCTCCAGCCCTTTGAACATCTTTGTGCTCCTCCTTTGGAACCTCTTCAGTATGTCCATGTCCTTGAATTGCGGGGACCAGAACTGGACCCAGCACTCCTGCTGCAGCCTGACAAACCCTGAGTAGTGGGGGCTGTTTCATTCCTCATTCTTGAGAGTTCTCATGGCTGCGTGCATTGAGGGCCAAGTAGAATTTCATATGTTGAAAGCTTTTAAAATTGTAGGGAATCTACCTGTTATAATATATAATATACCTATTGTAATACCTTATATAATATGAGATATATAATTATATATACCTTATATGTAATATAAGCTGTCTTATGTAGTAGCTCTTAAAATATATTCACACTATTCTTAGTCTTTTCCAACATCTTTCTGTGTATGGAACGATTAAGGAAGGTTTTCGTCAAATGGCATTAATTACCATAGTGTGGGCAAGGTTTAAAGTTGTAGGGAGAAAATAGTGACATCTTGAAGTTCTTGGTTCACAAAAGGTCCTGAGCTGACTTGAGTTTCAGGTGAAGACAATTCCTACTGAAGTCTGAAACCCATCATACCCTCTCACAGAGCTGTTATATTATTATGTTGCGATTATGGCCAGCTTACTACTTTGATCAGTGTAGGGAAATAATCCTGTGTATGCTGGTACGTATTTCTGTTATAAAGGTATTTTTTGTTTATAAATGTTGTGTTTTTCAGGTGTTTATTTGTAAAAGTAATTGCTTTGAATTAGTGACTTTAGAAAACTATAGAGTGAAACTGTCCTTTTCGTACATGTACTCTGTCCTTAAATAGTTAGAAAAAAACACAGAAGTTATTATATGGTATGCTTGCATTTATTTGCCTTTATATGCTTGCACTGGAATTGGTGACACCAAGTCATCTTCACACTTAAATTGCATTTAATTTTGCAGGTATAATCCCTAGGGTAGAAATGTTTCTAATACGGCAAAGAATATGAAAAAATCTGTAACATTTAGTGTTGTTAAAATGCCACTGAATTTTTGTTGTTTGCTGTGCTTGGCATTACAACAAAAGTAGTTTGTTATACTGCTTACCTTATAGAAATTCTTTCATTTTAGTCCTTAGAATTGAGAAGATCTGAATCTACTGTAATTGAAGCATGCTGGGATTTTGTTTTACATTTGGTATATTGAGTAGTATATATTAATTATTCCTGATATTTGTTTACAAGTCTTTTATAAAACTTTGAATGTAGTAAATAAATCCATGTGGCAAAGTTAGTAGATGGACCACAAAGTCAAGTTACTTGGCACCCTCTAGGGGAAGAAAACCCCACCACTTGAATTTCTTTAGATCATATGGGACAGATCTTTGACACTACTCTAATTATGTTTGAAACTAAGATAAGTTGTGCTGGATAAAAATATTCTTGTCATCATGTGTTGGCATTTTATTTTTAGTGTGCATAATTTGCAGTATGAATCTAATATATTTTTTATTGAAATCTGAGCTTTCTAACAGCAAAACAATTAGAAGTCTTTCTGACAAACTAGTAAAACTTCCAAGTACAACTCAAGATTTAAAATAAAATAAAATTAACTTAAAAATTAGATTTCACTTTATATAGAGAAAAGGGTTTGCACATACATAATAATGGGAGTCACCAGAGGGCAATGTTCATCTTAATCTTTACATACCTGTTCAAAGTTACATACTGTTGAGTCTGAAAAATGGGGCTGAACTGTTAGGTCTGTGATTAAATTCCTTTTGTATGTGGAGGTTGCAAGTAGTATGTAACTTTCCCTTTCATTTGTTAGCTGCAATACATTGCAAACTCGAAGGGAAAAAAAAAAAAAAAAGGGTTTTGGTTAAAGCTGCAGAAGATCCATTGATTTGCTCAGTTTATTTTGGTCAGTTTCCCAAGGAATGTTCTGTGTGTATTCCAAATAAATTGTAACTGCGAAACATTTTTGATCATGCATCAACTTCCCTTTCAATTAAAGCACATTCTGAAAAATTCCAGTCCCTTTCTAAAAGAAGATAGCAGTATCACAGCAAACAGTGGTGTAGATCTATATAAAATACATTTTTTTAAAGAACAAAACTCTCTTTACTTGATTGTATTAATGAAACACATGCTTCTACCTAAAACAAATAACAAATACTTATTTTATCACATTTTTAAGTTGCAAGACAGTGTACTCTGTTGTGATGTAAGAGTCCATGAAGGACTCTTGAGTATTATTATAGCATACTAACAAGGAAGAAAACAACAAAATACACATATGTACACAAAAGCTCCAACCTTCTTTATCTGCATTGGTCTGAAACCAGGGTGAGCTGCATAATGCAAGCATATTTGTACACCTGCAAGCCAATTTTCAGGAGGAATTTATGGACTTGGTAGCACAAAATCCTGTTGGTGCAGGCAACCGATAGGGAAGTATTTGAATTATTTTTATCTCCAGTAAGCAGAGAGGGAAGTTCATCAGTCTTTACATATCTTGTATTTTGATTTAAGGTCAGATCACCTGGTTCGGCTATGAAAGTCCTCGTAGTTTCTGGGACTACATTCGAGTAGCTTGTCGAAAAGTCTCTCACAATTGCATCTGCAGTATTGAGAACATGGAGAATGTCGGTTCTTCTAGAGCTAAGGTAGGGAAGAGAAAGGTCAAATTGACTTTTTTTTTATTACATTGTTCTATGTAAAGTATAGCTGACATTTCTATACCCAGAAGAAAAACATATTACTAACCTTGCCCCACAACATTTTTCATTGTTTGAAATAATTATTTTTTTATATGTACCTAGTAAATATTTACTTTAAAAAAAAAAACCACAACCATTTAAATCTGAATGTGTTCCTTCTAAATTTGTTATTCAGTAGAATAAATTTTGAATTCTCTATTCAATGACCATGTTGTATTATAAAATGATTGCCTTCACATTTTTGAGCTTACATAGTTTTTTTCAAATGCAGTATGTTGAGGGAAATTATATACATGTGGAAATGCCTTACAAATACTATTTTAAAATTGTAGAAATGTGATTTCCCCTCCTCCCCCCAACCTAAGTGTAATTTTATTTTTTATATAATTTATGCATTAATAAAAAAGGTTTTATCAACTCTTGAGTTTGCTGGTGTCATTGTGCAGGAAGCCTTTCATAGGTTTATTTGCTAATAAAGATTTTAAAGGATGTATATAGAAATGAAATATAGAAATGAAATCATAATTTCTGATTGTCAGTATGATGGAAACATTAATGAAGTAACAATTTAATGTATTTATATGCATATGAACTGAATAGGAATGAGCTTTAAATTGATATATAATTAAATCTTAATGGTGTGAGACAGCATACACAAACATCTAAAAAGAATAAGTAAAAAAAAAAAAAGTACTATTCGACAGAGATTACAAGTTCTTTTTGCTAGATTGGAATACTTTTCAGTAGCTTGTATTTCTGTGTGAAAAAGCCTTGACTGATAACTGAGAACCTTCAGACTTGAAAGCATAAGTAACATAAAAGGATGCATAAATTAGTGTTCTTAATTCTTGTTACTCCTAAATGAACTGGAATCAGTTGTTTGAAGAAGTATGCAAACTGTGCTCTATGGCTGTTTTAAAAATCTTCCTGATTTATTATACTCTGGATTATTCAGAGTTGGTGTCATTGGTGAGGTGGAAATATTTAACTTGTTATAAAGAAATATTTTGTAGGTTGTTGGGTTTTTCTTTCAGGGACATGACTGTACAATTTAAATTACAGGTATTTACGCAACCACAATTTTCTTCATTAAAAGATGATGCTTAGGTCAAGCAGCACCATGAATCTAGTAAATCTTTGAACAGCCGTTCTAATGACCCATAGTATTGCCGAACAGCCTGTTTGCAATGTCTGCTATTGCTCCTTTTTTCTTTTGCGTAGACTCTGTTTTACATTTCATGTAGTAAATGCATATGTAAGCTGCATGAAAGCTTTCAAACACTTTAGATTCTATGGCAAAAAAAAAGCTGGTTTTCCTATTGACTGGTTATTATTATATTTTATTGACTGGTTTTCCTATCCAGAATGTTACATGCTTTTCCTAGCATGCAATGTACTGGAGTATTAGACTGATAATTTAAGTCATGCAACCTTTCTTGCTTATGTTGAGATCTGAAAATTCAGATAATTTGGAGAATTTATTTTCAAATACTTTCTGGAGAGACTTATGTTCTAGCATGTGATGATTGTGTTGATTATATTCAAGATTTATTTTAATGATATTTCTGAATTCCAAGATTTTAATAGAGATGAGTACTTAAATTTGGCAGATAATAAAATGTAAAGCTATTTTCTAAAATACTCCTAAAAATAAATGGAGATTTTTCTTCTACTTTGTGGATAAGTTCATGCCAAATAGTAAACAAAGAAGCTAATTCATGCAGTGAGTGTGGAGAACAGTGTTGAATTTTTGGAGGTGTGTGCAGAAGTATTTTGGTTGTCTGTATCTGAAAAGGTTGGAGACATGTCAACACAAATACCAATGGTCTGCATCAGTTTTACTTGTGGTCCAAATAGGAGCTGTTAGTAAGGCTTTACTAGTGCTACCTAGCCTTGCTTTCACTAGAACTACATAGGCTTTAGTCATTAGCAAAACAGAATCATCAGGGTTTGACCATTTTACTTGTGTTCATGCAACATGAGTTCGTGCAAACCTCATGAGGTTCAACAGAGGTTGAATGAACTTGTGTTCATGCAACATGAGGTTCGTGAAACCTCAGAGGTTGAATGAACTTGTGTTCATGCAACATGAGGTCGAATGAACTTGTGTTCATGCAACATGAGGTTCGTGCAAACCTCATGAGGTCCTGCCTCTGGGTGGAAGTAATCCCAAGCACAAATAGAGGCTGGATGGAGAACAGACTGAGTGCATCCATGAGAAGGACTTAGGGGTGCTGGTTGAGAAGCTCAGCATAACCTGGCAGTGTGCATTTGCAGCCCAGATAGCCAACCGTGTCCTGAGCTGCATCAGAAGAATCATGTCAAATGCCAAGGGAGGTGATTCTCTCTCTCTGCTCTGCTCTCGTGAGACCCCACTGGCAGTACTGTGTTCAGCTCTGGGGCCTCCAACACAAGAGGGACATGAACCTGCTTGAGCAAGTCAAGAGAAGGGCCGTGAATATGATCAGAGGGCTGGAGCACCTGTTTTATTAAAACAGGCTTGAGATTGTTGGGGTTGTTCATCATGGAAAAGAAAAGGCTCAGGGGGAACTTACAGCAGCTTCCCGCTACCTAAAAAGGCCTGCTAGAAATCTGGAGATGGACTTCTCACAAGGGCACATATTGATAGGACAAGGGGGAATGGCTTTAAACTGACAGAAGGTAGATTTAGGTTGGGTATTAGGAAGGAATTCTTTACTGTGAGGATGGTGAGGCACTGGCATAGGTTGTCCAGGGACATTGTGGCTGTTCCATCCCTGGCAGTGTTCAAGGCCAGGTTGGATGGGGCTTTGAGCAGCCTGGTCTAGTGGAAGGTGTCCCTACTCATGGCAGCAGGGTTGGAACTAGATGATCTCTAAGGTCCCTTCCAGCCCAAGTCATTCTATGATTCTATGTTCTAAATAACTTCAATGTAAAGGCAGCTGTCCAGATAAACATCCTTTAAATTTTAATGTACTCTATGTTAAAGTTTTTGCTGTGTTGTGGGTATTTAAGAAGGTGATTTTTGGTTTTGTTATTTACTTCTATCTTAAGTGTAGTTTGATTTAGGTCTATATAAATTTAATGTAGGATTATAATCTACAGTGGCTCTGGTACAATGTCTGTAGTGATACTCAGCTAGATGTCAGTAAGGGTCAAATGTATTAAGCACAAAGACATCTTATTACTCAACTATTTTTAAGTTTACGTGAGTTGCAAGAAATGTTCCTGGTGTTCTTAAAGGGACAATCATAATTATGGCAGCCACTTGAAGTGTCTTTTTCCTGTAAACTGCAATCCTGTGCACTAGACGTGTAAATACAGCGCAACACACATTCCTAAAGGTTATCTTTGAAGCTATTGCAGTTGTTCACAGAACTGTTGGAATGAAGTTTTGCTTTTGGACTGCAAGGTTTTGGCCTCTTAGATTCCTGTATATCATGTGCAGCTTCTGTAATGATGCCCTTACTGAGGGGAGAAAAAGTAATTTATTTTTTTATTGATCCCACAAATAGTTGAATGAACAGAGAGAATTATTTTTTTCTTAAAACACCTTGAGGGTAAGTTACTGATGCTTTACATTGGAAACAATTTGGTACTTCCAATAACATTGTCTTTAAAATTGAAAGCTTTTTGCCATGATGTGTTACCATTCCTACCAGTTATGCACATGAGACTTTAGAAAGGCTGGATTATATAATAAAAGCACTATCCTTCCCCCACCTTTAAATTGTTGATAACTTTATTTTGTAATGAAGTTGGTTTGTAAGAATGCTTTTTCTCTTTTCATTATCACTGTAATGAATTAGATCTTAGCAACTATTTCTGTTTAGGGGTGATTTTGTTAACAAGTTCATTTCACCCAGATAAATCAACTGTATTCATTTTCACATGGAAAATCGTTTCATTCTGTAATATTTGATGTCTGTTTCTTCTTGCAGGGTCGAGCCTGGATCAGAGTAGCACTTATGGAAAAGCATTTGTCTGAATACATTTCCACAGCTCTGAGAGACTTCAAAACAACCAGGTCTCTAAGGCTTCTATTTTTGCAATATTTTAGCAAATGTTTCGTAAGTCGTATTGGGTTTAGAAGTGCATGTTCCACTTGATTTGTATAGGAAAAGATGTCACTAGTAAAAGAGCTGTAATGTTGTAAAAGATATCTAGAGTTGATGTGAACTGACTGGATGTTAGCATGGGTAAAACTGCAAAATTAAAATTCTTTGTGATTTTAAAAATGTGGAAATAAGTCTGGAATTCTTGAAAGGCCAAAAGAGAAGGAAATGGCTTTAGAGAAGGAACTAATTCTGAAATTGTAGTGTGATAAAGATAGGAAAATGTAATGTTCTTTCAAAATTAGGTATGGTTGACAGAAAGTCCTAGAGACTCAGTAAAAAATAATTTTTATAGGAACATTTCTTGAAGAAGAAAGGAAAATAATTCTATGAACCCATTGAGAGACATAAAACAGAATTAGTGATCAGGCATAGCATGGGGATACTTATTGTAATATGAAATTTCTGTAACATTTTATTTATTTATTTTTACCTTGTAATGGTAAAATCTGTTATGTACAAGAATATGTGTTATGATGGAAAATAGTCTGCCAGTTTTGGACTGGTTCTAAATAATGCGATTGTTATAGGATGCTGTATCCTGCAACAACTGTATCTTGTAGATTTATGATGAAGTCATCTAAATATGAGTGAGTTTGTAACGTGGTACCTGATGTTGACCTCTTAAAAGTTTTAGATTTACTGAATGGGCTTTTTGAACAGTAAGATTTTTCTCTGCAAGGACTTCAGTTCATTTAGAATATTGTTTCTAAGACTGTTTGTCCACAGATCTCCATATATTTTGCCAATATTAAGGTGACTTTGAAGCACAACTAGGGAAATATCACATTTTATTGAAGTTTCCAGACCTATAATCTTTATTTTACCCAGATTTGTTTGCATTTACAGTAGACAAGAAGCTCATAAACCAAAGATTTCTGGAAAAGATTTACTCATGTTGCCTCAAACTGAGAAGTCACTTGGGTTTTTGAGGGGGAGATGAGGAGGAAGAGGAGGGTCACAAACTTGTGTAGTTAAGTAGTACATTCTTTGTCCATGTTTGGTAGTGTGGTTTGCTAGTGGGTAACAGTGGTATTATTTTATTATCAGTTTCAAGTTAATTTATTTGAACATGTTGATGTTTAATATATTTGAATGTTCTTTCAGTGGTATAGTTTTTGGAAACAACACCTCTTGCATTGCAAACATAGTAAGTGCAAAGTTTGTTTTGAAGTAATATTTTAAATACATCTAATGAAAATAGAAGCTCCAGTTTAAGATCTTGGTATGGTGGATTTCAAATCTACTACCAATAATGGACATATTATCTTTTCTTGTGTGGGATTTTGGATGCCTAATAAGTGGCTGGATTCTTTTAGTGATGCTTTGCACCATTTATTCAGAATTTTAAATTACGTATTTTGATATATGCCTGTTCAATAATTATTTATATAAACTTTAAATATGATGTTATACATGTGTATATGTAGACTATGAGATTGATCTATCATACTGCTAGCCCTTTTTAAACCTCACTGTTGTGTTTAGATACCTGATCTTAGTAAAGCAGCACGTTATTAGTGCTGGATCTGCATATTACACTGAGAAGGGAGTTGGGTTACGCATGGGCACACAATTATTTTTCTAAAGAATTGCTCAGAGCAGACTCTTAACTCAAAGTAGGCTGTTGTGAGATGTCAGCTGCATAGCCCTGAGAGAAAAGTTGTGAGTTTTCCAAGGGGACTGTTGTTTTGGCTAGATTACTGAAGCTGGTTTAAGAAACATTACCATTGTCAGGCTAACACATCTGCATCTCACTGTTACAAATAATGTCCTGTCTTTTTGTGTGATTACTTCCTTGGCATCATTTTACAAGATAAACTGAACACTGTATAGATTGGTACTAGCAGTAATTTAACAAATGCCAGTGAAATAGGTGTCAATCAGCTTGTGCTGGGAGCATTGCTCTTAGTTCACAAATAAGAGTAGCTATACTGAATCAGACGGTAAAGTCCATCTAGCTCAGTATTCTGTCTTAGCCAGTTTAACCTTCTAGTGCCATTCTTGAACTTCAGGAGTAGAGAGTTGAGTCTGTACATCATAGTCTCCATGTCAAGACTATAATCTCTGTCTTCCCAGAGGAAGTAATCCAGATTTCTTGCTTCTACTGAGAACATCCAGGGTCTTGGACAACTCACTTCCTTATAGCAAATGGATGTCTGTTAAGAAACTGCAAAAGTGGGACTTCTGATAATGTGCATTATAACACATTTCAGTCTTTGGAACTGTGCCCCAAAATGTGTCTTCTCTGGATGTTTGCCATGCAGGCAACTCAGGCTCTTACTGAGACATCCCAGTGCTTACATGCAGTTCTTAAAGCAGATGGAGCTTTTGGTAGGGCATTGCTGCTGGTATTTGAAAGACGGATTGCCTTCAATAATCTGACACCTTCTTGCAATCATACATGGCTAGAATATATAGGTGGAATATGGATCTTGGTTTCCGGTAAGTGACCTTTCAACCTTGCAGCTGGTACTGAACAGCTCTTCGTTTCCCTCTTTCCACATGTGATGCTCAGGTGACCTTTCTGCCTCTGCTACTGCCAGGACTCCTTTAACACAGAAATTACAGTTGTGTGCTACTTTGCTAAACAGACCAAATGCCTTTTTACAAGTCCGTGCATGGCAATGGTGTGTCCTATTCCCATATATTCTGTGCATGGAACAGTTCTGTCTTGAAGTAGCTTCTGTGGTAGCTAGAAGGAGAAAATGAGAATTAATGGGAAAGAATGAGGAGGTAGTGAGGGGATACAGATTTAAAAACGGTTTCTTTATTGGTCACTGTTCTCAACCAGCCTTCAGAAGTCTGCCTGTACCAGGGTATGTGAAATGTATTTTGAGATCAAGGCATGGAGTTCTAAAACTTTGGCCAGTAGGTGTTTTGCAATAAAAAATGGTGCTAAGAAACGCTCCTCCTTCAAATAATGAAAATTTCAAATCTCAGAATAACTGGATGCAGCATGAATAACCTGAGCATGCAGTAGAACAAGCATGCTACCTGGAAAATAACTGATTTTTGAAAATATTTTCTGAGAACGAAGAATAATTTTTGAACATTTAAAGAGTCTGCAAGTACAATTGTGAGAATTTTATTTTTTTTTATGATGGAATATTTTTTTATAGAGATGACACACATTCTGCCTTTCAGGTTTAAAGTGTATCTTCATCCCTTCCTTTGCGTTTCATCCATTTCTTAGGGCTAATATTGTGAATTGGTTTTGCTTCTATCTAAATTTTTATGTGCTCTAAGATTGTGGTGCTTTGTGCTGTGTGATCTATTGTTTTGCCTTATTTGAAATGAAATATCAGGCCCCCGGGGGTTCACATGAGGTTTTTTTATTTAAACTGTATTTCTTCATTTTTCTGTTAACTATGAAAAATAGTATTATTTGAGAGAAAATGATATTAACTGAACTAGTTTCTTTTTTTCTTGAAGGAGATTTTATGAGGATGGAGCAATTGTTCTTGGTGAAGAAGCAAATATGCTTGCTGGTATGCTGTTGGGACTCAATGCAATTGATTTTAGGTATTATATTTGCATGCTTCATAATACAATGCTCAGGGAAAGTACTTTTTCTTTTTTGAAATAAAATGGATGAATTATGAAAAACAGTGTTAGAGTTCCTTGATAGTTTGAGGGCCAAAAATTAGGTGGGGGAGAAGAGGGAGGGATAGATAAAAGAATCTTGAATGGCTCTTCTAGATAAGAACAAAACCATACCATAGTTTATATAGCTGCATGATTACACTGTCTTTCAGGTATCAAAATTCTAAAAGCAATCTGAAGAGTAATTACAGAAGATATGTTAAACCTATTAAGTGAAGTTTACAGACAATTGAAACTTTTAAAGGATTAAGTACACAGTTATGCCCTGGTACTCAATGACAGCATTGTAACTGAGTATGTAGAAGGTATAGGTAACTTTGACTTTAGTACTTCTACATTTTAAAAACGTAACCCACAAATGACCATTCAATATTAAAATGTGTTATAATTAACTGCAAAATATTGTAAGATTACATGAATTTACCTGTGCTATCTTTAGCTGGACTTCTGTGTGCTTTGTGATACAATTAATTCTATGTTTTGGGCTAATGAAGATACACCCCCTAGATAATTAAAACAACAACAAGTTTTTGGGGTGTGTGTATTATATATATATGTATATACACACATATAGTATATATAGCAAAAACATCAGCAAGGTATAAAGTCTACAATGCCTATGATAAAATGGTGCCAGGCCCTGTTAATATGCCTGAGTCAAGTTAACCTCATGAAAAGGGGAAGGGTTTTGTAATACAGCATAGGAAAAAGGAGAATGATAATGCTTTCCTCCAGTGTCCTGACAATATGCTGTTAAAATTTACACTGCAGCAGCATTAATGCTTGTCACAAACCAGTTTAGGAGAAAAACTGGCAGAAAACAGCACAGTCTCACTGGATGCACTGAGTGTTGACAAAAGACCTTTAAAGATTTACTCTTGCTTATGTGCCCTTATACCAGTTTTGAGGCTTGTTGGGCCCTTCTGTGAGTCAATTTAACTCATTAAAGAGTAAAAAAACCCATACTCAATAAGAAGACAGGATAGTTCTTTTGCTATTAGCTAGTTTGGCTCATGGAAACATCCTATAAGTGGCAGATATGATACGATCATAAGGATTAGAGAAGAAAAAGAATAAAAGGGATTAAGTAATGTCTTACCTTTCCAGTGGCAGTGAGCATTGATTTTAGTTGCCTGTGGAACTGCAACTGGATGCTAACGGGGAATAAAAATCCTAAAAATTCAGGTCATGATAGCTGAGCTAGCTCATCATGGAGTCAGATAAGTGCCAATACCACTGTAAGGAGGGAAAGGGAATGTCTGGTTGGGATTTAATTAAGAAAAATTAAAATTACCACCCCCCTCCCCGAAAAAAAAGTAAAAGGAAAAATGTGGAGGGAGAGGTTGAAAGCAAAGGATAACTTCTTTTGCCAGCATTTAGTCACTAGATTGGCTTAATAACATCATCAGCTATGTTCTGAGGGAACTGATTGATGTTGCTGGATGATAAGTGAGTTAGCCTTGTGTACAGCAAATTCAACTCTTACCAGATTTTTTATTAGTTTAAACTTTACACTATGTGAAATTAAACTACTTCTCTGTTAGTACTATACTTGGAAGAACTGTGGCTACACATAAGTAAGAAGAATAGCAGGAATAAGTCTGCAGTATGTAAGTCCTTCCATAAATAAGCATCAGTTGATAGTGTTTGTCTCCCATAAGCCTCAGTGATACATACTACCAGTATGAGAGCTTAGTTGTATGAGTGTGCTTATTCTTCCTTTGTTCTCTGATTTCTAATACAAGCATATTTATACATTCTTCTGGAGACATTGAAGTTTTTGTCAATGTCACATTTAAGAGTCTAGAAAATTTCTGGGCAAAATAGGGACATAATTCTACAGAAGCATTTTTATTGTTTATCTGCTTAAACTAATTCTTGTTTTGCAGGGGTGTTTTTTCTTGTTTTCTTTGCTTTTCTATTCTTAAGGGGGGAAAAAAAAGCAACGACAACAAAACCCAACCCTGCATATGTGCTTTCCAAATACTACTTAAGTGACTGCATTGCAAAAAATGGCACTTTGCAATTAAGTTAGGAAAAGTAACAAAAGCCATGTCTTACTAGAATTGGGTTTTCAACGACATATGGAAAGAGTGAGGAATATGAGCCTTATGGAAGCATGATTGATTTTGCCACTTCTGTGATAATTAAACATGGTTCCCATACAATCTTTTATATCAAGTAGAAAAAGAATACAGGGTAGATGAGAGCTTTGTAAAGCTACAGCCATTTCAGAACATTTTCTGAAAGTAAGATTGATCAATGTCCCTCATCTTCCTGCAGCTCCACACCAGAAAGTATCTGAAAGGAGAAAAACTGTTAAGTATTTTTGAGAACTGATTTTTGACTTAAAGTTAGTAGGATGCTTATGTACGGACTCTGCAAACTCTTTAAATGAGCTTAAATGCTGAAGATTCCATTCTCATCCATAGCTCTTCTCTTTCTCTTGCTCCAGCTAACTTTCTTTTTATTGTTATTCCCTGCAATCCATCTATAGTTTCAGAATAGAAGTGAATAATTAAATATCAGGGTTTATACCACTTGCCCTGATCTGTTCCCTGATCATGTGGAATTACTGTTTGTTGGGGGTTTCATTATGCTATAATATGCTCAGTGACTCTCATTAAATATTAAATAGTCTAGCTTGGCTGAGTAGGATTTCAGTATCAAATGCTCTAGGCCTTTCTTATTACCAAAACATTAAGAAAAATTTCACATTGATAAGATTCAACTGTCACTGTTATAATTTTCTTGCTATAATCTTACTGTTGTTTCTCTGTTTCGCCAGTTTTTGCCTGAAGGGTGAGGGACTGGATGGCAGCTTTCCAGCTGTCATAGATTATACACCATATTTGAAGTTCACCCAAAGGTACTTTTCATCTCTGCACTTTTTAATTTTATTTCATTAGCAATTTATCCCTCATACTGGGCCCCATACTTTTCATTTCACATTCAAAATAATATCTGTCTCTAAATACAAACCTGCGCGCTCAGCTGCCTTACTCTTTCAGACTGGTAGAATTATTACATGACTCATCACAGTGAGTCATGCTAACTTTGTTTACTTGGATTATGATCAAAATTTCCTTTGCAGATCTCCAGACCAAGTTGGCCTTTCTCTTGGTCCTTTTCTATATAGCCATAAACTCGAAGGTAGCTGTCTTGTAAATAAAAACTGTATGTGTCCTCATAAATGGTAAGGTATGACAGATAAGCAATATGAGCAGTTAGCACGTAATAGAAAATCGTGACCAGTTGCATATATAATCTGACCTTCCAGCTACATTTTGCTCCTGTGATCCGTTATATGATTAAAAATTAAAGGAGTTATCATTATCTAACAGATCAGAGAGCAATTTGGTATCTCTAAAAAGCATGGAAATTAAGGGGATGTATTCTATTGTTAGTTATGCCAAAATGGAGGAAGCAGTTGGGAGTGAGGAGTAGTCTTGAAGATGTACAACTGAACGTGAAAAATCCTAGTTATATTCTTGAAGTTCTTATTAGCTTACGTGTTAACGACAAATTGCATGATTCAGTTAAAGCAGAATTTGCATCATGGCAGGATCATAGAGTTGTATGAATCACTACTTTAAAAACTAGTAAATGCTGTTAATGTAGTGGAAAGCATAGTTGTAAGGAAAGATTTAAAATGGGTATTGGGCTAAATTACAATTCTTGTATTTGAGACAGATGCCTGAATTTTCTGGCATAGATTGATTCTGGATGATACGCAGATATTTTTCATAGTGAATTTGCATACTGTATGGAGAGATGCTCATGTTCTGTGAAATAATAGGCACATGGTCTTCACTATAACCACAACTATAAGTTTTCATTTAAATTTATCATAATTTAACATAAAAACAACAGTCACTTTTCTATTTTTATGCTTTTTTGGAAACAAATAACATCTAGATTCAGATAATGCTCTTTTACCCTGAATTTATGAAGGAAAGATCCAAGTCACCACTCAGACAGCATATTGGAATGCATCGGCCCTTTGTATTCCAGGAGAGTATACTACATGCAGTTGTCTGACTTGCCGAAGACAACTTAACTATGGTCTCAAGCAAATTTTGCCCATTCTTTAGGTGCCTATACAAATAAAAGCTTGAAATATAACTTGTGTTTAGTGATCTATCCCAATATTTTGTTTCTTTTTGGTTTACAGAGCTTTAGATGTATTTAGTAACTGTGGTGCTTTAAATTTCAAGGGGGTTTTGCATTTTAACAAACACAGCTTTTCACTCGGCTAATTAATATGATCTTTCAGTTCTGACAGCATTAGCAGTGATGAAGAAGAGCTAAGAACACTGGGCAGTAGTGGCAGTGAAGGCAGTACTCCAGAGAACATTGGTCCTCCTTTCATCACGGATGAAAACAGTTGGTACAACAAATGCAAAAGGGTAGAACAGAAGTACCGGCTTGCATTGGAACAGAAGGTAAAAGATTAATTTTGTCAGGGGGTTGATGGAGCCAAAGCTCATCATCAGCCAACTGGTGACACAGCCATTTAAGTGAGGCAGAAAAATATATTAAATATTATTTACCTTCCTGTAAGTGATCTTAAAATGTATGATCTTCAGAGTATCATAAGTATCTTTGCTCACTGATCTGAGGGAAAAGAGGTTTGGGGAGAGGTGAAGAAGCTAATACGGATACTGGATTTCACAATCTAGTATAGAAGCTTTGGCCCCTTTTTCCAATCTGAGGGTTAAAAGCAGTGTTATCTGTAAAGCTGGTAAGTTGTGAGCTTGAGGTAAACATGACTGTCCACACGATTTTCCTTTTCTTTAGAGACCATAGAATTTTACTGATGTACGTAGACTACCAGCTGAAGGTTTTTATAACAATAGTGATGTTAAACTTTAGTCTTGCAGTAAACAAAAATGATCAGCAAATTGCATCTAGGAATAAAAAGCAAAACTATCTTCTCAGCAATACTGAAATGGATTTTTAGAAAATATATAGTTTTAAGACCTGCTTCAAGTTAGAATGGGAGAAGAAAAAAGTGTTTGATTTCAATAATTTAGGTAGTATATTGAATGTTATCATAGAAACCAAAGGTAGGTTCTCCCTCTACCACCCAAAATACTGTAAGTTAAAGGCGAACTGAAATATATGTCTGAACATTTTAGTATTTTTAAAAGCAAAGTGTTTCTCAGTTTCTCATAACAGCATATTACAGCTACAGGCCACAATGCATATTAGCTAGAGACAGAGAGAAAAGGGAAGGCTGTTCTTAGACACTGAAGAAATAGTGTACAGAAAAAGAAAGGAGGGGGTCAGAAAAATCTAAGAAAATGCTTAATATTTTTAAAGAAATACAGCCAGACTGAGAGAGTATACCTGAGAATGAGACCTGGCATTAGGATTCATATGGATTGCTGAATGTCGGTGTTAATACGGAACGGGTAGAATTGAGGTTGGTTTACTTTAATGCACGTGATAGAACCTAGTTAAAGTTTTTCTAAGTAACTGTGAAAAAGTCAGGCTTACTGTAGGATGATAGATGTCAGAGGTATTTTTTAAAAATATGCACTCAATTATTTCTATTTTGGGTCTCCTAGACTTCTTGTTTTTGAAATCTGACCTTCAGTGTTGACAGCCAGGTTGCTGTACAATCTTCTTAGCCAGTACGGTATCACTTTCCATATGGAAAGAACTTGTGTTCCTTGGGGTTCTCTGTGGTACAGGGGATGTTCTCCCTGCTTTTGTAAACCAAAATGTGTCAATCAAAAGGAATTTCTTCAAGTACATAAGCAAAATCAAAATCTTTCCCTCTCCACCCCAGCAGTCCCTGATGCACAGGAACATATTCAAGACAGCATTTCATCCTTGGTGTTCAGACAAAAGCACAGGATTGGTTTGAACTCCACTCTGCTTCACCTTCACCCAGTGAAAGACTGTAAAATATTTTGAGGCTTAATGAGGAAAGTGTAATCAATACTGGAGAGGCAGTGAAGAGAACAAAATAGGTGGATGCTTATTTTTCTTGTTACATCCAAGTGGTTCATTTCCAAGGATACCCTATCAAAGTTGTGACAGATACCTGTAGAAACAGTACTGAAACACGGTGTCCAAATCCACTAGCCAGAATCCCTAGGAAACTTTCCATCTGCAAAAGCACAAAGATCTTTAGTGGCTCTAACAGCAAATGGAGGTTTTAGTTTATTCACAAGTCTAAAATCCAGAAATATTTATATTCCATGGGAAGTTATTTGCTGATGTTATACTGAGTATTTCAAATTTTTGAGCGTTACTATTTTCATGACTCGCATTATTCCTTGTAGCATTCTCTTAATGAAGCAGCCTCTATAATCAACTAACGTAGAGGTGAATTCAAGTCAGTTTTATGATAGTTCTTTGAAAACTTTGGTGCTTTTAATACCATTTTCAAAATGGTAGCTATTCTGGCAGCTGTTGACACTTTCCTAATTGTCCTCTTTTAGAATGCCTACTTGACAATTGCAGCAGCAGAATAACTTTTTTACTCCAACAGACAGAAAATTTTCTATTGTCTAGTTTTCATTTGGGATGTGCCAGACAAATTTTAGTATCGTTCGCTTTAACTATAGTGCATCTGTTGTATTATATCTTGTCCAAATGATCATTAAGATCTTAGATGGACTATGGTATATTGCTCCTTTCCTGTGTGTTTCTCTGCTTCCCTTTTTGGGACCTTTTTCATGGCAATGAGTTACAGTAACAGTTGAGTTGCACACAGTACAATAGGTAGTAGTTAATCAGAGACAGATTGCTTTCTTTCAAACAAAGGGGCTTTCTGACATTCTGTGTGTTGGAAAACTGGATCATTGTGACAAGAAGACCAAGTTGAAAATCATGTATTTTTAGTAACCGATACACTGATGGATGCTTCTTTTGCTCTATTGGCATTCACTTTGCACAAACAATGATAAATTCCTTTTGTGCCTCCTAAGTATGTGTACTGCAGTCATTAATAGTACAGCTCAATGATGTTTACCAGGGTTACAAATATGACAAGCAATTGTATTGCAGCTAAGACTAAGTTATGTGTATCTTCTGAGTTATTTGAATAGTAGGATAAGGTCAGGTATTATTTTGGCAAGGTAAACGGTAGCATTGCTTTATTGGATCAACAGTGCTGTGCTGGTTTAGACCAAGAATCCTTGGTTACCCTACTATCTTATCTTGGATACTTGCCCAAAGTAGATGTGAATCATAGAATAAAAGCAAAGCAAATTTATATGCACTTTTTTTAACTTGCATTTCTTGCCAGTGCATGTCAGCTGAAGGACTTCCTGAAGCTGATAAGGTTTGTCTGTTTAGTAACCTGTAATGGATTTCTCTTCCAAATCCTTGTCAAATATCCCCTTGACCCTATGTAAATTTTTAGCATCCAAACCAATTTTTTTTGGCAAAGCATTCTGCACTTCTACCATCTGTTGTGTGAAAAATCGCCTCCTTTTCTGTCTCTAAAATTTGGCTCCTGCTGGCTTCGTTTCATGGTGCCTAGCTCTTGCATGTTAAAAAATGATGAACAGTCGCTTCCTTCCTGCCTTCTTCAGACCACTCTGGAAATACAACGAGTTTGTCTTTTCCAAGTTGTCTCTTGTCCAGATTAATGAATCATAGTTTACACATTGGATAGTTCTGTGGTAATTATCTGTTGCCTATTTTGAAGTGGTGTAAACTGTTCACTTTTACGTAGTAAACTTCTTAATTTTTTGTGTACTGTTTATACTGGAGTTTTACAGGCTTTTACTGGTAGGATGATACACCTCATGTGTTATAGAGATTTATTGTCTGATTGTATTCTGTTTCTGATGGTGATGCTTCATGTTTAATCTTTTTGTAAAATATGGGATTTCTGGGAAGCATGAAATATGTCTGAATGCATCATTTAGTACCTTTAAAGCACTACTTGAAGGTCCAAGGAGTACCTTAACAGTAAAGATAATGGTAACATTTGACAGGCAGAATTGAGCACACTGAAAAACTCTTAAAATTCCTTGGAACTTGTACTGAGACTAAAATAAATTCATATAAAATATGAATATATCCAGTGGACAAAACTGTATGTAATCATAGAATCATAGAGTAGTTGTGGTTGGATGGCACTTCTTGAGGTTATCTTGTCCAAATCCGCTGCTTAAAGAAATGTAGACTAGAGTGGGTTGCTTGGGGCCTTGTTCAATGGGGTGAAAATCTCTTTTTTTCCCCACATTTAAATAGTTGTCTGTATTTCGGTTTGTGTCTGCTGCCTCTTTTCACTGGATACCCCGAGAAGATTCTTACTCCATCCTCTTTAAACCCTCCCACTAAAAATCAATACATATTGATATGATTCTCTTCCTGCCCCTCTTCCCTTCTCACCAGCCCTGGACTGAAGAATCCCAGCTCTTTCTGCATCCTCTTGTATGAGAGGTGCTCTATACCCTTAATAGTCTTTGTTTTGATTCATTCGATTAGTAACATTTTGCTACCAGCTCAGTGAAACTTGTGTGCTTCCTCAACAGGACTATGCCTGTTCTGCACCTATGAAAACTACTTTTTTTAATTACTTTTTTTTTTTTTAATATGGGCACCTATGAAAGAACGGCAGAGAAGAGATTCAGAGCAGCCCTGAGGAGAAGGACTTGGGGGTGCTGGTCGATGAGAAAATGAACATGAGCCGGCTTCAGTGCGTGCTCGCAGCCCAGAAAGCCAACCGTATCCTGGGCTGCATCAAAAGGAGCATGACCAGCAGGTCGAAGGAGGTGATCCTGCCCCTCTACTCTGCTCTTGTGAGACCTCACTTGGAGTATTGTGTGTAGTTCTGGTGTCCTCAACATAAGGAGGACATGGAACTGTTGGAACAAGTCCAGAGGAGGGCCACAAGGATGATCAGGGCACTGGAGCACCTCCTGTATGAAGATAGGCTGAGAAAGCTGGGGCTGTTCAGTGTGGAGGACAGAAGGCTGCGTAGAGACATCCTAGCAGCCTTCCAGTATCTGAAGGGGGCCTATAAGGATGCTGGGGAGTGACTCTTCACTAGGGACTGTAGTGATAGGACAAGGGGTAATGGGTTCAAACTTAAACAGGGGAAGTTTAGATTGGATATAAGGAGGAAGTTCTTTTCCTGTGAGGGTGGTGAGGCACTGGAATGGGTTCCCCAGGGAGGCTGTGAATGCTCCATCCCTGGCAGTGTTCAAGGCCAGGTTGGAAGGAGCCTTGGGTGACATGGTTAAGTGTGAGGTGTCCCTGCCCATGCAGGGGGTTGGAACTAGATGATCTTAAGGTCCTTTCCAACCCTAACTATTCTGTGGTTCTGTGATTCTAATTACGTATTTTTCCTTAGACTTCAATGAATTTGCAAAATTTTATGCATTATAGACTTACTGTATCCAGGTTTAATTAAGACTTGATAAGAAATTACTAGCGTGTGATGTCCTGGGACTTGAACAAGAAAAATAAATAGCTACTTAATATTGTAATGAGGTGTTTAATTTGTGAACATATTTTGTGACCACTGTGTCATCACAGCTGCTGTTAAAAGACATCGTGGATTTTTGTAAAAGACTAACTAGTTGAAGTGTGATAAGAACTGCACAGTATCTTTTATAGTGTCAGCTGTAGATGAATATTTAGTTCAGTAACCTTCCATGTCATTTGTGTGTGTGATGTGGTATTGCAGTTTTCAAAGAAATTTCAAAATAACATTGGATATTTTGTAATAATAATTGTTTCCTTTTCATTAACTATACAGATCCATATAGGTGCATTCTACTCTTGTCCTTCTTAGGTAATATCTAACATCCTGTATCTGTTAAGACATATGGTTCTAATCTTTTTCTTGTACTAGTGACTGTTCTATGTTGGTTTTGAAAAATGAATTAGTATTTCGTGCTGGTGGCATTCTTATCTTACTGTTCCATCCATTATTCTATTCCTCTGCAGCAATATAAATAAGTACATGATTTTCTTGGTACCTATTAGGAAACATCATACTAACCTTTAGTGAGTTCATTAGTCTATGTAAAGATTAAAAGAAAACCCCAATCTACAGCAAACCCAAAGTAGAACTGTATACATCTTAAACCATAAAAATGTGAACAAACATAATGAAAAGGTTTTTTGATAGTGTGTTCCTTAAAGCTTTCTAACACTTGTATTTGCAGGGTTACCTTGAAGAATTGGTACAACTCAGAGAAAACCAGCTATCTGAATCTGTCTCACAGAATAAACTGCTGTTACAAAGAATTGAAGATATGGACCTAGCCCATAAAATGGAGAAGGAACAGCTGGAATATATAATTGTGGAACTGCAAGACCAGTTGTAAGTTAGTAGAATGGAGAAACATTGTTAGAGCAGTATTAATTAATTATTTAGCTTATTTTACTATCTAATACAAAGAACTTGTGGTCCCGTAGAAATTAATGAAACTTCTTAAAGGAATTGACGTATTTTAGCTTTCTTTTTTTTTCTCCATGGCAAGTCTTAAAGTCTTCAGAAATGGCTCCCCTGAAAACTGCTTAGAATAATTTTAAATAAATTTATTTTTTTTTAATCTGAAATAGCTTACAATAAACTTGCTTAAATTTTTAACACATTTTTATAAGTATTTTTATTCCAGCTTTAAAGCTACCATTAAAAATGGAAGCAGCTTCCTTTTGAGCACTAATTTTAAAATGTTAGGCAGGAAAGGATAAAGAAGTATTCATTTTGTTTGCATAGATTCTATTTTATTTGTATGTGGATCAGACTCAGTAAAAATTAATCTGGTCTTAAAAATATTCAAACTGATGAAGCAACTTCCTACTCACTGTTTCTTCAATGCAAGCCAAAATGCTAACACAACAGGAGAAGGCTTAATTTTTTAATAGTGTATGTCACAACTAATATGATAAATATTCCAGTATCCTGTGATCATAGAATCATAGAATAGTTAGGGTTGGAAAGATCTTAAGACCATCTAGTTCCTTAGATAGATAGTTATCCTCCTGTTCCTGTCTGTTGGATAGAAAGGTACTGTCCTTCGCAGAGATACTCCCTTGTAATGTCTAAAGATCCAGATAGATGGAAGACCTACTTTGTGGTGACAGGTTGCCGTGAGACTGCTATAGTATGCATCTGCAGTAATTGTATGTTCTGTTCATAACAAATATAGAATAAGTTACCTTATATTTGGAGTAATTTATATGTGTCTGAGCCCTGAAGTAAAATGGAAGTTCTCTGTGGCCTTTGAAGCAACACAGGCTTTTCTGTCTTGCAGTAGATAATTTTATTGCCAGTATTTGGAATGGATTTTATGAAACTCCTCAGGAACACAGCATTTACAATTTATTTTTGACAATTTCTGAGTTGAGGAAGAAGAAAAAATGTTTGGTTTGGGGTTTTTTTTTTTTGTGATTGCCTGTAAGATTTTGAGGGATACCTGTCACTGATTTCTGAATTTGCTGATACAGCTAATGATTCATGTTCTACTTCTTTGGCCTCCCTGATTATCTGGGGGAAGTGGAGGGAAGGTGTGAGCTCTTTTAAACCCACTCCGTTACTTGGAATTATTGAGCAGACCTGCTGTTATTTTTTAGCTGAGCTATATGCAATCAAACTGTTCTAAAAAATCTCAGTCTTTGGGGTTTGATTTTTGTTTGCTTTCTTATGTAAAGGCTCAAGTATGAAGCAGTTTCTGTTGTATCTTGAGAGTGTGTTCTTATATAGCTGTTTGTGAGAAACTGCAGTCAGGAGCTTGGACTACACTAGATAGTTGGAGTGAGAGGTATGATTTTGCATTGTTATTGCTGTGAGTATAGCGTGCCTGTCAGATGAACTCTTAAAAGTGTGTTAGAAACTCGTAGTTCCTTACTGGGGAGAGAGAAGGGAAGAAATATTCCTACTAGTAGGTTTCTGATTGTTAATACCAGTCATAATTAACATCTTTTAATCATTCTTTCAAACTTGTTTTTTCGTCTTTTATTCTGACCCAGGATGACCTGGTAGCAGGCCATGTTGTATCATTTATGCACCTGTAATAAGTTTTGGCCAATTGCTATTTCCCATCTGTTTTAGAATAGTGTTCACATAATTCCAAATTTTAGTGTTTTGCTCTCCTACTGTTAGTAGCATTTTGGAGTAGTGAATATGTGCTATAATCTGTTCGAATTCTTTATTAGCAGGTAAGAGCAAGTTTGGGATTGTAATTCTGCCTGAGGCATACTACATTACTGTTTGTAAAACACATTGAGATCTGATTTAGGATCATTTGCTGTGTAATGGAAACTATTTTAAATAAACATTCTATATTTCCTTTTTTAATGCAGCTTTTCTATTCCACTGGCTGTTGTTAAGGTAGCAAGGTCTACCTTTTCAAACTAGTGTTTGTTGTTTCCAAATGGTATTTCACAGGCCTGCAAAATGTTTTATGTACGATCTTAATGGATTTTAGATAACTTACAGAGAAACTTTTCCATATTCACATTTAATAAGGCAGTTTGCTGTAAAGGATGAAAGAAATGTGGATATAGGAGATTGGAGAAACTTAGAAGTAATTTTGGTTTACAGCTGTTATGCAGAGCTGAATTTTCAGCATTCTTAACTTTGTCTCACAGTTTGGAGTACCAAACTACAATGAAAAACAGTGAAACTGAAAATCTATGATCAAAATAGTTATTCACCAGAAAGTAACTTTTTCTTGTCTGTGTCAATTTGATTGAATTTCTTAGGAATATGCCCACCCATCTGGGACTTGGACGCTTCACTTTACTGGCAGGTGTCTGGTGGCAAAGGATTAGAAAAGTGCAACTGCGGTAGACCACCTGATCATCAGTCAGATATGTTTAAATGCACAGCTGATCAAGAGGTTTCAGACTAGTTATTAGGAAACATTTCTGCACTGAGAGGGTAGTCGGACACTGGAACTGGCTTTCCAGAAAGGTGGTCGATGCCCCATACCTGTCAGCATTTTAAGAGTCATTTGGACAATGCTCTTTATAATATGCTTTAACTTTTGATCAGCCCTGAAGTGATCAGGCAGTTGGACTAGATCATTACTTGAAATCTCTTCCAACTGGAACTATTCTGGTCTATGCTGAGAACAGCTTGTTCTTTACCGCACTTTCAGTATCTCCAGATAAAGTGATTGCCTAGTGATACGCGTCAATTGTAGTAATGACAAGGCATATTCTGGCCTTCATTTGTTTTTGTCAGAAGTGTTTGCTGTCACTGGGACATGTTTTTCCCTGGGATTTGTTGTAGTTGAACATTAGAGGACAATGCTTTTGGCTGCACTCTTATACAGAAATAATGAAGGTAGGGCACTTAAGGCCTTAAAGTGGTTAAAATTAACAGCTCTGAAGTTCTTAAAAGTAACAGCTCACAGGGGGACAATCAAAAGAAGTGTGTCATTCATGGCATGTCTAACTGAAGAAAACAGTTTGAATTCCATTATCATTAAAAACATGATGGGAGAGGGATCCCAAATCATCAAGGAACTCTATGCTGGAGTATTCAAAACGCACAAAGGCAGACATTTCTTTGTTCTTTAAGATCCTGCAAAGAATACTGAATGTGTCTTGGAGCAGTGAGATGTTTGACTATGCACTCCATCAGTAAAACACTATGAGCACTCCCCCAATATTGGGATATTTATTTATTTATAAATTCTATACATGTACTACTGTACTAATATGTACATTACAAGCATACACAAAAAATAGGAATTAAAAAGGATGAGACAAAGATGACTTTCTTTTCATTAACAGTACAAAAAGTATTTTCTTCCCATACCCCAAAGGATTGTTGTACGCACCCCACTTTGAAGACCACTGTCTTGAAGTTAGCTCAGGCAGAGAAGTGACTGGGCAAAATCTGGAACTGTTTGCCCAGAACATCCTTGTGTTAAACTCTACTTCAGCTTAAGCAGACTTCCCCCCACCCTAGAGTGGTTCTTATTCTTTCTTTTGCCTTATACACTGCCTATGTCTAAGGCAAACTGCTGATCTTTGTTACTTTACAGTTCAGATTCTGCATCAGAAATTGATATATATGTTAAATATTGATGTATGGTTACAAGAGAGATCCCATCAATTTTCTGAATACTGAGTCATCTCCTGCATAGTGACTCACTGGTGTTATAAAAGGTAATCACTTTAACATAATGTGTTCCAACGTGGGTTTCCTCGTGAGGTATTTTTCAGGTTTCCCGGCTGGTGTGCCTGGTGTAAGATGGTACAGTCCCTTTGTCCCAGCTGGTGCAATAGTTTAATTTTTTTATTTTTATTTAATTTATCACATGTATTGAAAATTTATTTCTTAAATTCAGTGGCTATGCTATATTTTATGCTGCTTTGTTTTTTATCTCCCTCTCTTGTTCCTTCCTATATCCCTGTCTTGTCCTGGTGTTCTGTGGAGGAAAGAAAAGTCAAGAACTCTTCTGTGCTTGGATTCTGTCTTCGGTTATGGCACAAATAAGACTCAAATTAAATTGGAGGGACACTCATGGTCTTACATGGTATTAAGCTTGCCTGTGTAATTAAGAATTTTTTTTATGTTTTAGCAAATCTGAAAGCTAGATTTATTTGTCGGGCTGTTACTTCAGAATTGGTCAGTCTTTTCAAGCCCCAAACAGTGCTTGTAGTCCCATTCTTCATATTTTAATATAGCTGTCAGATCCAGCAATACTGCAGTTCCTGTCTGGATAATACAGATGTCTTTGTAATCACAGGAAATGACAATTTAGTTGCAACCCTTAGAGACTGTTTGTTTCTATGACACTTTAATTACAGCAAGTGTTCTGTGTATGTTTCCACTCAGGAGCTGTACACAGCTTGTCACTCACGCCTCGCTGTCAGGCATTGACTGTTTGAGCAAGCTGTCCAGAAGCCTATTTTCCCCTGTTAGCACTGCACTGAGCTCAGGCTAATGTATCCTACCTTCCAGAGAAGTAGAACTTTCAGTCTGTGTTGCTGAGCTTTGCAATCCTCAAAATCATCTGGAGAAACAGGAAGTCTGGATAACTTTTTTAGTACTCTTACCTTTTTTATTTTTTTTTCCAGATAGTGTGCTTGTAAGGCTTTTTTTTCTGAAGAAATTGAATTCCTCAACTGCATCAGTACATTAAATCCAATTTGTTGTAGCTGCTTTATTTTCTCGCTGAAAGGAAGCAGGAGATTAAAATGTAATCTTTGGTCTTGGCGATTTTCTGTCCTAGAATGTAAAAATTGAGAATGCCAATCCTTGTTTCCTTTGAAAGCTTTCATGGATCCTTGCTATCAAACCATAATTCACATTAGCTACGCTTTTATTTGTAATGCTTCCTTGTACATCCTGTATCTCTC